ATTTAATTAAATACCTAGTACAGCCGATATACAAATGGCCGCCATACTGTGCGCGAAATCTGATTGGCTAATTCAAATGCAAGCGTTTAAATGAGTCCAGAAGTTTCTAACGGAATATTTTTTCAACGAAATAATTGCCCATGCACCGTCAGTGTGTTCGAATATATTTTTCCGTTCAAAAAATTGGAATCAATCTGTAAAACGCTTTACTTAACCAGTATGGCCGATGAACGAAATAGACTGATATTTATATTTTATTTTTAATTGATAAGTACATTATTTGAAAGTTTTTGTTAATGATAGACCATGCAATTGAAAGAACAAAAGATAAGCTTTTGAATAAAGCTTGAAAGGCAAGTAAACAGACATTTTTTTAATTTTTCAAAATGCTACGCATTTATGAGCAATAACTATTAGACGTCAGGCTTGACCAACATAAAACTATAACAAGCCTGTAACGTCTAATCTATTGGACTACATATCCCCATATTTTGTAAGTAAGTATACAACTTTTTACTGGTGATTATCATACATATATGGATTTATTCATTACACGAACCATGCTCTATCTACTTAAACTTCTTAAACAATTAGGAAAATTAGAATGACAGACTATTCTCTCCCTTACCAGTTCCTCTCCCTGACGGTTCTCTCCCTAACCGTTTCCTCCCCTGACGGTTCTCTCCCAAATTTGAAATATGCAGACAGTTCTCCCCCAATTTTATTTTTATAAGTTATCATTTTAGTTTTGACTTAATCTAATAATATTTCTTAATGAAGTTTATTAAAAGAATGTGTTTGATATTAACTGCATTTTATGTTTTATGTTTATCAGCTGAAAAGTGTTTGTAAATTTAACACCTTTTTTCATTATTTTAATCCTATCAACACCTTTATTTTGAGAGGTACAGATCATTGGACAGTGATTGATATACACCTGTACTTATTGTTAATGTCTAGCTTGTGATGTTCATTCATTTGTTAAATAGTGAATAAGGTGGAAACAAGTATGTTCTACAAAATAAATAAACAACAACTGGTATGCAAACACATTCCACATTTACTTTTTTACGAAATTGATTTAAAAACATGTAGTCATTAACTTGAAACAATATATAATACCAAATAACTAATATAATACTTATTCATCAACACCTTTTCACAGCTATTTTAATCTAATCAACACCTTGATTCTTGAGTAATGAATTAATAAACACCTCAATTATCACTGACAGCAAACTTAATGCATACATGTGTGTATTGAACTCCTTTTTTCATTATACAAAAGTTTAGCTATTAAAAAAATTTATTAATAATTTTTGCCTATGAATTTCATTTTTATTTATTAAAAAAATATATATCTAATGTTTATCCTAATCCAGTAAATTATTCATTAATTATTTTCAATTAAAAAGTATACATTACATCTAATTAAAAAATCAGAATAATTAACTAATATCATCATTGATCAATTACTATTATAATTATGTTAAAAAAAAAATTTTAACTCAATTAATATCAGTTGATAATAAAGTTACAAATTTATTAAACATCTAAATACTTCAATAAAATATTTTTTTTCTCTTATATTAATTTTTGATAATAAACTTACAGATTTATTGTTGCTGATGATGCTAACAAAATTGAAACTTGAATTAAACATCTGAATTACTTCATTGAAGTATTTTTCTCTTTAATTTATATCAATTAATAATAAACCTACCCATTTATTTAACAGCTAAACACTTCAATAAAATCTATTTTTTTCTAATTTATATCAATTGATAATAAACTTACCCATTTATTTATCATCTAAATACTATAATAATAATGTAATTATAAAAATAAGAATGGGGAGGAACTGTCTTCTAATTTGCAAATATGCAGACAGTTCTCCCCCAAAATAGGGAGAGAACCGTCAGGGAGGAAACGTCAGGGGAGGAACTGGTAAGGGAGAGAATAGTCTGACTACCGGAAAATTAGGCCTTATTTACCTCTGCTCCAGTATAAGTATGGAAGAAAAAAAGGATCAGCTTCTGATACAATGAGTAGAGGCAGTCATCAGCTGATGTGTAAATGCGACGAGGCAAACATAGTGTCAGAATTCTCATTGCACCCCACAGTGCTATGAATGTAGGTGATGATCCAATCATAATCGCAGTTGGAAATGACCATCTTAAAGAATGTGCATGAAATAAAATAGAAAACATTTTTGCAAGGACTGGGTGACATGTGAGACACGATATTAACAGAAGTACGCCGATCTTGGTATGCTTGGTTGTATTTCATCTGTCTGAGTGAAGAAAGTGGAATATGTTCAGTAACAGAAACGTTACCTAGCCTTCAAAAAGAAAGACCCTGTCTCGTCTTAATTCACCAACATGACCTTTTTTTATCTTTGTCTTTTTACATATCATGAAGTTACATACAGATGTATCCAATATATCCGTGTTATATATCGGCAAAATATAATGTCGGTTCAGGTTCAGTGTAAACTCGGTTAATATGAAAGTTCAAGTGTTTCGATCTAAACAGTCACGAAAAATCAAACGCAGAGACTATATAGTAACGTGACGTCATAAAGGGAAAATAATAACCATGTAGTTTTTTTCGCGCGAAACTTAAAAAAAAAATGTCGAACTCCCTGGGCGTTGCAGATAAGACGCTGGATTCAAGCATCTCTTCTGCAGATGCGAGTACAATGTTATTACGTCTTGCTGGGAAGCAGCCATCAAAGAAAGGAGAAACAGCAGTGAGTAGAGTCAGTGCGACCCAGTCCCGCACACTTTCCCATTTTTTTCTTGAAAATTCAAATGAATTTATTCAGTTTTCATTTATGTTTCAATGAACTGGCATGCTTTTAACAGGATATGACATAATCTGGAATCTTGCACCCAAGCCTCTCCCTGGGCCTGGAGAGTGCAGACGAAAATGTAAATAGCTACATGTACGTGGCTGTGTAGGTCACACATAAAAACAATTTATTCAGCAATTATAAACCATGCTAATTTCTACTTTAATGTTAAGATTATTATAAAATATATATTTGAAAAGAAATGAATGTTTTGTTATGGCAAATTTGCTGTTAGTTATGAAATATATGCACATGAATTAACTTCAATTAACATCAAGGCATTTCACCTTGATTCTTTTGTTTAAAATAATACCAAACTTTTAAGCGAACAAATCATAACTAAATAGCTAGATGAAAAAACTTTCAATAATAATTTTTTATGTCTGTGTTTACTACCTACAAGTGGTAAAAAAATATGTTTCCATTGCTGTTACATGTTTCCTGTGTGCTACTATGGAAATAAATGCTTGTATACTGTAGGCCTACTGTAGTAAGAATGTGCATTAAATTTATTTGAAGTCCTGAAAATTTGCCAAAAACTATATCTTATCTGGACTTGATATATACATTACAATTATATTACAATTGAGATATATGTTAAATGATTTATAAAACATGTTTAAGATGTAAAATAACCTTTCAGTATAAAAATGGCCTTGTGTGCGGAACCGAGTCCACTATATATTATATTTGGCCCATTCCTGTTGCTTAAAATCAAGTGCGCCTAGAAGTATGACCTACTTAAGATAGAAACGATTTGGTAATCAGTTTTTATGGGCAAGGATGTAATTTTGAAAATAATATCATATAATAGATATTTTTCTAATTTTTCCTTAAAAAAGTGTATGACACTGGGTACACTGACTCTATGACATATATCATGTGTATGAACAGAATAAAATCATGAATAATAATGAAACCCCTGTTTTTACCTGAAAGGCTACAACTACGAGGTCATAATGAAAAGTTTTTACAAGGCTGAGAATTCATACTGAAAAACTTTTATTTTACTGAACTAGTAACTAGTTCTGGCTTCAAAAACTTTATAAGCCGCTTTTTAATATTTTTGTTTTTCATCTGATGCGGTTCACGTCATGTCACACATCATGTCATAGTATATAAACAGGTACACTGAAGACCTTAAGCTAACTACTAACTTACCAAAAAACAAATTTTCTTGAATAATCCATTTGTGCTTCTATCTTGCAACAACTGGATAAAAAGAGCAAGATAAACATCACAAATACAGTAGCCTAGCTGCTAGCACATCAATTTACAGCATAAATAGAGGATATATTGATTGATTAGATTTAATACTAAATTTATTTAACAGGTTTAATAAAATCATGATGCATTGTATGCTTGTCTTGTTCAGAGTTCAATAAATCTAATATTAAAATCTATATAGATATATCTAGTGTAATATAGTTTTTATTTAATTAGTTTATTACACTCCTGTGTCATGGCTTATATGATAAATTATTTAAAATGTGTATGTGTATGATATTTAGGAAAATGCTGATGTCAATAAATTACAATGTAGCTTGAAAAAAAAGAAAAAGAAAAAAAAACCTGTCTAAACTAGATTCTACTTGTTAGTACTAAAGTAAACCTTAAATGTTCTTTAAGGAAAATGATTATGCAAATAGATTATGATATTTGTAAGTGTGAAAATCACACTATTTTCCCCCAAAAAAGGGCTTGGTCACCTTACGAATAACTAGTAAAAAGGCCCTGTGACTGTGTAAAATTTCAAATTATATATTTTTATGCTTTTTAACCTCAGTGGAGTTCCTTTAAATTTAGTCAAAACAGTATTCGTTGTTGTCTTTTACAAAGAAATACAAATTAAAAACCATAATGATATATCATTATAAGGGAAATGGGTCGATGGCCCAATTTTTCAAACCAAGGGAGGAAACTATATGAAATGAAAATAAATTGAATTGTATGGCTTTTAAAGACTTCATGATGACCAAAAGAAAACTGTATGACAAAGAACAGGATTTCAATTGAATCTTAAAATTTTTAAAACTTTTAATGATTTATGAAGAATCAAGACATTAATTGTGTTAATCTCCCATTACATTCCATATATAGGCCTCTCCATAACAAGCATTGGCTGCCTCGTCTATTTTTAATGAAATTTTGGTTTTTTTCCCAATATCTTAACCTTGCCATTCAGCAATCAAAGTTCACTTGCTGATTATTTAAAGATTAATTTCAATTCTCGACTTCAAAATATTTTGAAACACAATGTTCGGTAAATTGAGTTTTCTAATGTACACATTTTTTTCTCTTATAATGCCCTACTTAAAAGACACATTCTTATGGTAAAAATGATAAATTTTGTGTTTGATAAAGTAACCTATATGTATATTAAGAACCTAAAATCTATTGGGCAAAATTCCATTCTTTTCTATGGTTTCAGAAAAAAAAACATCATGTTTTGTCCAGTGATATGAAGGATCCAACTATCTGTAATTAACATAGACTTACAAGTTGAAAATTTATTTTTTTTGTGAATAGTCAATATTTTACACTCCAATTTCAAAACTAGCTTTTACTCATACACATTTACTTCTGTATTATAAATTACTTACAAGTAAATAAAATGTACAAAGTGTTTAGTTAACTTTTCATATCGCAGTGGCACATATTATTTGAAATTTAAATTTTTTTTTTCTAGAGTGATCAGAAGGACAAAAACAAAGGGCAAAAGGGTCCCAGTGGAAAACGGGACAGTGTTGTAAGCAATGATGGTACTGATGGTAGGTATATGAGCAGTGTCACGACAAAACCAACATAATGGGTTTGCGACCAGCATGGATCCAGACCAGCCTGCGCATCTGCGCAGTCTGATCAGGATCCACGCTGTTAGCTATCAGTTTCTCTACTTGTAATAGGGTTTGTAAGTGAACAGCATGGATCCTGATCAGACTGCGCAGATGCGCAGGCTGGTCTGGATCCATGCTGGGAGCAAACCCATTATGTTGGTTTTGTCGTGACACGGCTCATGGTAGGTGTCTAATATTCAATCAAGTTTTGGCATACCAGGGTATTTGTAAGAATATTAATTAGTGTGCTAAGTTTGCTATGGTTATGTCCTATGTACCTTGTCTGGTATTTACTTTTTTAAATCTATTCTAAAATACTAGTATACAATGACAGCAGGATTGTTAAAATGTAAGAGAATTACATGTATTCAAACTATAACTGTCAGGTTTACATGTGCATTTTTGTATAAATAATATTTTGGTCAAAATCAATGCATATGTTTAAAGTGCACAAATCATGCATCATGTAAAAAGTATAAAATAACAACTGTATTCTGTATATTTGTTTTTCAGGTGATGATTTACAAGACTTCAGAGAAGTATGTCATGAATTTATACACATTAAAATGTCCAGAAAATATTACCTTTGACTCATGACTTTTATGTTTGACAAAAAAATTTAACCACCTAAAAAGCCCCTATCTGTCTTGGGAGGTTATGACATTTAGACATTCCAAACGTAGGTCAAAACTGCTAAGCTTTCAATCATATATTAGACAAAAATAAAAGTTCTGTTTTGGGTCTCTTTCACTAAACCTAATTATACATTGTACTTGTTAATCTTATCCTTTTCTTGCTAGGAGCATACTTTTTCCTTGGCCTTATAAAATAGTAAATTGTCAGGGTCCTTTTCAAATTAGCTTTATAAATAAGTCATTCAATCTGACCTTCTTCAACAAGTTTTTAATTTGTTGCTTTTTTTAGTTATTCAACATGCTGGACCAATCAAATACTGGCATCATCACAGCAGAAAACTTGTACGCGGAACTGAGTCGTGTCGATAGTGAGATCACATACGAAGAAGTTGAAGATGTTCTGAAAAAAGTGGACAAGGATGGCAATGGCGAGATAGATTTTGATGAGTTCTTGGTCCATATGACAAACTTGGGTGGAAATCTGTATGGGGATGAAGTAGGGGAAGGTATATATTCACATTTGTTTCCCCCCTGTTTTTGAACACTTAAATTAAAATCTAAACAAGAAAGTGTTTGTTAAACACAAATGCCCCCAGCTCAGATTTTTGTCAGTAACAATATTTCAAAAAAATGTAAACCCATTCACTCAGTTGAGGACGGAATATCAAACTTAAAGGACAACCTTAGGTATGTTCCTTGTAAATATGAGACATTGGTAAAAGAAAATACAAAGGCAGCAAGGCTGTATAAAAAAGTGTAAAAAAAGACTTTGTGACTCCCAGCATTGGACTATCCAAGGTATATTCCTTTCAAATAAGAAAAAACTTCAGTCTATAAATAAGCCAATGTAAAAAAATCTTTTTTTGGCACCCTTGACTTTGACCCACTGACCTTTAATACTTAATCCAAAAACTATGCAAGATGTCTTCCTATCAAATATGAGAAACACCTGTCAATAAAAAAGGCTATATGGGCAAAAGTGTAAAAATCTATTTTTAGCACTTGTGACCTTGTACCAACTGACCCCTAACTCAATTCAAGGATGCAAGTTGTCATCCTTTGAAATATGAAAAATATCAGTCGAAAAATACAGGCTGTTTAGCAAATGTGTAGAAATCTAATATTGATGTTCTTGACTTGACCCACAGACCCCTAATTCAATTGAAAGGAAGAATAACATGCAAGTTATCTTCCAACCTAATATGATAGACATCTGTCAATAAATAAAGGCTATATAGACAAAAATGAAATAAAAATTAAGCACTGATGACCTTGACCAAACTGACCCCTTACTCAATCCAAAGGATGAAGACCTACAAGTTATCATTCTACTAAACATAAAATGCAAGTTATCATCCTACCAAATATAAAAAAACATCAGTAAAAAAATAAAGACTGTATAAGCAAACATGTAGAAATCTATTTTTGGCATCCTTGACCTTGACACCCTGACCCCTACCTCAATCAAGAGGAAGAGTATCCTGTAATGTAAGTTATCTGCATACCTAATATGAAATATATCTGTCAATAAATAAAGGCTGTATGGGCATTAGTGTAAAATGCTATTTTTAGCACTACTGACCTTGACCCAACTGACCCCTAACTCCATCAAAAGGAAGAATACCATGCACATAATTTTCTTATCAAATATGAAATACATCTGTCATTAAATAAAGGCTATATGGGCAAAAATTGGGGGAATCTATTTTTAGCATTGGTGACCTTGACCCGACTGACCCTCAACTCCATCAAAAGGAAGAAGACCATGCAAGTTATCTTCCTACCAAATATGAAATACGTTAGTCAGTATAAATACAGGCTATATGGGCAAAAGTGTAAAAAAAATCTATTTTTAGCACTGGTGACATTTACCCACTGAGCACTACCTCCATCAGAAGGAAGAATTCCATGCAAGTTATTTTCCAACAAAATATGAAAGACATCTGTCCTTAAATAAAGGTTGTTATAATGAGCAAAAGTGTAAAAATCTATTTTTAGCACTGGTGACCGTGACCTAACTGACCCCTAACTCCAGACGAAGAAAAAGACCCCAATTTTATGTTCCTACAAAATATAAGAGACATATGTCAATAGAATAAGATAAATACACCTGAAGAAAAGTAAAAATCTACTTTTGACATTATGGTGACCTTGACCCAAATGACCCCTTACTTAACCCAAAGGGTTTGTATTAAACATGAATGACTGCAACTTAAACAAGAGGGCCATGATGGCCCTGAAGTCGCTCACCTGTATATAGGCCCCCAGAGTGGGGCCAGTTTAAACCCCAGGGCTTTATTTGAACAAACTTGGTAGACACCCATAACAAGATGTTTCATGCTAAACATCTAAGGTCTTGCTCATTGAGTTTTTTAAAAAATAATTTTTTAAGTTTTAACTATACACATATAGTTCAAAGCAATGACACCCCTAGGGCAGGGCCAGTTTTGCCCCCAGGGTTTTTTTTTTTTTAACAAACTTGAAGACACTCACTAGAAGATGTTTTATGCTTGATATCTAAACTCTAGCTATTTGTTTTTTTTTTCAAAGAAGATTTTTAAGTTTTTGCTATACACACAAAAAAAAAATCAATGACCCCCGGGGCAGGGCCAATTTTGACCCCAGGGCTCTTATTTGAACAAATTAATTAGTAGACACCCATTAGAACATGTTTCATGCTAAATATCTTAGCTCTAGCTCTTTGGTTTCTTTAAAAGAAGATTTTTTAAGTTTTTACTATATGCTATCGGGAAAATCAATGACCCCCTGGGGCGGGGCAAATTTTGACCCCAGGGCTTTTATTTGAACAAACTTGATAGACACTCATTAGAAGATGTTTCATGCTAAATATCTTAGCTCTAGCTCTTTTGGTTCTTTAAAAGAAGATTTTATAAGTTTTTACTATATGCATATAGGGAAAATCAATGACCCCCTGGGGCAGGGCCAATTTTGACCCCAGGGCTTTTATTTGAACAAACTTGGTAGACACCCATTAGAAGATGTTTCATGCTAAATATCTTAGCTCTAGCTCTTTGGGTTCTTTAAAAGAAGATTTTTTAAGTTTTTACTATATGCATATAGGGAAAAACAATGACCCCCTGGGGCGGGGCCAATTTTGACCCCAGGGCTTTTATTTGAACAAACTTGATAGACACTCACTAGAAGATGTTTCATGCCAAATATCTAAGCTCTACCTCTTTGGGTTTTTTAAAAGAAGATATTTTAAGTTTTTTCTATCGGTTGCCATGGCAACCAGAGTTCTGCATGGAATTAAATTCTTTGAACAATTTTTAAAGATGACCACCAAAGGAACATTCCTGTGAAGTTTGGATGAAATTGGCTCAGCGGTTTATGAGGAGATGTCATTTAAAGTAAAAGTTTACGGACGACGGACGCCATACGAAAAGCGATCACAAAAGCTCACCCTGTCACTTTGTGACAGGTGAGCTAAAAAAGGGCTGTATGAGCAAAAATGTTAAAATTTTATTTTTTACACCAGTGACCTTGACCCTAGAGACCCCTTTCTCCATCCACCTACCAAATATGAACAGGTATTTTTTTTGGCTTATTTTATAGCCGTTATTGGGTCAATTGAAAATAGTATATTATTTTCCCAATCCACAGGAAAAAATTCCCAATTGAAAGTTACAAAATAAAAATATTGAATAAAAGTTCTAAAATCTTTGCTTATAAGGGCTTCCTCACTGTAATAGTGCTTAAATCTTTGAAGATGCCATCATAGACAGTAATTGTTTGCATCCATTTAATCACTGCAAAATTTCAGTCATGCATTTTTTCCCAATTTTTAACAAAACACCACTGAAATTCCCAATTCCATGGGTATGGGTCGTGTTCCCAAAATCCTTGAAAAAATCCCTGATGAAAGATATCATTAAATAAATTAAGTAATTAGGAGATATTTAAGATAAATCTAAGTTAAAAACCAACTTGCCGGAATAGGTTAACCTGCTTACAAGGTCCTATTTTGAAAGTTATAAAAAGGGAAATAACTGGGAAAAATGAATGGCACAGTTATCTAACGTGGCAAATATCATGTACTTTGTATTGATAAGTATGTGTTGGTAATTATAAAGCCATTAGTATAGATAGAACCTAAGATATATCCAACTTGCCATTTTAGGTTAACCAATTATTCATTTTTCACATGCTGAAAAGGGCAATTACTTGTAATAATGAAAGCCATAGTTATGTAACTTGCCCAGATCATGTACTTTGTGTTGATTAGAAAGTGTGTAAAAGTTTAAAGCCATTGGTATACATAGAACTTGAGAAAAATCCAACTTGCCATTTAGGTTAACCTCGTAAGGATGGACAGACGGTTGAATTTAACTGATATGCCCCAGGGTTTTAAAAATTCTTGTATCTATTATTAAAATTTTTTTTTTTAATTATTTAATTTGTTTTCCAATTTTTATTTGTAATATAAGTCTCTGTCATCACATAAATTTTAAAAAATAATTATAACAAAAATAATAATGAAATATTACTAATGTCTTCTTTGCAGAAGATGAAGAACAACGAAAAAAGAAATCAAGGCGAAAGGAAATGTTTTATAAGACGATAACATGTTTCTCGCGATCAAAAACATACCCTTGCAGATATAGAGAAAACAATTCCTAAACAGGCACCTCATGTGATTGGTCATTACACGGCAGGTGCCTCGTTTAATTGGGCTCACAACACGTCAACTTGAACGACAGATGGAGAGGATGCAAAGGTCTATTTGCAAACACTGACTCTCCTTACGCGAAACCTCTTCAATTTGTCCATGTTAGTAGGAAAAGCGACAAAGAGGTATCGTCCAAAAGAAAGAAAACAAAGGACAATTAAGAAATAGCCAGGTTCTTGCCGAGACCTTCAACAGAAAAAGTGTTGGGAAGGAACAAGACAATCTGACGAGGGAAATTCAGGACACCATGATAACGTTTGCTCATGAAAGTCTTGAATCTGATAAGAATTCAGATATCTTCATGCAGCTGAGGGAAAAAGCTTGGATCAGGTAAAGGATACATTATTCATAAATTAATTGTTGATTAAAGCATTGCACTATTTAAAACTTGTTTGCTAAAATTTGTAAACTATTTATGTTGGGATTTTTATCTGCTCTCAACACCTCTGTGCCAATTACCCAAAGCATATTTTTGGATTTCTCGTATGGTATCATGAATACTAGAACTTATAAATAAGAACAACAGTCATGCACTGAGCATTTATTTGTAATTATTCATAATCATTCACCAATGACAATATCAATGCAGCAGCACATAAATTGTATTAGACATAATATCAGTGATTTTTACCATCGTCAATATGCTGATCGAAAAGCCAAATGCAATTACAGGCATATAGACACATTTAAAAATGAGCACTTTACGGTTCTCAATGTTTGAACAGTACATCGTAAATGTCTTGACTGTGTAGCTAAAATAATCTAAAGACTGCATCATCACAGACAGAAAGGCAACCTTTTTCACATTCTTAGTCTCTTTAAAATCATAAGTATAGTTTTTACACAATTCTTTAAATTTTTACAATTTAACAGTTGCGCATAAGATTATAGAATATAAATGACACTTGTTAATTGTGAACACAGATTCATCGTTTAATTATCATAGGAAGGTATCCTGCAGTTGTTTTTTCAGCGTAGAGATAAAATTTTCTTGCACATCAACAATATATTATCACAAATGCTGGATAATTATTTGGTGTGCTTTTAGTTTTTAATATTACCGAAAGTGACATTCACGAATTTACAGCCTCTTATCTTTTCTACCTGGGCCGAACTGGATACCTCAAATTACAACTCCATTATAAAATTGCTTTTAGTCCGCAAACCAAAAAACTTTTATGCCCTCGAATATAAATAATTTCACAGTATTGCTTTTATATCTATATAATAATGAATAGCCACAACAACAATTTATTGATTAGATCTTATTTTTATTACAATAAAGTGAAGGCCAAATTCAAAGAGCAGAAGCTGCAGACACCTGAGGACATCACATATCAACCTTTCCTTCCCTCAACAAGGTAAAGCCTTCTTATGATAAGAAAAGTCCAACAGGCTTACAACCATCGGGTACAAAGCAAAAAGAAGGTATTTTATGCCACTGCTAGTGAGGATGAGAGGAAAATGCAGAAAAGTGAAGTAACATTTGAATGAATGTTTGTAAGTTATAAGTGTCAAGGGTATACAGTTTTGTGAGTCTTTTAGCACTGTTGTGAAAATTCATTATAATCATTGCCCATTCAGTATGTCTGGACATCAGCAGTTAAAGGCACATAAGATAAGATTAGTACTCTGACTAGAGATTTCACAGGTTTATGTTTTATAATAATCTCGTAACAAATAAAGCATTTTCCTGAAATTAACAAAAGACAAACAGATTATACATTTTCAGTGTAGATAAGTTTCATGTTAAGAGATTCAAGTTTCATAAATTCATACAAACAATTTAGGGCTTTTGAATAACAAAGGCAAAAAAGAGAATATTGTTTTGTTTTTTTTATCAAACGAGGAGACAGATTGCATAGACTAAATGATACTACATGATATTTCGGAACTAGATATAAATTCTGAGAAAATGCACGTTTCGAGTTCAGTTGCATAGGATATAATCACTCGGAGTCTGAGTTCTGAGTGATTAATTACAAAGCATTCGAACAAACCAAACGTGCATTATTATACTATAATGCTTGAATATTAAATATCTATTTCCATTCTAACATGCTAATCAAAAAATGAGAATTGATAAAAATATGTTGAACTACATTGAACGGTAGAAAGAAATTTCCCCCAAACATCATTTGAGCCGTGTCACGACAAAACCAACATAATGGGTTTGCAACCAGCATGGATCCAGACCAGCCTGCGCATCCGCGCAGTCTGATCAGGATCCATGCTGTTCGCTATCAGTTTCTCCACTTGTTATTTAGGTTAGTAAGTGGAACAGCATGGATCCTGATCAGACTGCGCGGATGCGCAGGCTGGTCTGGATCCATGCTGGTCGCAAACCCATTATGTTGGTTTTGTACATGACACGGCTCATTTTGGTTTATTGACGTCATATCCGACATCAATTTCATGACGTGTTAGCATTCCTTATTCATGCACTTGACTGCCCTATCTGTTTGATATTATGAAGTGTGTTAGAATTGTGCATTTAGGGGTTTTCACCTTTTCTTAAAAAAAAATTTGTGCATATATTTTTTTAACCCCCATTTATTTTTCTATGTGAAAATTAAATGAAATTTTAAGGATATATATCTATAATGAACATATTTTTTATTTTTAAATTATCAGGAAAAAAGAAGAATTTAATGCTTGCTCTTGGATGGACCACCCCTAGAATTCAGTATTATGATGTTGCCTTGCCAAGTCTTAAAATGCACTATCTCAAAACCAACTTGTAATGATGTACATAGGATCAGAGCCAAGGTTTGTCTCATTATAACTGTAGACAAGTTTTGATGCATCACACATTTTTTCACAATTATAGAAGTTTGATTTTATTACATCATAAAACTATAGAATTTTTTTAATTTATAAAATTCTTAATAATACGATGTCGCCAAAAAAATAATCTAATTTTCCTACTTAATGCATTATAAAAGTCAAATATCAAAACAAACTACTTTTATGTAGATGTTGTTAAGCGTTGAACTTAAGAAATTGACAGAAAGCGTATATAACATTATAAGTTGTGTGTCCTTTTAAACTCATCTAGTTTTATATTTATGTACAATTTGTTGTTATTTAGGCCTGAGCAGGTCCTTGATGATTATTACCTTGAACTGAGCCAGGAAGAAATACAGAATGCATGGAGATGCACTGGGATAGGCTTATGCTAACGTCATTACAGCCAGAGAGGCTGTTACGTTAGTTTTCAAAACTATTTACAGTGCATATTTTCCACATCGTGAGGCAGGAAGCTTTTGTTGTGTGTCCGGTGGAATTCCTGGACCCGTTCAGTTTGTAAGACACCTTTCAAAAAAACCATCCTGCTATCATGCTGCCCGGAAGATCACCCAATTAAAACAATTAATAAGAAGTTGCTAAATGCATAAACCACGTATAAATATACGTCCAAGAACTGGTTCAAAATACAGTATTACAGCCCAGTAGTTCAACAACGCGAGATACACCCAGCCCCCATTGGCAGCCCATATACTTCAATTTCAAACGTATGAGAGTGGTTAAATCTTTGTGGTTTCATTAGAATAATTCTTGAATTTTGAAATACTAAAAGCGTGTTTTGTCTTTGTGGTTTTTAACTTAAATAAATACCTCTTCATTAATTGTTACATTATTATATATATGATATATTATTTGTATCAACCACTTTTAGTCTTTCGTAAAAATTTCTATCAAATTCTTTCAGCATAATATATATCGAACTTTTTTTTTATAAAGTCCCCTTAAAATAAGTTTATGGATTGGGGGAATAAAATTTTTGTTTACATCCACATATTCTTAAATAAAATATAATTATTTCTTAACCAATTTTTTTTCCTTATGTTCTTTTTTTTGGTTTATATGTGTAAGATATTTTCTGATTTATTTTTGCAAGAAAAATTGCTCCAAATGAATCAGATGCTTTCCAGATCTTTGAAACTGATTGCTAGTTGTAAGATCAACTCCTCAAATTCATTTCAGTGTGAGGCCCACCATGGAAGAATTGGGTAACCAAATGTGTAGCCTCAGTAAATAAAGACTTTACTTACTTACTTATTACTTACTAGTATCTAAGGTTGTTAATGTTGATCAAATGATAATTACACCTCAGGAACTTCTTGTACATCGTGTATTTTATAAAAAAAAAATTCTTTAAAAATACATAGAACATGGGGACTATGCTGACTACCGGGTATGTACATTATATTGTAGGATTATTCTTACTTTTAAAATTACTGTGCACATAATTCATAATGTATTTACAATTCCAAAAAAGGGAGGTAATTTAAATGAAACCTTTACAAATATATTATCAGAAGTTATCACACCTATGTTATAACTTATCTTCTATAAAACACGTCTCTCTTCCAGTAATTTATAATACACAAGCAAGTCAGAATTGCATAAAGTCATTTTATTTGCTAAAAAGTCATTTTATTGTAAAACTTTTATAGAAAATACAATGAAAATAGAAAATATTTAGAATAAATATAGAAATGAATAATATAGAATTAAGAAAAATATGTAAACATGGTAAAGCTCCACGCTAACATATAATTATGCTGTAACATATACATGGGTAACAACTGTGGCAATTATATAAAGTGTTAAGTTGACTATAGATGTGTTAAGATACTAACTTTGATACGTATCATGCTATGCGTTATGAATACTGCTAGTAATGGTAGTGTGGCAGTTACCCTTCGGATCACAGGCAGTAAGCTACTTTGAATGCACCCTGAGCACTGTTCTGCCATGCATCGTTCCTGTGCAGAATTTGTTTCAAGCAGTTTACCAGTACTGTAGTTTCCTTTCACTTCACCAGGAATTGATTAACTCTTTACCATGCCAAATAGTATTCAGTGCAAATAGCATATAATAGGATTTCATGATCAATTACGACAGTGACCTATACACTTATCCAGGAATTGAACCCAAGTGCCCAATTCAAAGTCAAACCACTCTCCTAGCTGGGAATATTAAATTAAAAATCGTTTCATTATGAATTATGTCAAAAATCTTTGTGCACTTATAAATAATTGCGAAGATTGACATTACCCATTTCAATTATTTATTCATTTCTTTTTAATTCCTATTTTTTTAACTTTAATTTCCTGTTTGAATCTTTTGAATTTCCTCATTTCCTAATTTAAACAATTCTTATATATTTTTTTTTATTGAGTATAAATCTTACAATATATCTAAATATTAATTCCAAAAATTGCATTCTACAAAAGTCATGATACATGTTTCCAATGATATAGCTGTATAAAAACGAATACATGTTTTTCAATTGATAATCTTATAAAAAACTAAATAAATAATATACAAGAGTCACCGCCGGGGAGCAAGCTTGCCTTTTTACTTTTCTAAAAGCAAACAAAAAATGATGCGTCAAGGTCATTTATGGATGAAGCGTAAGGTCAGTGTGTTCTACTGAGAGTCTTGGTCCAAGGTTGTTGTGGCCAAGTATGAAGACAATACACCAAGAACTAAAAAAGGTTAATGATCCAGATACAAGTTTGATGACGCGCATAATTACATTGAAATGCATTAAAAAGTAAAATATTTGCTGAAATGAACAAAGAAAATAATTTTTCACATTGCAAACTCCACTTAACCACCCATGTTAATTACTAAAAAGAGGCAAAACATATGCAAAATAGTTCTTTCAAATTCTGCATTCCAATAACCATGATAACTTAGTAGAAATATGGTGAAAAATTAACAGCCAAATCTGTCATAATAGTCAATTATTATAGTATTATTTACTTTTATCTTGAATCTTTTTACTTTCTCTTAAATTCGATTCTTTTCTCAAATTTTGATTACCTTGAAATATTTTGCTTTGATCTGGGATGCTGTGCCAGCTTAAGGTATCACAAATATATTTGAATTACTGATAAAAGAAAAACTTAATCTGAAATAATGGATTTATACATCAATTAATTGTAATAATTCCTGTAAAATATCTTAATGCATATCAGTACAGTACATCATATATGGTTAACATTTTCTTTCTGGAATAACTTGCATATGTTATAATAATAAAACTTTAATATAGGCTGGTAAATACAAAAAAAAAATACTAATATGAAACAAAACAAAGTTTTCATACAGACATGTAACACCTTATAAAGTTACAGGCATGTTTTATTTATTTAATATAATTTTCTTTTTCAAGACACAATATCAATGTAAGTCTAAGCCACTATCCGAAGCAAGACAAGTTACAAAGATAACGCCATAAAGTTAAAAATATCTTTGATTTTCAGGCTTGTTACAAGGAAGTCTTTAAAAACCTCTCCCATCATGCAAGAGAGTCCCTTGTCCTACGAATTAACCCCAATCACTAAGGCATGTGAGACAAGACACACTTTCCTATGGTCCTCAGCTCTTCATCACATTCAACAACCCTATGCCAATCGGCGCAATATTCCCTTATATCTTGCGACATTCCGCCATTTCTCACCGCTTACAACCTGTACAGAAATAATTAAATACAGAAAGTGACCGAAGACAAGACACAATACCGCGTGCGTGGACAGTGAGACCACACTCTCACACCAGCTATATCATACGCGTACACAGACCTGTCATATTTCATGAAAGTCCATTACGTCTGAACGACCAACACGAGTGAAGTGTGCGAGAGCATAACTAGTGACCTCATCCCACTCATTCTATCCAACTCTATCGCTGACACTTTTCATAGAAACAATATATTATATAACAAATATTCAGGGTCCACCAAATTTGTATTACATATATCCAAAATTCTTAATATCTGAAAGGCCAAAATAATTGAAAACGAGTTGGGACTGTGGCAACAGCACTGTTATAAGCAGTATATCGTTATAAGTTTGGAGTTTACTATACCTATCGGTAAAACAAAATAATAATGTCAAAATAAATTCCACTCCAAAAATATGATGTTTTATAAATTAATTTTAAGTTTTTGTAAAGCCATTGGGTTAAATTGTGATATCTTAGTCTGCCAATTCTTTATTATCATAAACTTAACAAGGCAAATTTTCTTATAAATTGTTTAATAAAAGTGTGTCTCAATGTTCAGACCCACTTAACCTAAATTAACCATTCATTATTGTACAAAATCTAAATAAATAACCGTACCTCATCTTTATTTTTGCCAAAAGTCAACACTGTACCACTTTAGGATCTGTGACAGTTTATTGTTCTGTTTACGTCCCCCATGTCAACCTGGCATCCATTCATCTCCTTCCAGGAACGACTCTGCGGCCAAGTTTAGAGTCATAGATACCCTAAACAAAAAACAAGCAGATGATCATAGTATTGCAAGCAATCCATAAGTCCCCTAGCCGGTTAGAACCCCAGCAACTTTTCTGATGGGCCGCATTGGGCCAGTCAATTTTACCAGTGATATGAAATGACATGAATGAACTTAAATCTTTTGAGTTCTAAGTTTGTCTATATCACAGTAATGTGTTAAGTTTCCCTGCCTAGTAAGGAAAAATTATGTTTATACAACCTTGTCATATTATTACAATGTGGGATTTTAAAAGTAAAATCCTATAATGAATGAAGAATTGGAGTGAAAAATACCAATTTCTCGAAAAAAAATTTAAGTTCAAGGGGGACATAATTCTGGAAATAGTCTGCTAGAGTATTTAACCTTCTCAAAAATGTTGAGTGATAATAAGAAAGCGATATATATGAAGTTTGAAGTAGATACATTAGGAAATAAAGAAGTTATTTAAAAAAGACAACATTTTTTTTCATAAAAAATTCTAAGGTCAAGGGAAGGTAAATACTGATAATTTTTGTGCTAGAGTTGTAAAACCTTGTCACATATGATGTGGTTGATGACCAGAAACTTATATTTAAAGTTTGAAGTAAACACCTTAAGAAAATAAAGAACTTATATAGTGAAAAGCTGAAAAAATTTAAATCAAAATCTTGAAATTCAGGCTATTTGTTGCCGTAGCAACCAGAATTTCAACATAGGAAGAAAAAAAAAAAGACGTGCATAATCTCCATACTGCCATCTATCCATGTATCAAGTTTCATAAAAATATTTACAGTACTTTTTGCGTTATCGCGGGATCCAGTTTATGTGTTCAATTTGCCATATTTTCAGGCTATTTTTTGCCATAGCAACCAGAATTTTCCACATAGGAAGAAAAAAAAAAGACGTGCATAATCTCCATACTGCCATCTATCCATATATCAAGTTTCATAAAAATATTTTCAGTACTTTTTGCGTTATCGCGGGATCCAGTTTTGTGGACTGACGGACAGAGGGTAAACATAAAGTCCACTCCGGTTAAACCGGTAGGGGACTAATAAAAGCATAACCTTTATTGTATTTGTTAATAATATGAGCAGTGTTGAGATGAGAAAAGAAAACGTGTTTCTTGCATATAGACTGGCATTTCTGTAAGTTTTACTCATGCCGAAAATTTCATCTGGTATTGGGGGTGAGATGAGTCATATGCTATACAATGGCATGCTTAGGATGACGTTATTTTACCGTATGCATGGAGTTGTAATTTCATACGCTGTAGTAAGAAAATAGTTACAGATGTAATGACATAAATTTCCAAGGAAAATTGATTTTTTAAGGTAGATAATTTTAATTTAATGGAAAATGGTAGATTATGCAAGAAAAAATATCTGACATATGCTTGCGGTTCGGATCGCAATATCAGTTCCTTGGGAACCCACCCATTTGCAGCCCCCTTGGGACAGATATTCCGATCGAAACAGCAATCCCTCAGGACAACAACATAAATGATATTATTAATATAAATAAATGTATGAATGACCACAGGAAAGTGTTATACCAGTATACCACCGGGTATATTGCCTAGTATATTGTATTGTAAGGTTAAGTATAGATTGATCTATCGATTCAGTTTACAAGGTCAAGCCCTAATAATAATTTATAATCACCTCGGCAGAGTAAGTTTTGATAGGAGGACAGCTTTTAGCGCCACACACTAGGGCAAAGTGTATAAGAGGTTCTGGTGTTTCCAAGGATACTTTCAGTCTTGCATCTGAGGAACCAAATGGCTTCATGAACATACCTGCAAATGGTGGAAATAACAAAGTCATTTTAGGTTTTATCACATACTTGTGCCACTTTTGTGACTCTGTAAAAATGGTATTGCACGGCTGTGTATATATGTTTGACAAGACATCATACAAACAGCATAAAGACACACATTTTAGTGAATAAGCATCATACTATAGGCGTGTCAATGAAAAATGATTATTTTTGTGTCACCTTGAAAAAGGCAACATATAGGGGTTACTTTTGTCGATGGTGTCAGCGTCCCCTTAAGATTGTCCGGAACATAATTCAGTCATTATAAGTCAGATTGACTTCAAACTTGGTATGCATGCTTCTTTCAATAACCCGAAGTGCAGTGCACAAGGACCGGTACTCTTCAGTTCTTATTTTTTGAGTTATTGCCCTTTGTTAATTTTCATACTTTAATTTTGTCCGGGCCATTTCTCTTTAACTAAAAAAGCTATGGACTTGAAACTTCATAGGATGATAGATCTCATTAAGAAGAAGTGCAGTACACAAGAACCAGTACTCTTCATTTGTTATTGTTTGAGTTATTGCCCTTTGTTAATTTTCATACTTTATTTTTGTCCAGGCCATTTCTCCTAAAGTATAAAAGCTATGGACATGAACTTCATAGGATGGTATATCTCATTAAGAAGAAGTGCAGTGCTCAAGAACTGGTACTCTGCATTCCTTATTTTTTGAGTTATTGCCCTTTGTTAATTTTCATACTTTATTTTTGTCCAGGCCATTTCTCAATAAATTATAGAAGCTATAGACTTGAAACTTCATAAGATGATAGATACTTATTAAAAAAGAAGTGCAGTGCATAGAAACTGCTGCTCTGCATTTCTTATTTTTTGAGTTATTGCACTTTGTTAATTTTTCATATTTCACTTTTTGTACTGGCCACTTCTCCTAAACTATATTGTTCACAAGGCGAACACAATCCGACTCGCGGAGTTTCTAGTTTCACTTTAATAGTCTTTATTGTGGATATGTGATAAACAGAATATTGTGTTTTGTGTATGTTCATTCCTGAATATATTGAACTCCAGAGACTCGCATAATGTATTTCCAGTCAACTCTTTCAATAAATTCAGTATTGAACTTACACTCATTCAATATGCCCTATATATCAATTCTGTATCATGTAAATCATGTTTGGTTTTCATGCCAATTTCAACACATTTTTGGTTAAATCTCAGCAGACGGTCCACCTAACGACTTTTCTACATACTTGCCAATTTCTCTGCAAGCGACTGACTACTTACGTGAATCATCAGTAAGAGACAATTGACTCTAAGACTCAAAGTCCGAAATCAATTGTCACAGTGAATTTTAGCATGTCTCAAGAATTAAACCAGCCACCCCTGGATAAGGAATACAATGCTCATCAATTTTGTAAATATTTATGTTACTAGGCAGAGATGAAATAAAAAAAGTTAGGTTACTGACAATAATAAAAGACAGAAAATTACTATAAGCAATTTGAAGTTGTAGTATTTTTATATCAGAATGTCATACCCATTCCTTTCCTGTTGGCACGGAGCACACCATTTTCTATGTCCTGTAACGAGTACTGATGTCCGCCAATTATGTACCGCACTGTGTTGAAAAACTGAAATACATAATTATGCCCTTTACATTACTAAAAACTCAATAAAGACCCCGCAGATTTAGACCCCGAACAAGTTCTTGAATTCTTCACTCATAATCACCAATAGCACCATGCTTTGGAAATGTAAAAGATAGATTCGGTAGAACAAACACTACATGTTTAAGTTCATGAACTAAAAATTGTTCCTTTACAACCACAATTAATTGAAATGCTTTGCAAAAACTACATTTTAAAGAACACAGGATAGATTCTAGTATGTGCATACAAACTTTAAAATAAAGTTTCAGACAAAATAATCAAGCACCTTAAGATTTCAGACAAGTAGAGTTTTCCTATTTGTCAATGCAATAAAATTAATTCTCCTAAAATTTTAAGTCTAAGGTAGCCCAATTAGGATAGGTAAAAATTACATTTTCACAACACTGGTTATCTCACTAAACTGGAAGTTTTTGACCACGCCAATACCATTCACTTTCAAACACTTCACTTTTAATAAATGTCATGATTTTGAACTGTTCATTATCTGAAGTAACAAGAGCTGTCGGAAGGACAGCACGCTCGACTATTCTAAGTGCTTGATAGTAAAAGAGCCTTGATAATGTTAAATTTTTTAAGATCACAAAAGGTCTAATTTTTTTTTAATAAATTCATGTTATAGGCCTTAGAGAGAGTCTAATTATACAGTATTGGCTTGACTATCCGGAAGGTAATGTCACAAGGTTGTTTTATTGAGTATAATAATACTAATTACCTATGAATACAAAAATTTGACAGAAAAGGTACAAAGGGATTCTAATTAAGATGTTTTATCAAGTAAATCACTGCTTTATTATTATGAATGCATAAAATTGTCCCAAAAAAGGCACAAACCCTTCAGTAGTAATTGAGATAACAGGCTTACAAGCAAAACTTTACCATGAATTTCTAAGTTGAAAAAGGGGAGAAAAAATCAGCCTAAATGCAAGATAGAATTATGGATCTTTGTCAGTGACCTACAATTATGACCCTAAATGCATATGTGAAGTTTTAAATAAATATCTTTAATAGTTATTGAGATATGTAAAACTTGCATGTTAACATTAACCAAGAGACTAAGTAGAAAAGGGGATATGAATCAGCCTTAATGCAAGATAGAGTTATGTGAAACTTGGTCAGTGACATACAATTATGACCCTCCAATTATGACCCTAAGTGCATGTGTAAAACATTCAAGTAAATATCTTTGAAGACCTTTAACCTTTAACCCAAATTTCTAAGTTTCAAAAGGGGCAAATAATTCTTCAAATTTTGCAGGCAGAGTTATGCAATTTTGCAAACTGATGTACATTGTTACTATAAAAAAAGTATTTTAAAATTTCAATTGAAATATCTCAAGCAATAATTGAGATATTTGACTTTACAAAAGAACTTAAACCAAAATTTCTAAGTTCCAAAGGGGCATAATTCTGTCAATATTGTAGGCAGAGTTATCCAACTTGTCAAATCTGATGTACCTTGTTACTATAAATAAGTATTGTAAGTTTTCAATTGAATATCTCAAGCAATAGTTGAGATATTTGACTTTACAAAAAACTTTAACGCAAAATTTCTAAGTTAAAAGGGGCATAATTCTGTCAATATTGTAGACAGAGTTATCTCACTTGTCAATCTGATGTACCTTGTTACTATAAATAAGTATCGTAAGTTTCAAATTGAATATCTCAAGTAATTTATTGAGATATTTGACTTTACAAAAAACTTTAACCAAAATTTCTAAGTTAAAAAGGGGCATAATTCTGTCAATATTGTAGGCAGAGTTATCCAACTTGTCAATCTGATGTAACTTGTTACTATAAATAAGTATTGTAAGTTTCAATTGAATATCTCAAGTAATTATTGAGATATTTGACTTAACAAAAAACTTTAACCAACGCAGACGCCGACGCGGACGCGGACGCCGACGCCGGGGCGACTACAATAGCTCTCATATTCTTCGAATAGTAGAGCTAAAAATGTGTAAGCTGCCGGATAGCTCAGTCGGTAGAGCCACAGAACGGTATTCCCAGAGTCCTGGGTTCGAGTCTCACATTTTTCTCACCCAGTGACATGAGTTATTATAATAACTTACATGTATGTAGCTTAAATATGACAGCCTTAGACTAGAAACAAAAACAAAAAGCATTCTTAAGTCCTCGTTGCAATTATTTATCTCAATTTTAAGAAAGAGATTTAACCTTACCTTATACCTCTGCCAGAGATTTACCGGTGGTTCCCATGGTTTAACAAAATTAGCAATGTTAATCCACCTGCGCAATTATAAACATTGATGGAAGAAGGGAAAACTTTCCCCTCCCAAGTTCCCTTTTTCCCTATCTAAATTTACAAGCCCTTTCGAAAATTTTTTGATTTTGTTAAAATTTTCGTTTATTTCTCCCCTTTTCCCTTTTGTATTTTCATTTCTAGATAAAAACAAAAAAAATTTTTTTTCCCTTTTATTTTTCCGTTTAAATTTTATTGATGGATTTTGAAAGTTGGGGTTTTTAAATTTCTTTTTCACAGTCAAATTAATTGCTTTTTTTACAAAGGGAAAGCCCCTCCATTATGTCATCTAAATTATAATAAGTAGGAAAACCCCAAAAGGGAAAAACCTTTTGGCCCTTTCCCTCTTTTTTAAATAAAACACCAAAGTAATTTAAGTGTAAATTTACAACATGAAAAGGGTTGGATATTTTTCAACTGTGAGCAGCGGGAAATCAGTTAAATTTTGCCCTTTCCCACAAAAAAAACCCATCGGTTACCTTCACCCTTTTAATGAAAAATACTACATTAACAGATGACAAATTTTATCAAATATTTTAAATTTTTAAATTTTAAAAAAGTAATTTACACATTGCAAATGATTGTAAATTAACAACAAAAAGTGGTCAAAAAAGGCCCTCACAGCGTAGTGAAGTCAAGCAATAGATTATGGTAATAAATATGGTACATTATTACTTGAATATTTCTATTTTTCTTAAAATTTTATTACATTTTTCTCAAATTTGATTTTCTTGAAATATTTTGGTTCAATTCTGGAGACCTGCAGCTTTAATCTTGGTCAATCACAAATGACTGTAGGAATTACCTTATTTTTATTCTAAAGTAAGCAATGATTTAGCTTCAAAATGTTTTAAAGTGTATAAAGCTATATATCTGTTGCTTTACAGCGGTTATAATAAATTTACTGTGAAATCTTGTTTTAGAGAAAGATGATACTGTTGTTAAAGAGAGATCATTGCACTACAGAGGGCCACTTTGCTGAGTTTATACTGAATATACATTAATCTATACAATATTTATTTTACCATCAAGTTCCTATACAAAATGATCAAATAAGATTATAATACATAATGTGTATACCTAATTAAATTTAAGTTTGCCCTTACGGAATTCACTTATAAGTCACTTATAGGCTATTTTATATGTAGATTATACTTCACTTAGTCAATTCACCTATAAGTCAAGTATATGTATTTTAAATGCAAATTAGATGTAAGTGCAGTATATGTCTGGCATTTTGACATATAAGTGAAGTATAAGTTATATATAAGGCACAAATATGTGACATGTAAGTCAAAGATATGCTCAACTTATAAGTAACATATAAGTGGACTTATATGTTACATATAAGGTGACTTATATGTTACATTTATAAGTGACTTAATATAAGTCACTTATAAGTAACATATAAGTCACATGTAAGTGGCATATATGTTGCTTGATGTCAAAAAACCTTGAAATAAAATAAAAGTTTAGTAATTTAATTTCAAAAATGTTTATTAATTTATATTCATAGTCATATAAATGAGCAAAATACAAAATCCAACATACATATCCTTCAGTTTCAATCATCTTACATTCACTATAACATAAACAATATTCATTTCTAGCAGCAAGTTTTTGTTTTTTTATACTGGTTTCTTGGAATCAAACAACTTTATTTATACAATTATTTTTGCTGGAAGTCTGTCGGTGAGGAACTGTTCAAATCATAAATTTGATCAAATGTTTCTTGATTATTCAAACTACTATTTCTTTTATTGATGTCTGTTTCAGTGCTCTGCTTCTATTTCCTCGGAGAACTTTCATTGTGGCTGTTGTTCACCTTTAAAGATAAAATTCATAATTAATTAAAAAAGATGTGGAATAAATTCCGACCATTGTATATGCAGTTAAATTTCATATTTTTTTTATATCATCAAACTATATAAGCTATTTATGCTTATGCATATACGAATATACTAAGTTACACAGTATCTCATTTTAGTGCACAAGTCAACAGTGTTGTTTAAGAATTGCTAAAAGTCTCTATAAGAATTGATTTACTGCACTATTTGCAACAAAATTTATTATGCTCTTTTCTGTGAAAGAGTTAGAGCAGTAAGTATAGAGATTTAAAAAAATATACCTTTTCAGGCTCAATACTGCATATCATTATTCACCTGGCATCTCAAAGTAAGAACTGGTCCACTAGCCTGCAATGTAGTGTAAATGTAATATCAGATTTCTCCATTGAAAACAACAATAAAATGATAAATGATTATGATAACCCTGTCTTATTCAGCTGCATAAAACTACTGATTGTACTATTTAGTTCTAAAAAAATTCAATTAATTTAACTATTAAATCTAGATTTAAATCAATTACAAGTATTAGTAAATCTAATGTATGAAGCTTAGAAATAAAAAACAGCCTTGGATCTCTCAAGTTACAAATTTTAGTTTTTGCTGCCATCTTACTTTGATTGTTTAATACAAATGTATATAACCTGTATCAATTCTGCATAAATGTAACTCAAAGGTATTTACCTGATTTTGTTGTATATCTTCTTGTCCAAGGTGATTCTTCTTGTCATTCTTATTTACCATAACTATACTTAAACATCTTAAACAAAACAATATCTCTAAAATTCCTAAAACATCAAGTAGATTCTCTGTGATTTCCACCAGCTTGCTAACCTAAATGTTTTCAGACTTACAACTGTGTACCTGGGGCAGGTCCAATGTTATGTAAAACAGGGTAAATCCAAAAAATCAAAGCACTCATCAGTTCTATCTTACAATCATTGAATGTTAAAAAAATCAAATATGTAATAGATATGTAAAGTTTTAAAAATTATTATACATTTTTTGAAAAAGAAAATGCAATGTCCTTTTTTACAAATTCAGGATAGGAATGTTATCTTTCCCCCAAAATAATCACATGGAACAGTCTGATTTGTAGGAAATGACCAGTCAAAAAAATTAGTCATGCACATATGGTGGCAAAGGCAGGTGGCCAGTTTTATCAGACCTCTGATCTATGTGGTGTATCAGTGGATGTAGAAAAATATAAGCAATCTTCAGGCCATATTGGTTCCTTGATTTTATATAGATTAAAAGGGCAATATAGAACTGTTTATTTTTAAAGCACTGTTTTTTTTAGTTTAAATATCTAAAATACACTAGGCCTAAATGTCTTAAAAATAACACTTGTATATTAAAAAAAAATTACACCTCTTTTTCTTGTTAGAATATCTTACTTCCCCGAAATTAGGTCTGTAAGAAGTACAGTTGGTTTAAAAACATATAGATTTTCAATGTCTGTTTCAAGTTAGAAAAAAAAAAAACAAGAGTAGAATCTATGCCTTGGGTGACTTTTATGTGAAATATTTTCCTTGTTGAGAAGAAATGACATGGAAATTTCATTTCTGTCCATGGTAGCCTAGAAATCACTGATTGAATGCCATTTCTGTCCCAATTCCGCACAGAATATGTACCCAAAATTTTTTACAGGTAATATACTTAATTGATAATCATTTTTCCTATTATCTTATTTAAAAAAAACCCAGCTGTGTTAAAAAAATTAATAAGCAACATTTAAAAAAAAAATTCTTAAGTGTTTGTGATTAAGGGTCTAAGATTATAGTATTTTAAATTCTCAGTATTTTGATACCCATTGTGTTAAAGCAAAGAATTACAAATCAACTTCAATAAATTTTATCAATTTTTCTCATGTTTTTGTACTTAGTAATTTTTTCAGCTTTGGTCAGTAATAAAAAGTCTCGCAAAAGTTCTAAGTTTTCACTTATATCTAACATAGAAACTGGTTACTTCAAACTTCAACAGTATAAGGCACTTATAGGTGACTTGTATGTGACTTATATGTTGGGGAAAAAATGGCCAAAAGTGAACTTATATGTAGCATATACCTATAACTGACTTAGACAGGTTTTTAGGTGATTTATAAGTGACTTATATGTAACTTATAGTTCTCTTATAGGTCAAGTATAAGTTGCATATAAGAAACATATAAGTCACTTAAAGTCATTTTGGTAAGGGTACTCACTACCATTATACATGTACATGATACAGTTTTTAATTATCAAAAAATTAGGACACAAAATCAGTTACAGTATGCAGATACGTACGTAGCTTATATATATAGATAATAATACATTGAATTTCACTATTATCAGCAGCTAATATATAGATAATACAACATTCACTGTTATCGGCCGCTAATCTTTCTATGTCAGTATTCAGATAAATTAAGATATGACCTTACCTTCCCATCAGGTGATAAATAACTACTGTAAATTTTAAGTATCAGTTTCCTCAAATCCTCTCCCAATTCTCCCGCTGTAATTGACCAATATGACATATATAAATAGTTATAATTATGTAGTATAATACTTGCATACATTGTAATGTACATGTTATAGGATCCTACACAGAATTTAGCTGCGCCACGACAAAACAAACATAATGGGTATGCGACCAGCATGGACCCAGACCAGCCTTCGCATCCGCGCAGTCTGATCAGGATCCATGCTGTTCGCTTACCAACTCTATTACAAGTAGAGAAACTGACAGAGAACAGCATGGATCCTGATCAGACTAATGTTTTCCTTTTCAAGATATATAGCTCAAGACATTATTTTTCAAATAGTAGCAAATTCTACTATCCTGTTTTTTAAATTTATTGATTTGTAGTTCCAAATAACCTTTTTGCATTTTTGTCCCAATGTAAATCACCATGACATATTAAGAGGGATTATAATTGCATATGGAAAAAAGTTTTTGTAGAAATTATTTTTCTTCATTCTGGACTTTTGCTTGACCAGAGTTTCTAAGTTGCAATATAATAACATTTATGCACACTTTTCCTCCCTCTTCTTATTAAACACAGCCATATTTCTTTGCATATCTTTGTTAATTTCTTGGGGGAGGTGGGGAGGTGGAGGGGGGAATGTTCATATCACTAAAAACAGACATTTAAACATGTTTGGTTGCTTGGATCCAGACCTCTCACATCCTAAATGCGCATCTTACCCCTACACCACAGGCTTCCTATACATTTATTAGGAAAAAGTTGGAAGCAAACTAAATTATTCTTAATTAAGAATTTCCATTAGGGTTTGAAATCCTTCAGTAAAGATTAAATGGTAACAAATGTAATATTCTTTTCTTCTCATGATATTAAATAACTTAAGCAAAAAGAATAAGTTGAAATAAAGGCAAAATGGTTACATTCTCATCATAATTAAGTCACTTCACCCATTGTATTTAAATAGCATTGATAAAGTCATGACCTTTTACATTAAACATGTATAATATTATCAAGTTATATGTATTTAACTTTTTTTTAAACAATAGGTAGATATGTTTGAATGATTATACAGCTGGAATAACCATATATAACACATGTGAAATGAATAGGGCGAGTTTAATATTTTGTCAGCTGGGTACTATAAACACATTTTCAGAAAGAATAAAATGCATGGCATTAAAGGCAAGACATGTCATGTGATAAATATATCAATAGCTCTCCTTATCAAATCCATTTAAAACATACATTGGAGATTAAATACTTGTCAATGCTTAAGTTTCAAACTGATTTTTACCTTTCTAGTACAAAATCTTAATAAATTAAGCAAATAGAAAAATTGTTCCAGAAAAAAAGAAGAAAAAAAACCAGGTTAGAAGATCAGCTAAAATGATTACTATGTCAGCATCCTTTACAACAAAAGACTTTGAAGTACATTTTTTTAATAAAATATTATTCAGTATTGTACTATGTGATAACAAATTAACCTATTTTCAGAATATAATGTTATCATGATTTCATATTAAGGTCAATATAGGGAATGTAGATTAATCAAGGTACATGCACATTTAATATTGAACAGTAGGTCAACAAAGGTTATTGAATTAATGGGTCATCAAAGGTGGCTGATTAATACAGAACATTACAAAACAAGAGGGCCATGACAGTCCTTTCAATGCTCCTCCAAATAAAAACTGTAGCTACCTTTTTTTTCTTCTCATGCTGAATATTGTACAATTATAAAGGTTCAATAAAAAGATCAAGATATTCCTTCATCTTTGCCACTGAACAAGTTTGATACAGATTCAATCAAAACAGTAACCTCAAGACTGGTAACAAGCTTCTGACCTTTTCCCTTTGGACACTGGATGACCTATAATTATTTGAAGTTGACCTTACAATTATCAAGATAAAAAATGCTGTAAGTAATACTGATTATAGCTCACTAAGATACATGATGATTAAATAGATTTTAACTTACTGGCCATGGACAATGTTCCTTCTAAATTTCAGAAACCTAAGCTAAGTTCTTACTAGAAAAGGATTCTATCCTAATTGTAAATGTGACCTTGACCTATCGATCTCTTCACCAAGAAGAGTCATATACTGACCAAAGGCAACGATATTACACTCAGCATTTTTGCCACCATTGACATTATGACCTCAAACTCAATATAGGTAATCTATTGCCCATGACTATCCTCCCTACTAAGTATGAAAATAGTACAAATGATAGTTATTAAGTTATTGAGCAAATATTGATGTTGCTAACAGACAGAAAGGCAAACAGAAGTTCTCCCATAATAAACATTTCTCTTTTGTGATCTCTAAAACACCATAAGCAAATTTTTTCTCCACAAGTACAGCCTGTGTGTAATGAACACAGAAATTCATCCCACCAAAGTGTGTGCGAATAGACGGATGAACAAGACTTACTGCCATACCATAAAAGGACAAAAGTGATATTTGGAAGTATGAAAAGAATATATTGTACTAAGAAGTTCTTTATGGACAGTCATTGTAATCAGCAAAAAGAAGTCACTATAGAAGGCATATATTACCTGGTCGCGGTTTACAATCCGAGGGCCCGGCATTTAAAGCACTACTATCATCATCCTCAAGAAGTCTGTAATAGACATCTTTATCCTCAAATGTTTCCTGATCTTTTACCTGATGGCCAAAATGGCGATCTATCAAGGCTTGTCCCATCTCTATGGCCCTTTCTCGATCTTTAAATAGTAAATTAAATAGTAATTTAATTATCTATGAAACAAAATGTCCAATCCCTTGTGCTGAAAATGTGTACAAGAACAATAGAAAAAAATATAAAGTATTCTTACATGTTAAGAAGAGATCTGTACACACAGAGAAGTTTAATTAAAAGCAAACTTCATCTATAATTGATGTTCAAAAGTTGATAGATAATAAGGAAAAAGAATTGTTAGTTTTCTATGAAAGTATTGTTTCTTTTTATTTTAACATCTTGCAGAGATATCTGTATTTCTGGTGTTTTTAAATCTAAAAGAATGCATTAACCCTTCCACTGCCTGTAAATTGAAAAGTTGACCTTTGACCTTCAAAAATGACCTTGACCTTAAGAGGCAGTCTGCCTGCTACACATTTTGAAGACATTTGCCAAATATATAAACAATCCATCAAGATATAACAAGGTTATAAGCCTTACAAGGCTTACAGACTTTGACCTTTGACCTCCAATTACGACATTGACTTTAAAAGCCTAGCTGCACATAAAGTAAATGATGAAACACTTGCTGTGACCTTGACCTTTGAGTTCTAAAAGCCAGGGTGAAGTTTGAAGTTCCTAGGTTGATGCAGTTTGCTGAAATGGCCTATTTTATCTTTTGCTATTACAGGTAATAGTGACCTTGACTTTTAGTCTTTTGACCTGCAGGTAGAACTCATCAAGGTGCATCCACATATAATATTTCAATATAACAGATTTGATGAATGTTGAAGTTAACAACAATAGATGAAAACATAACCAAAAAGGTTAAGCAACATTTAGGCCAATGACTGGGTAAGGAAAATAGCTCCAAACCAAACTCAAAACTTTAAAAAAAATCAATCTATACAATGTCAATTACAGTTCATTTAATAATTTTTAAATCGGTTAAGTTTCATGTAATTCATGTGATAAAATGGTGTCACATGTAGAGGACAACTACACTGTAACAATATTAAGTATTTCATTGCACTTTAGTACACAGTCATAATTGCTTGTTTCAATGTCTAAAGTTTAGAAAAAAATCTACTGCTGAGAAGGAAATTGTTCATATCCTTATTGCCACAACTGTCCTCAAACGAGTTTTAAAACATTCATACTATGAGAAATGTACCATGATTAATGCAACTTCACCTATTATCAAAGTTACATGTGTACTTTGTGACCAGTTATACATATACACATACATATGCTCCTCCTCATAAAGCTTGTGATGCAAAAACAGTTTCCAAAGGATTCAAGTGCTACAGTCCTTAATCATCCCCTGTAAACACTTGATCTTGCACCTTTTGATTAGTTTTTATTTACAAAAGTAAAACGTTTCTAGTTTAGAGATATTCATCAAGAAAAGCACTTGGTTACGGCTGTATTTAAGCGCTTCAGCAGAATACCTGTTTCAGACTATGAAATATGATTTAAATTTTAGATAAAGTGGTTAAAAAATGTACCTGTACATGGGATTCTTTTGAAATGCCATAATTGAAAATATCTACAAATGTTTATAAACCTAAAACTTCTGAAGTAAAACTGCAATATTTTCTGAACACCAATCGTATTCATGATCAACCCATAGGCCACGTTAGGTAATATATATTTCATATATTAATACATGTCAATATATGTAGTGAAGTATACTGAAATAATTGTCTTACCAACTTCCTTAGTTTTGACCACCCAGTCAACAAATTCTTTGCCACTGAAAGAATTTTTGTAGCTTCTCAGCAATGATCTATGGTCTTTTATGATTCCTGAATTCCTCAGTTCTTTTACAAACTCAGCATATTCATCAGGTTCACACACTATATCTCCAACATCTGAAATAATTAGCGAACAGTCAATAATTTTCTATTCTGTCAATCCCCTCCTATCAACTATAAAGAATGATACAGACAGCTGAGCCAAGTTTTTGTTGAACTTTGAGTGAAATCAACACTGTAAAAGACACACAGCCATTTTTCAGCTTCACTGGTGGAGGAATACCTCAGATGGTTGTGCCCCTTCTTGCATTATTTCAGTCACAAGCCCTGAGTTGAACAACCAACCTTAAGCTGGATTGAACTGACCCATAAGTAAAATATGTACTAATGAGATAAAATTGAAAAATCTAAATTAATTATAGGAAAGAAATGTCTTAACAACAAAAACTTTGATTCAACCAGTTTTTATTTTTAACTAAGGCAACAGATGTGCCAACAAAAACAAATGGTTTGGCCAAGGATCAAGGGGGATATCTTAATCCAAATGCTGAAAATACAACTGATTTTAACAGCCTTTTAACCGATGATATGTATCGCCAATCTTTTAATAATTAAAAGGTAATGCAGCTATGAAAATTCCACATTTCAGCTACAAATATAGTAGTGCCATGACATGCAGGCTGGCCTGGCTCTATTCTTGTGGCACAGCCTAATTACTTTTGTTTCCAACAGGTAAAGAGTTAAAAATATGTGAAAAAAAGAATGCATACCAAAAGATTTTACAGCAGTGCTTGGATCAGGAACTTGTGGAGCATCAGGACCAGCTGGTGTACTTTTCAACACTTCCAGTGCCTCTGTCCACTTTTCTTGGTCTTTTACCTTGATAAAACATATTTAGATCACTCAATTTACAAGATCTTGCACACAATTTTATTCTTATATAAAAAGGTAAATAATTAAGTCCAAGTTGTTGCTAAAGCTACATATCTTTGATAGAAACCTACAATTATTATCCCAAAGAAATGTATGACCCTTGCATTAAGTACCTTCAGTGGTTAATGAGCTATGAAGTGACACATAAACTTTCATTATACATATACAATGTATATAAGTTCATATTTGCCAAGATGTAGACATTTATATTACTTTTAAGTAATAAACAAAACAAACAACAGGTTAACATGTGAGTATGTTCTTATATGATATAATTATTATACATCTAATAAAAAAGTCAACAATATTTTTAATTACCAAATTTTGTAGATCCTCGTTACCACCAATATGTCTGGCATTGAAGAATATCTGAGGAACTGTTCGTTTTTGTGTTCTCATCTGAACGTCTTGACGAGCGTGTGGATATTTCTCTAAGCTCACATCTGTGTAAGGTACACCTAACTCCTGTAATGTACTCTTGGCCTTCATACAATGGGGACAACCCAAGATGGAGTAAACTAACACTCTTCCTTTAAGTTCCATTGCCATCTTTAATGTCCTATAGTTCATTCAATATTGAACAGTTGAATAAGCAATCAATTCTTCAAGTTCCACTGTCAGCCGTCACGATTATCCTGGCTGCGGCTGTTGTATCATTCAATAACATTCATCGATAATTAACAGATTATTATACAGTAACCTGAAACTAGCTAAAGTTCAAATTTCCGTACACAATTTTGACATGCAACAATAAGCGAGGCTGAAAGACATGTACCCCAACAAATAACAGATAAATAAACAACGTTCAAAATTTACTAAGTAAATGCACTATAATTAATACCTTGTCACACCCATATATATAATTAGATAAATCATTGATCAATGTAAGAGATGTACATGTATACCCGGAATTGATTGAGCTTGTTCAACCGTATAAAAGGGGAGTAACTTTTGTAATATTACTACACTATCATGTCCAGTTACTTTTACAAAATAAGCCACAGTGTTATTAAGATTTTTATAGGTTATATTGTCTAAATAAACGGTTATATTGCAAATAACCGTTTAAATACATATACTAACGAATTTCTGACACAACAAACTTCCTTTATTAGAGCTGGGACAGAAGACATAGGGCCTATCCCAGATGAGAGGAAAAACTGAAATAACTTTATGAATCGGCAGTAGCAGCCGTTTATATAGATTTTATAATCGCCATATTGTTACAAACATGCAAAAATATAAATGATGAAATAATTATGAAGTGCCTTTAAGTAAATCTAAAAACTCACGTATCATCACAACCACAGAGCTGTATTATGAGTGTAAGAGACAAGGTCGACCGTCGCGGATGTTTTAAATTAGGCCTACTGTTTCAATAAGATTGCGTAAATTCTCCGACTATATAATTGAATCACTACTATTTCACCACAAGTTTCAAAAAGAAAAAAAGATATTGATTTTGTCAAGCAATAAAAAGCTTTGATTAAAGATTGGGTGTTTTTTTCTAACCTAGTTAATGAATGGAGTTTTATTTGCGATTTTTGTATCAGACATATATTATATACTCGTAAATGCCTTATAACACAAAATTTAATGCATATGTTAGGACTCTAGTACTATTGCTACTTTGTCGAATTTTACCCTGTGTAGTTATTAAAATATCATTTTGATTATTTTCACTTAAATTTGTTTTATAAACGTAGTTTTAGCTGGGAAATTGCATAATGACAAAACCGAGCAAACACGTATAATGTCTGAAAATCTTGCGTTTAAAAGAGATATTGATAACAGCTGTGAGCAAAAACACATATTTAAGCAAATTAAAGCTGCAACCGCTACAAGTAAAATACAAGTAAAAGCTGCAACCGCTACAAGTAAAAGCTGCAACCGACACAAGTATACAGAAGCTGCAACCGAGACAAGTAAAAGATGCAACTATACAAGTATGACATAGTTCATGATTTGGGTTTCATTTAGTTCATTCCTAAAACAGCACGTAAAGCATAATTGAGCCTCGTCATGACAAAATCAACTTAATGGGTTTGCGACCAGCATGGATCCAGACCAGCCTGCGCATCCGCGCAGTCTAATCAGGATCCATGCTGTTCGCTATCAGTTTCTCTACTTGTAATAGGGTTGGTAAGCGAACAGCATGGATCCTGATCAGACTTAAATTAATTAAAATATTTTACGAGTAATTAATGGTCGTTTGTGGTTTATGCTAACAGACTAATTTCTAAAATAAATAAAATAAAATAAAAATCTAAACAATCACATTTATATTACATTATGTTTCTTTGAAGCGAATAGGCTAAAATCAAAAGTTCACCAACACTTATAGTCCGAATGTTAAACTGCATTTTCGTCAACATTCCAAGCATATAAATCTACCTTAAACTTTTAATTGCAAATTTCTTTTAGCCATACCATATACATTTATTAGTAATAAAATAATACAATGAAAGTTTATATGTGCAAATCGAAACTACATTTGCACAGTTTATGTTAATTTCTGCAATGTTTCATTTTAATCTATCCAAATTCACTCATTCGGTGGATGTTTTAAAACGTGTGCCATAAAAGTAATTGTCGTGTGACTAGTACATGTAGTAAAATGGCTTATAGATGAAACATTACTTATTACCTCCTTGCTTCATCACGTGTTCGTATTTTTGTCGTTACACCATCAACGTAAAATTGCAGTCAGGGAATATTCATTGCGATAAAACAACACACATAAGGGGTCGTCTTCTACGAAAAAAATCTAAACATGACACAAAACAACCGATACCAAGTAGATTTGCTTTAAAGGGACTCCACTGAGGTTTTTTGACATGATGGAACTCGAAATATTTTCCAAGATTGTGTACCAATTAATGAAGGTCTGGTCTTCCCCACACCCCGTTTACCAGAGTAATCATTTTTATTGTGGAAAATGTTCACAAAATGAGAAGTGTTGCAACGCTTTTCACTCAAAACCCACTAAGAATGTCACAAAAATCATTTTTTAATTTAATTCTGATTATGTTTGTTTGTTATCCCTTTCAGACCTGTTAATTCTAATTGCTTCTCTGGATCTATAGATGTGAGATTTTCAAATTTTACCTTTATTTCCTTTTGACCTCAGTGGAGTTCCTTTAAATGGTATTCTGTTCTAAAAAATGGATCAATTAATATAAATTTTGTAGGGTTTAGAAGTATATTTTTTCAAACTAGGGCTAACAGATAATTTACAAATTCATTATCAACTATGTTTTATAGGATAACTACAAAAATGGTCCATGAGATTGATGAAAGAGGCAGGGTGATATCTGGTCACCGCAAAATAAGATACTGCGGTTTTTATAACGTTCATCGTACTCTGTTATCTGTATATACTGATTATCTGAATATAATAAAACTTTGATAGCATCTATTTGTTTAATGCAGTTTTAATTGTATAGCATTTATATAATTACAATGACGTTTGAAAATGAAATATTTCAATGTTGTTGTACACAATTTGATTAAGCTCTAATTTTATTTTTGAAAATGGTCATTTTCTCGTGACAAGTATAGAGAACGCCACAAAAAAAAAACTGATTTGTAGGTACACCATAAATAGTTAATGAATTATTTAATTTAAACAGCATCTAGAAGTAAGTTGACCATACAATTCATAAATAATTGTTTAAAAAGGAATATACAGAAAGAAAGAAAGAAAGAAAGAAAGAAAAGAAAGAAAGAAAGAAAAATAGAAAGAAACAAAGAAACAAACAAAGAAACAAAGAAAAAGAAAGAAAGAAAGAAAGAAGAAAGAAAGAAAGAAAGAAAGAAAGAAAGAAAGAAGAAAGAAAGAAAGAAAGAAAGAAAGAGAAATAGAAAGAAAGAAAGAAACAAAGAAACAAAGAAAGAAAAGGATGAATGTCAATGTGTACAAATTGAAAATATTAAATAGAAATGTCAATTTGTACAAAATTCAATTTTGAATTAACCCTCTTCTAGCTTGTATTCTATACTTATATTTAGTGTTGTCCAACCATTCGTAGTTTAAGGGGTTTCAGTATCAATTTATCAATATATCAATCAATATATCAATCAATCAATACATCAATCCGCAAATCGATCAACAAACAAACGAATAAATACGGATGAGCATGCTAGTTAAGACAAAGGGCACAGACATGGCATTATCACAACATGCATGATTTTAACATATTTTGTTCTTTAGAATATATTATAGAACTTCAGCTATCAAAGACATAAATCCGTAACTTGAAACCGAAGCTTTTTCGTGAGTTCGATGAGATTTTTAATGTTTATTTGAATGGCTTATAAAATGCACACTTGTGAAGAGTGCAAGGGCTTTTACATTCCATAATCATTTTACATAAATAAAGTGGAGTAGTTGTCAGTTTTAAGTGGATACCATTCTGGTTCTTTGCTAGATTTAGTATAATTATCCGCCAAAATTTGGTTAACACAGGTTGACAAACGGACTCTTACTAAATAGCTTTTCAATAACATTTTGTGGTACAGATATTCAAGCACCTGAATCACGTTTATCTTTTATTTCTATTGATTTAGCTGCTTTTAACATTCGTTAGAAACGGCCCTAGCTTATCTAGTCTAAACATTACAATATTTTGTAAATTAACATTATGAGTATACAATAATCTGTAAAAAACAAATCAATCAAAGAAAAGAAAAAGAGAGAACTTTTGACATTTAAACTGAATAACATTAACATGCACTTTGCACGTTGTTATTTCTTCTAAGTGGTGCAATCTTTAAAAGGGAAAGACTGTTTCTTTCCTCCCTTTGTGCAATCATCCACTATCTATATGTATTGTTAATCTTTGATAAAGGAGTATATATATTAATAAACATTATGCACTTGATAATGTCATAAATGATAATGAAACTTTCGAAAAACACAGTATTTTTTTTCTTTCATCCGCTTGCTGATTCAGCCATCATAACTAAACTAGTTCAAATGGACTTTGACCCTTTCGCAATTGCGCACGAGACCACAGCGTATATATAGACGGACATTAGACTTGACTTTACATATTGCGAGTGCAGTCCGTTGGCGAAGTGTACTCAAATATTAAATTTTGATTTTAAAAAAGTGGCCGGTGATAAAAGGACATTGTATATACAGCTCCATTATGGAGCGATTTATCGTAATATTGAGCGTCCTGCTAGTGGCCGTTAACGCAGGTGAGTTTATTTTTTTCACACTTTTCAGTACGTATTAGACATTTGTAATAAAGTGCGATAATATTTATTTAAAAAAATGAATAAAAATAAAAATATCTATACTTCGGAAAAACGAATGCATGTTGGTGTACTTGCTGCTGATAAGACTACGTACTAAGAACCATGTAAATTAGTATATACATGGTCGGAATGATGGAGAGAACTGTAGTGATTGACTATGCAATGCAATGTGAAGACTATAACGATCCTCTATTTTTTATAATCCACACAGCACGTAAACTTCGTACAAATAACGATGAGAAATGTTTTCGTAACCGGGGACATGCCCATATTTTTTTCTAATTCTACCGAATATTTTGTGAGGGAATAAATGCATTATACAAGAGACAACTTTTGGTAAAATTCTAAGATATGACCATAACAATATGATTAAAAGATTGTCTTAGCTAACCATGACTATTAAACAATTTCTTAACCATTATATTTTGTGTAATAAACTTGTCCTGTTTTTACTATTTAATTTAAATATAGATTTAATACTGCATAGATAGATTGCATGGATGTACAGACTGATATTATTAAGCATTAACTACGCGAAATATGTAAAATGGTTTTGCCCATCTTTCAAACTGGACAAAACTATTTAGTTTCGGGTAAATTAACCAAAAGTGTATTTGTATTACATTTAATGAAGACAAGCGCAAAGTTATGGACTGTGCTATCTCATACTCTTACTTTCACTCATTATCATTTAACTGACGTACGTACGGACGGACGATCAATCGATTGATCGACCGATTTGATTGATATAATAGTTCCTGTGTGTAGTCACATTAGTGCAATAACAGATTAACTCCTATAAATTATATAAGGAGTTAACCCGTTACTGCACTACGGTGACGGTTATCCTCTTATGAAAATAGTATAGTTTTTAAAATTAGTTTTTAAAATTCAAAGCTTATTTTTTGTATGAGAAGGTTTATTATGTATAAAACTAATTTGCCATTGATGTCACTTGTGACTCATGTACTTGTATAATTATATTCTAAATATGTTGACTCATAGACCAGTCTGGTCTACTGGCTTTGTAAAATCTATTCTATCCTATATTGTATTTTTAAAATAAAATCACTTTCTTTATTCTTCTTTTTTCTAAAGAAAAAAATGCAATTGGTTTCGTCGTATTATTGTGATCTAAGGTGAAGGATTTAGGATTGCACGTGTTTATCACAAATTAACCTACCTTTAGGACAATAAGCACGTAATTACCATATGATAATGATTTAAACAGTGATAACAGTTATCATATAAATGATAATGATGAGTGAAATATGTGGGATTTTCAAATAAATGTGATGAAATATATCAGTTATTAAATTTTAGGTTATCAATGGATATATAAGGTTATTATGATATATTAAATGTAGGACCCATTCGAAAACTGGTGACAATTATTTAAGATCATTTCGTATAAATAAGATAACTTGATGATAAATATGGGAGATAATTTACGAAAATACTGATATAATTAAATTAATACGCATTTAAAAATGCGACTGGATGTCAAAGGTGCATGACATAAACGAATTAAAATTTAATACAAATCAAAATTCATTTATCATATCAAATCAAATCAAGTCAAGTAATCCCTGTTCACTAAGTTTTAAGGATCAGGATCAAGATCAGGATCAAATTTAAATATTCAAATATTTCAAATATTCTCCATTGTTTATCCTTACTAAATTTAAAATTTAAGATTAACTTGATAGAAATGGACTTTAAATAGCATGTTTATGAAATTTAAGAATAAAATTGTTGTTTTTAAACAAGATATGGGCGGTTAGCGTACTAATCAGCAAATTTTTAGATTTATATGTGCCATTTAATTTTAGGAAAAAGGATTAATTTTAGTATATGAAAATGAAAATAGAATCAGGATCATTTGATCCTTATCCTGATCTTTTGTTAGTTTATTGGCTAGGGGCCAGGTATAACTACATATGTTAACAAAAATTCTATAGAGCTTTTTTTATTAAAGCCTTTGTATTATTATTAAATATCTTTTCTACCTATTCAATATTTCAAATATTTTCAAAAACCACTCTAATTTATCAGTGAATAATTCACTGATAAATCCTATATAAGAAAATGGTCTTTATTAGCATTTTATGCTTTCGGATCTGATCCTTTTTCAGCATTGTATTGTATTATTCAATTTTTTATGCAATTTTGTTCGTGCAAAAATGTTTGAAACAAGCTACATGTATGTTTTAAACTAAATCCTATGTACATAGATCAGTTAACTAAGAACATTCGCTGCGATATTCCTACACTCTGTAACCTGAAACATAGACTTTGATTAAAAAACAACTTGTGGTTATTGGCCTTTGGATTTTTTATGAAACTTTCATCTATTTGTAGCGCCCACTTAAGTAGAAAAAAATACTTTGTACCGATTATAGTCCTAAGAGTAAAGTAGATGTTTTGATATCTATTTCTATTTCCGGGTCTACTTAAATATTATGATTTTTAACCTTAATGGTGTCAACTTGATCTGTATTTTATTGCGTCTTTTATTAAAGGTTATTTTCTTTATTTAGTCTACCATGAACTCTTCATTTGTCGTTACTTTTTTTCTGCAATTCAAAAACAATAGCTGTTTTAAAGAACAAACAACATAGTGGTCAGTGAATTATAGTCTATATATTCCGGCAATGATACAGAATGTGAAAAGAATTTTACAAAATTTAAGATAACTGTCACTTACAACACATGCCCGGGATATAGATATTAAACGTAAAAAATTTACGTGAGGAAAATGTACTCCAGTATGCTTGCTTAAGAATAATTATTGATTTCGCAGTTATAGGCACAATATTTCTACTGCGTGACTTACGCATTTAGGACTATTTTTGCATATTTTGACCTCTTTTTTGTAATTTACGTTGATTGAAAGTGCCGTTTGCAATTTGTAAATAATTTTCTTTGTCCAATTTACAATACATTGTATTTTAATTAAATATATATTTTAAAAATTTTCACGAAAAAAACAACAAAAAAAACAACAAAAAAAAAAACAGGAATCTGGAGGCATGCTGCTTTAAAATATATATTGAGAATTGAAGCATAGCGAAAAAGGTTCGAGCATAAAATGTTCTGCAATATATCAATGGCATATGTAATGTAAACGAATTTCGTTATTTGCCTTGGAAATGTTTCTTCCTTTATTTCAAGCACGCTTTAGACATTTTTTATGAGCACAAACCGTTTTCTCCTTAATTAAAGGTCCATAGTGCCTCAGGAATATGCTTTTATTTTTATTTCTCAAAAACATTTTTGTGTGTCCTGTAATAGTTTCCAAAGAGTTACTAATTGGTTAAATACCTGACACATCTTTTCTTTTGTTGCTTTTTAGCAATTAATAAAATTATAAAATTGAATTGGTATCTTGTATGGAAGTCAAAATACTACTTTAAGTTCGGCACTTACTTAAGCCATTATTAAACATGATAAAACACATGTCTGCCATTTCTAAAGAAAAACTTACTTGTTTTAGGTAAATATATAATATATGTATCGTATATATATTTAATTTGCCAGTAAGAATATGCTGTGACACATAAGAATTATGTTCCTCTTTGTACAAAAATCGGAACTTGTCGGCTATTATTCATAAGTTATCCGAAGTTTGACGGAAACGAAGGGCCGAGAACATGAGATTAACATTATGTATCGCGTTTTGCTTGACAATGACAACATTGTTATGAAACATACTTTCGTATTCATTATATTCCTCTTTGACTACTTTATGTATATGGTATTTTGTTTTACAATTTTTGAATTATTGCAAATAATCACTCTTTCTGCCTTTAAAATCAGAAAATATTTTAATCATACAAATACATGAAATCGTTTCTATGCCTATATCATACACATTACATAATGTATTATGTTCACAATTAGAAATTATTGTGAAACTTAATCCAATTATTGAAGTTTCCCCAATAGTATGTATTGCAACGCTCTTAAAAATCGGTTACGAAAACATATCTCATTTTATGTACCGAATACTCCAAATATCCTTCTTTCCATACACATCGTTATTTGCACGAATATTATGTGCTGTGATAGCGGATCGTGATAGTTTATCACTCGTGGTCTTCACATTGCATTGCATAGTCAATCATATTTTATAGTTTGCCCCCCCCCCCCGCACCGCCCTTTCATATCAATTTTCTTTAAGCTTTTTAAGAAATATTTTTTTATTAGTTAGTTTGCCATTCTGATTTGAGTATTTTCCTTGACTTATAGAAAGAATAATGAAATATCAACCAATTCTCTTTATTGCCTATAATATGGTATTTTGTCCTTACAATCAAAATTTATCGTGAAACTTGAACGGTCGTCATCTCCGCCATGATTATGCTTTAGGTTTAATATTTTGTTTTACTGTTAGAAAGTATTTTGAAACATATATGTTATTATCCTCTTAGCCTATTTATAATATTGTCTTTTGCTCAACAATTAAACAATATTTTGAAACATATAAAAATTATCGATTTTCCTCCGTTTTTGTTATTATGCATCACATAATCGTGATTTGCTTAAAAATTGAATATTTCGAAATATATAATTGTTTTTCAGGACCGATACAATTGTCAGCAAAGAGTACAAGCAAAACATGCCCAAGATCATGTACAGGTAAATATTTCTACTACGTATTACTTTTGTACTTTTATAAAAAAAATTAGTCTCTTAAACCATGAATATTGTTCAAATAAATAATAATAGAAAATGTATACATAAAATCATAAAAGAATAAACATTATTTTTCTATATAAAGGATAATAAACCCTATAACAATACGCAACGAACAAAGATTCAATTAAATTTTATTCATTGGAATACTAAAATGAGTTTTCTGAATTCATTCATATTCACAGGAAGCAACAAGTTTAACTACATTGAAGGACGGACATATAATTACAAGTATGACTCTGACATCAAGACTCAGATCCAGGGTGCATCAGAGGACATGGCTTCCTTGCACCTCTCTGCCAACGTTCAGATGGAAGTTCTCTCGAAATGTGAACTTTCTATGAGGGTTTGTTATCAATTTATTATATAGATAACTTAACACACAACTTAACGCTTAACGACTCTAGAAACGTCTTTTGTCAGCAGTTGAGTTGCGAACACTGCATTTCATCACACGTCCTGTCAGTAGTAATGTGATTTGCATAATTTGTATTATCATATCTTTTATCATGCATATTTTGAATCGGTTACACTTTATACAAAAATCATTTTAGTTCGATTTGTGTAGGAAGATATAAGCTTATAGACACACCCGCGAGTCCGTTTCTGGAACCAGCTAGTACTAAACAATGAGTGAAATGCTTCTTGCTCAAGGAAACAACGGATCAACTCTAACGAGATTTGAACTCAAGTGACAAGCGATCCTTAGATGAATTACTCTAACGCGTTAACATTCGGCCTTTGGTCAAAGTTATAGTATTCATGCTTAGAATCTGATATTTACGATATCTTTTCTTCTTTTACAGCTGAGTGACGTAACATTGACCGAATATGATCCAGAAGACAAAAAGATGAAAGAAGCATCCACAGATTTCAAAGCTGGTCTTGAAAGATTTCCAGTCCGTTTCTCATTCCAGGACGGGGGTATAGATGACATATGTCTCTCTGGGGACGAACCAACATGGGTTCTGAATGCCAAACGTGGTATCATCTCCCTTTTCCAAAACAACATGGATGATTTTGCAAGAAATCACACTGTGTCAGAGGTAACCTTATTGATGACTGTTAATCAGGAGATTTTAGTTTTTAACTGCCATAGAAAAATGCTAGAAAGATGATTTATGAGCATAAGTACAACTTACTCAAGATTAATCACAGGGGTTTGACATCTAGAAATTTATCAAAATTACAATGAAATACAGAAACTTCAAACTATGGCATATTTAATATCATTTTTCCATGTAAGTCTTTCAAATCTTATCTATATCTCAGCAGAAAACCTTTATACAAATGACTCAATAAATGACTCAGGTTATAAAGTGATTCTTTCAGGAAGTTTATCTTTCCGACAGACATTATTGTATTATTTTTATAGATTAAACAAGGTTTCATAATTACATGAACCCATGATATATTTACCGTATTGTTTTATTTATAGACGGACGTATCAGGAGTCTGTGACACAGAGTATTCTGTCGGTAAACCAGGCTATTACACCACCTCTGTCAGCAAGACCAAAAATTTGCTTGGCTGTACTGACAGACATGGTTACAACACCGCAATCCAGGGAATACCGTACACCGCACAATCAGTAAGATTGGTTTCACCCTTTTTCGATTAATTCCATCTTCTACACAAAAGAACACAAACTTATAGAGACCTTTCATTTCATAGTATTTTTTGTAATAATAAACACATCAAAACTTTTACATTACGCTAGTTCATTGTTTTGTATTGATACAGAGACGAGGACAGTAATAGTGTTAAATATTTATCTTTGTCAGTTGAAAACTTGAACAATCAAAACTAAATTTGTCATTTCAAAAAAAAAATGAAACAAAACATTGCCTTTTTTTGTATCTTTAGGACATTCAGTCACTGCCATTGTTGAAGAGCGACCATAACTGTGTCCATGAAATAGACAAGAAATCGGGCGTATTGAAGAGTGTCGAATGCAAGGAACAGCACGTGTTCCGACCATTCTCCAAGTCCGACAGCGGAGCTATTGCGATTAACACCCAAACTCTGACATATCGTGATGAAACCACAGGAACCATATCACCAGGTTTGTGGGAGCATCTCAAATAAGCTCGTTAAACGTCGGCAAATTTCGTCACTTTACGTATCTTATAACGATCAAGTAATATAGAATCCATTCATTAGGTATTATAAATTAAGAAAACAGATGAAATTTTTGAAATTTACACAGACTGTTATGATATAAGTACATTTTAATTTTGGTGTTTTTTCGTAAATTTATCAATATAATACCTTATAATTATTTTGTAAAATTCATTGTTAATTTGAGTTTACCACGTTATAGGTTATTCACATAATACTTTAAGAGCTTTTTTGATTATTCATATAAAACATGGATTTATAATTTGTTCTATTTCTTGTCAAGCGTTTATGAACTAAGATATACATCTTTATCTCTCAGTCACGTTTAGTAAATATGTACATAGCATATGACATACGAAAGGAGACCGTTGTAACATGAAGTCGTGCAATAATAAAACCTAAATGAAACAGTTAATTGCCTCTTACCCGGTGAAATGTAAATTATTATCTTCTATATTCACAGCACCAATTAAGACAAGAGTTTCTTTGAAGTTTGATCATGTACATGATGTAGCAGGAGAAAGCAAAAGTCGAAAAGATATTACTCGTAAACTCATGGAAATTTGTGAGAGGACAAAGGCTGGTGTTCGCCCCGAAACACCAAAACTCTTTACAGACCTTGTGTACATGATGAAATCAGCAGACATCGAAACATTGTCAGACATTAACAAAATGCTGATAGACAAAAAGCTGTGCAGTGACAATTTGTTCCGCACTAGGTAAAGTAGAAGCGTTCTTGTGTATAGTCCATACCACAATGATATCCCTCTTTAAGTGTATCAATTAAGTTTGTCAAGGAAGAAAAACAGCAGAAAAAAGTAATTAATGTACGTATATGATAAATGCGGTCTTAAGATTTTATTTATGTATCAACTGAGGAAGCTGAATAAAGCCAAACATGTTTTGATACTTAATTTGTGTTGGTTTTTGATCCAATTATCCGGTCTTAATATCAAAAACAGAATAAAAATCACGTTTGATTTCCACAGTAATAAACACGTCACGAATTGAGTGAGACAATGTCATTAGATACAACAATATCATTAGACTTAAAACCAACCACAATGTCTACAAACTGGTATTCCTATATTTAGGATCATAGAAAAGACATTTAAACCGATATAAAATGCGTTTGTTTGAGATTTTACTTGAGTTTTGATTTTGCAACGTTGTTTATGTTCAACAGGAAGTTCTTTCTGGACGCCCTTCCGATGACTGGTACCAGCGCTTCTCTGAACATGATCACAGAGTTGATAACCAGCAACGAAATATCTGGTGTGGAAGCAGATATGTGGCTTACAACCCTGTCCTTCATTAAGAACCCAACTAAAGACATGCTGAAGGAGGTCAAAGTAAGAAGAATCCATTTTCAATGTATCATTTGCAGATTAAAATCAGTCTTAAATAATTTAACGCGAAAGGAAACACAAACATATCTGAACTTAAGACAGATTCCATCATTTGCATGTTACAAAAAAAATGATGATTACGGAGAGGACTAATGCGTACAATTTTGAGCTTTCCTTTTGCACAGTGAAATAACTAATAAAATTGATAAAACTTATTGTTATCTATATGTAGTTTCGTTAGAGATAGTTTCCTAATAATACTATAATATTTCTTCATAACGATATCGGAAACTCTGAATCAGAATAATCAACGTAATATATATTCCTAATGGTAACTATGATTAGTTGTTATAGACAAGGATCCGCTTAGAATAACACTACATGCTTTGTTTTGCAGCCACTGATCAATGCACCCGCCATCTCTGAGAAAGCAATGCTGTCGGTCGGGACGTTGGTACATAGCTACTGTTTTCACCATGGTGACTGCGAGAACGACAATATGGTCAAGGCCATTGTGTCAGCATTTGTTAACAAGATGGCAAAAGGTTGCAAAGTTAGAGATGAAAACGCAAAAACTGTAAGACGTCTCCCGAGTCTTTCTAAAAAATCTTATAAGCATTACAATTAAAGTATCACTTCGACTGTAATATATTAATAACAGTTTTATTGTGGTTTAATATAACAAATCTCGAGTCTGCTTCCTGGAACGATTCAGTACTGATGCCTTCATGGCTCGAACCCTAATTCTTTACCACTATACCACACAGCCTTTTTGAATATCACTTAGGTCCAGTGAGTTATAACTTTTGTAACGGAACGAAACCTTTTAACCTTTTAACATATTAATGATTTCTAAATGACACACAAATTTTGTATTTATAGACACTAGCTGCATTAAGAGGTATTGGAAATGCTGGATATGCATCAACAGCAATAAAACAACTCTCATTGTGCATGGAACTGACAACCAACCCAATAGAGATAAGACTGTCAGCCATTGAAGCCTTTAGACGAATGCCTTGTGGCTCAGATGTAAGTTTCGTTATGTATTTATATATGAGCCGCGTCACGACAAAACCAACATAGTGCGTTTGCGACCAGCATGGACCCAGACCAGCCTCTGCATCCGCGCAGTCTGATCCGGATCCATGCTGTTCGCTATCAGTTTTTCTACTTGTTATAGGGTTGGTAAGCGAATAGCATGGATCCTGATCAGACTACGCGGATGCGCAGGCTGGTCTGGATCCATGCTGGTCGCAAACCCATTATGTTGGTTTTTTCATGGCGCGGCATTTATTATTTTCACATGCATATCTTTTTAGACACATTTGAAAAATCAATAAAGAATAAAGTGAAGACAGTGTTACATATTTTTTGTAAATAATGATTCTTTGAAAACGTGACAAATATTCTAACAAGAAATTGAGTTAATTTTTCATTTGTACATGTAATATTGATATCAAAGTAGTAAAAATACCGTTCTGGTGGTATTACGATTGATCAGTTATATTTTAATTCAGAGATTATCCCTAATGAAAATTCTCCAAGACATTGATGAGGATTCTGAAATAAGAATAGCTGCCTATAAAGTTCTTATGGAATGTCCTTCAAACAAAGTTCTTGGTGTTGTCAGAAACACATTGGCAAAAGAAGAAGTTAATCAGGTTAGTGATGTTCTCTTTTATGATACTTTTAATGTTTTTAAAATATTTAATACGGAATATTTTAGATCATTTTATTAAGAAAATACAAAGCGTTATTATATATAGTTTGACATGCTGTTATCGAAAATATCGTTGTACATACAGGTTGGGTCTTATATCTGGACACATTTAACAAACCTCATGGAAACATCCGATCGTCACAAACAAGATATCCGAGCTGTCCTTGAAGATGAGACATTTAAGAAGGAGTTTGACCTTGATAAAAGGAAGTTCTCCAGGAATTACGAGGGGTCAGCGTTCATAGAGCGAATAAATACTGGAGCTAAAATTGAAGGAGATCTCATTTGGTCCTCTAAGTCATTTATCCCTCGTTCTGGCATGATGAACCTCACATTTGATCTTTTCGGACACTCGGTTAATTTGTTTGAGATAGGAGGACGGGCTGAAGGGCTAGAATATTTCATGGAGTCATTCTTTGGACCAAATGGATACTTCAAAAATCCTGAAGCAGACACTACTAATACAAAAGATATGGTGCCGAAAAATATCCGACCAGACAAGTTGAAAAAGATCGACAAAAGAGTAGGTTTTTTTTCTCCTATGTTTAAAGTGAGCGCATTGTAATTTTGAATTTCATTTATATTTGTGATAACACATTCTAAATGCTTAACATTACTTCTTCGCTTGAGTGAAACAATTTGACTTTAATATGTTGTACATTATTCGACACGACATTGTTGTTACACTGTAAAACGTATCTCATATTACTGTTTCGTTTTACTCACCAGTTTACACCAAAGTTAGATGACCTTCGAGGCTCACTGTACATGAGAGTGTTTGGCAATGAACTACGTTACATGAACTTCAAGGGAATTGACTCCTTGTTATCTGGACCTGACTTTAACCTCTTGGACATGCTCATCAAATTTTCTGAGGATAATGATTATACATTCACGTAAATAAAATCTTTAAATAGTTGAAATACTGAATTTAATGATTAATGTCCATTACTTCTAGTTTGCGTATTATTATCTTCTGTCTTTTGAACAGAAGAAAAAACATTTTTTATAAATATATCAAATATATGATAGCTTTACACCTTAAATAATATGGAGTGAAGACTGATGCCACTGGATATCTACCTAAATCAAGTCTTCAAATAATCTTGATATAAATAACGACTTGTGTCTTGGCGGATCCTTCTTTTAGTGGAAAAAGTTGGCATTTACACCTTAACTACCGCACTTGTACTAAAGTACATGTATTATTGTAAAATTATTTGTCCTGATTCGTATTAATTCCAGTCATTCTGCAATGTTCATGGACAGTACTTACATTGTTCCAACAAGCTCTGGTTTTCCTCTAAATCTTACTGTGAATGGTACAGCAACCGTAGATTTGAAGATGAAAGGTAAAATGGACTTGAGACACCCTCCTGCATTAAATATAGCTGGACGTATTCATCCAAGGTAAAACTTACAAAATATATTGTTTATAAAGTTACTCCGCCGATGGTTTAATATTATGACTAAGGTATTTAACAATAAGTGGAAAGATACATAAGTACAAAACGTATTATAACTTTTCCTGTTATGAAATATAAAGGACCGATAAATCATATCTAGATATATTATCAAGAGACACATTACTTAACCTGAACATCAAATTTGAATAAAGTCTATGGATTTGTCGCCCCTTTTTAACCACAAGAATTAACGGATACTTTTAAATTAAAAGCGTCTAACGAGGTATTTCTTATCTTTAGTGCTGCCATCGATATATCATCAATGATGAGTGTGGATGCATTCGTTACTAAGTCAGGAGTGAAAATGGTATCAACCCTTCATACCAATACAGCATTGGAGGGAAAAATTACAATTGACGAGAAAGGATCAATTTCTTCAGAATACGAGATGCCTGAACCAAGGATGGAAATTATAGACGTCAAGTAAATCTTAAAAGAATTTTCATAATTTTAGAAAATCTTTCTCAATTATGATTATGTTACAGTAAATTCTTATTTGGGAGAAAACATATGTTTGTTTGTTTTTTTTCTGCTAAAGATTTATAGTGATTACCTGTATTATATCATGCCTTACGTTGGTATTTTAGATCTTCATTTTTCACCGTTCACCGCGACACAGAACGTGAACAAAAGATGGTCGAGGACAACAGACAGACATTGTCTTACTGCTCTTCACAGAAAGTTGTTACATATACTGGACTTGAGCTCTGTGCAGAGATTGAATATCCAAACGCTAGCAATAAGGCAGACGCACCTTACTTCCCATTGACTGGACCAGTCAGCGCCGGGGTTTATCTGTACAACAGGGATACACATGTTAAATACATTCTGGAAGCCAAGTCGATACATGTAAGTGACATTTTGTTCTTTCTTGAATTCAGCTTAACCCATTACTTCATGAGCATTTTTTGAAAAATGGCTGTTTTCATTGAAAAGTCTCCCGTTACAAGTTCAAATTGCTATATAATACTATAAAAACTGCTTCAACACTAATCAAACTTGGCACAAATGTTGACTGAACCATTGCCCTTGCAACAACATGCTCGGGCTTAAATTGTCTGTTACCATGGTAACGAGGTGACATCTCAAAATTGCTAAAAATCCTTATTTTGTGTTGATTTTATCCATCAAAATTAATTTCAAAGTGCTGCAACTTCTCAATGGATTGAGATAAAGTCAAATGCTTTTCAGCGTTGGTTACACGTTACCTTATGGTCAATCTGGGGTCATTTATAGCCTCCTACAAGTCCAAAATGTTCTTGGCGATGAGGGGGACTCCGCCCCCTTCACACCCCCCAAACAGAAGGGGCCACATCCCCCTTCTGGCAACCCTCTGATGTATCTTTTGGTTTTGGGCCGCGCCGAAAAAAAAGAGGTCACTTTTTTAACAACATTTCTCAAACAAAAACAAGTGTTTGGGGCCTAAATAAGGCATTTTTTCACCATTTGAGACAACAAAGGGGGGGGGTGAAAAAGGCGTGTATATAACGTAATGGGTTAAGCCGGTGCTAGGGGGCGTGGACGGTAACTTGCACTTTCCATTACCGCCCATGAACACGCTCAATCAAACCAAGCCTGCATTATTTACAAATCTGTCGTTTGTGTGTTCTTTAGGTATTCTTTATTTCTCTTTATTCTACTATGTTTTATAATGAAGATGGACACGGAATATTGATATTTTATTTTTGCTTTTATTTGTGATTATTTTTTTGTAATATCTTTACTATAGCGTTTTACTTACCTACATGTTCATATTTTATTATTATTATCATTATCATTATTATCATACACATTTATATGCACGAGTATGTAGAGTAGTATGTACAAACAAAATCGGTAAAGTGTTTAACCCTTTCACTGCCATAGGGACGGCTTAAGCCGTCCCTGTTATTTTCGGCGTATTTGCCATATGGACGGCTATAACCGTTTCTATAATAATAATGATAATAATAATAAATTAATAAAAATAATAATAAAAATAATAAAAACTATAAAGAAAATTATACCATTGACAATAATTATCATTATACTAACATATTTGGAATCATATATAATTATTATAATACTAATAACAAATAATTATAATTGAATTAATTAATGATATAGTAATTTCTTAGAAAACCCTCTGGCAAATAGGTTATCAATAAAACATTAACCCTCTGGCAGCGAAAGGGTTAATAAGTGTTTATTTTATTAAAATAGTTTCATGCTAATTTGATCATTTAACCTTTCTTTCTATTTATTAGAATATCACTTTCTTTTAAAGCATAGATCTTAAACTGTTACCTTCAGATTGAACTATTATAATTATTCTCAAACCTTAATTACAGAACAAAGACAAAAATATCGTTCACTTCAAGTTTGACACACCTGGTTCACGTATAGAAAGACATGTTGCAGTTGACTTTGGTTTGAATAAAGTTGACCACACCCTTGATGCTGCCCTCATGTCACCGTGGGCTGATATTAACATACAAGGTAGAATTATTTAGTGAATACAATGTCAGTGTAAAAACAATTATAGTTAATATTTTGTATTGATTTGCTTTATAACAGGCCTATTAATTTTAGATACGGAAACAGTACAGCTTACTGGTCATTCATTTATTATTGTTTCATAAAGTCAAATAAAGACAGATTTTATTGAATCTGTTGAACCTTTAAATGTCACATGTTAAGCCCAAATGTTATTATTTGTGAGTAAAATAGACTTGCAGTTTACTATCAAAACAGTATTAAAGAACCATTGGTTTCAAATTTGATTATTAAAATTAAATATGGTTGAGAACTTTTGTAATATACCAAATTCATGTTTTTGCAATCTCATTAAAATTGCATTGTATTTATCTCATTTTCATAGGCACAGTTTTAAACACCAAAAAAGCATCAGGTCTAAGCGGCAAATTGAGCATTGACAAACATCTGCAATACTCATTTGATGCCAAATTTGTAAGGGATGTGAGTGACAGTTCATATATATATAAACCGTCATTTGAACTGCAAGCGAACAACAAGATAATTACCACAGCAAACGGCATGATGACTCTGAAGAAGAATTTTAGACAATGTGACGTTGAGTTCAGTATCGGCGGGGAAGTTACTGGACCATTTTCTACACAATGTAATGACTTATTTTCAATTTTCAGTTTTATCATATTCATAATTATTGTAGCTGTTATTTTGCTTTATTGAAATAATAACATTTGAAGGACAATGTGTTCAGAGGAATGCTATGAGAATCTAGAATGTTTTCAAGTTTTATATATACACATGTACATATATACATGTATATATATACTGATCTCAAGTTGTGATGCACCGTTTTTTTATTTTATGTAAGTTATCGTGCTTATTACTTTAAATATAATTAACATACCATAATTATTACAAAGACAGTATTGACTATTAATTTACAATTTCAGTTAGTTACAACAATAAGATTGCATTAATGGGAATCCAAGGAAGTATTGGTAGAACTCAAAACAAACAGTATTCATTCGATATTAATCTCGCTACGACCACATACAAGAAGAAGGTGCTGTATAAACCACTTGTTTCCATAAGAACACCTATTACTGAGGTTATGGCTTTAGGAGGTGGAGTATCGCACATATTAGGAAAAGGCTTAGATATAAATCTAGTACTCGACAAAGTTGTTGCGAAGAAAATCACACTTAAAGGTTAAATTTATATATATTTGTTTTCATATATATCTCAATAAATGGTATAATTTCCAAATGTAATTATAACTTTATCGTTATTAATATGGATAAAATTATATCTGCGTTTCTTTAAAGCGTATGTTACACAATTTATCTTCTTGTTAGTTAGTACCAATATGCTAGTAAGGTGAGATTGGTAAAATAAAATGTCAAGATGCTTATAAAACAGATAAATATTTACAAAATAAAACTTTTTTTTACACAAATGAATTTACATAAACAAGACTGGTTTAGATTTTCTGTGGAAGAAAGCTACATAATATTTCTGTGTGTTGTTTTTTCTGATAGATTTTTATTTTGTCTAGCTAAATCATGCATGTTATCACTCAGTACAACAACTAAATATCTTTAAAAAAGCGATTCGAGTAATGCAACTGAAAATCAAAATAAAATACAAAACAGAATTATGCAAAAGACAGAAAAATTATGACACTACATTCTATTTCATGATTTAAAAATTACTTACAGGTAAAGTGAACAAGGCTATCAAAAGACGCAGATCAATATATAACACAAAATTGGACTTTACATCTGGTCCAGCCGACTTTGCACTTAAAGCCAAATTTGATAAGAGAGCCGCTGGAACGTTGGCAAGTGACATTGACTTCACTTACGTGATCAGACGTGTAACCAGAAATAACCTCAAGCTGGTTTCTAAAATAACTAACCAAAGCAGCAAAACTCTCACAATGGCAAAAGCAAATGTGTAAGTTTAAATTTCTATCATAATAGTTTGTAATAGTAAGAACTTCATTACAAGAAGAAGGTATTAATGTTAGAATCTTTAATAATACACATAATTTGATTATTAGGAAAGAACTAGGGACTAATTACTCACTTGAATGTGCGTTTGTCCGTCCTATCGTCAGAACTTTGGCGTAATTGCACGGAAAAAAAAAGAATGGAAAATCTTAAGAAATCAAGACTGCTATTCTGCAAATTGATTTTTATGTTTTGGCGTTTAAAAAGCTTCATCATACTTTCATAATGATAGCATGCATAAGTCTCTGATTCACTTTGAGTAAATAGCATTGTTTTTGTATTTGTTCTGTTGCGCATGCTTGAATGTGTGATTTTGTGTGTGTGTTTTACTTGATCTTTTTTAAGGACCATATTTCAAATATACGAGTTATCAGAATTTCCTAGGTAGAAAGATCTGACCATTTTTCATTTTTCCGTTTTAAAAATCATTACCAAATCTTAAAACTAGCATCAAATAAAAATTGAATCCTTTTATTTAAGGAATTTTGAGGTAAAACGTAATCCAGAGCTAAACTTCAAGATTCTTGGTGAAGTAAGTCACAACAAAAAACATACAGAGATTGCTGGAAATATCTTGTACGGGTCGGACTTTAAAGATGACAATAAGCAAATCGACATGAGATTTGAAATGAACAGAGTCTTGAGAAGTTTAATGAATGCATCGGCTGATATAAACACTCGAGTGAGAATTCCAGCATTGGTAAGAAGTTTAACTTAACATTTTTGATATATTTCACTTTGGATTTCGTTTTCTCATATCACTTAAGACAAAGGTTTTTTTACAACTCATTTAGAGTACATGTAGAGACATCTGAGAACATTATCTCGTCCAATGAAATGAATCAAGTATTAGATCATATGAGAAATTCAAAAAGGTAACTATTGCCTGCTCTATGTGTACTAGAAAAATATTTAGAACACCCCTGTTTAAAAGAATATCTTAATCGGTACACTTGAAAGCAAATCATAACAATTTAAAATGCCTGATGTTACATGAGTCAGGTATCTGCACGTGTAAGTAAATTATTAGGTTAAATCAGGTTTCCCTGTTGTTGATATTTCAGAATTTTATTACAATGGTAAAAGGAGCTCACAGTCATGATGACAAGAACTTGAATTCAAACTTAATGTTTAAATTTGGAAAAGGTCAGCCGATAGAAACAAAACTAAGAATAAGTGACAATACAAATAAATTGATGAAAGTAGATGCAGAATATCAACTCAATATACCAGGATACAACATTGATATTGAACATGTTTTGGAACAAACAGTCGATAACAGATACATAAGCACACTTACAACCGAAATGAAAAAGGGTCAAGAGAGTGAAATTATAACCATATTTATGCCAGATAGCAGGAAAATAGCCTTTAGTTCAGATATTAAAATTTATGGTAAAAGTCCAGCTTATTTCAAAGGGGCATTTGGTTTGGACCCCTCCGATTTTATTACAAGTCTGTCATTTGAGAAAGATTCGACAAGATATGCAAGCTCCTTAACCTCAGCAACTGAAATGGGAAAATCATCGTGGCTGACCCTAGATATCTTTCATCCTTCACGACATGTTGTTTTATCATTCAAAGGTAAAAAGGACAACGACGTTATGTTTGGGGATGTAGATATGCAATTTAACACTGACCAAAAGATGTCCATAAAATCTTGGTTCGAAACACCAACATCTGAAAAGTTGAATGGCTCCCTTGCATTAAATTTCCCATCTAGAACTGTTATTCTTAACGCTCATCTGACAAAGGGATCAAATTACTTGAGCCATGTAGATTTGCAATGGGATCTCGACAATAAAATTATAGCCGACACTGACCTGATCATTAAAGATAAAGCCATCATCGGAAGCGCAACATTTACAACCCCTTTCAAAACATTCCCGAAACTTGCATTTGAAACACAGTTTAGCCACGATAGTGAACAATATAATGTGGAATCAAAATTACAATTAGAAAAGTCAGATACTTTAACACTTAAAGCGGAAATTAAAAAGCCCATAAGCGTAAAAACGCTTGTTGGCTCTTTCGCCGCCAAGTCTTCGAAAGCGATATATGGCCTGAAAACTGTATCTTCAACATTTAATCACAAATTAAGCAGTTCTCTTGCATCTGACCTACGATTTGGCTGGAATAGACAATTCATACAAACTACCATAACTCTTCAAAATAAAACAAAAGGATTGAAAGTTGCATTAGATGGAACGATTAATCTCAAGACATCATATCAGTACATGAAAAAGGGAAAACTTATCCTGTCACACAACAACAATGGTAGAAATTTTAATACTAATTTGAGCTTTAACAGAAATAGAAGATTTTACACGGTGGTATCAAAATGTAACCATGAGCCATCACAAGGCAGTTACGACAATTCAGGTTCCGTTCAAATAAAATCACCTTACGGAAACGTGGAAAGCACCTGGAATCACAAAAATACAGTGGAGAACATTGCAACAACATTTACATCTACATGGGGGAAAAATAAAGCCGTCGTCGGTAGGTTCACCAGTAGTTTTGATGAAACATTCAATGCCAAATTTGAGCTTCAAACCCCTTTTACAATTTTACGTGAAACATCATTCGAGACTTCGCTTATCAATAGAAATGGTCTTCTAGATAGTAAACTTCATGTAAGTGCTAATGGGAACCAACTTGGATTAGCAGAGATTGGATATTCTCTTGAGGAAGATAAATACTCTGCAGGACTGATAATTAAAATAGCGGATCTTAACGTTGATACTAAAGTAGAGGCTAGTGCAAACCTTCCCGGAGATGGTAGAATAGCAGGTTCCATCAACGCTTCTATTTCACCGAAAATATCAATAAGCATCGAAGGAAGTCAGCATATTTCAGAAGAATCTGGCGCCTTGGTCAATACACTTCTTCAATGGAGGTCCTCATTTCCAGGATATGAACAGATTCGATGCTCATATGAAGTTTTAGCAGCTAATCATCTTTCTACCAGAACTACCTTACTATACAAGAAAGACAAAGAGATTAAGCTTGAAACAAACTTTGCTTTTGAACGCAATGAAAAGCTTTTGTCGTTTTTCCTTCAAACACCTTTTGAATCACTACCAAAGTTTGAAGGGAGCATAAATGTCCAAAATGATTTAGATTCTTTCAAAACAGATGCTTACATAGAAGCTCAACCAGTTCTTGCTAAAACAGCAGCTCAGTTGTCATGGAATACCAAGTCTGGATTAGTGTCAAACATACGTATTGATTTGCCACTTGCAGAGTACCCTTATTTTCAAGCCGGCGTGAATGGCAGTTTGAATTCGGCATCATCAGCAATACAACTTAATGTCGAGTATATGCCCAAAAACGTAATTCTTATAGAAGGAACACATAGTATCATCGGATCAGAATTATCATTCAGTGGTAAAGCAAAGACACCCTTTGGAACAGTAGCTGTTAGGCATTCTGGTAAATCAAATGATTTTACATGTGAACTGTCTTTAGAAGATTCTAATTTAGTCGATTTCAGGGTTATGGTAGGATTTACAAATACCGATGAAACCTCGGGTACTGCAACTTTGTCAATTCCTGGAAAAAGGGACATTAAAGCGACGTTTACACACTCTGGTAATGCCGTTAACTTTAAAACACGTGCTGAAATTCAGCACAATAGAAAAAATTATTTTGTGTCAGATTTGAGCTTTGCGGCACATGATAATGTAACAATTTCATTTACTGGAATTTTGAAGACACAGGCTATATCTGATTCTGAGGAATTCCAAACATCCTTTGATTTTAATGGTATTCCTTTGAAATTCGACACTCACGGGGAATTTTCGACGACTAGCCTAGGGAAATCACAGACAGATATTAAGATTGACATAAAAACAGCTGCCGAGGGTAGTCTTGTTATTAAATCGAAGCTAATGAAAAATGTGAAAGCATCCTTTAGCTATCTTAACCGAATTGATTACATGGAATCGAAAGTTGACATTATTCATGGTGGTGAAAACATCATTGACTTTAAGGCATATATGAACAGGCTTGAATCTTTGATACTGGAAGTTACACTTATATCACCAGTTTTAAAGGACATTACTTTCATGTCCAGATTTGATGGAGGTATCAAGAATTTTGTGATAAGATCAGAAGGCAAATATGGTCAAAGCAAGGCGGACGCTGAATTTACATCAAACATTGATATCAAAACGGTTCAACAAAAGATAAGGTTTAGTGCAACAGGAATGCATGACATTTCTGCAGAATTAAATCATAACGGTGACATTAACCAATTCAAATCTTACGCTGAGATCAATAACGGTTCAGAAAAACATCGCTTAGACGTTCACTTCAGTAGTTACGGAAAAACGGAAGGAAGTTTCTCACTTGTATCGCCATATATTTTACCATATGCAGCAAATTTCCAGCACAGTGGTAATCGTCATGATTTCAAGTCACATGCAGAATTAAAGATAGCTGAAGATATCAGTGTAGCTGATTTAACATTCCGTCTTCCTTCAATAAAAGATGTAGTTATAGAAGTAAATTTCAGAAGTCCGTTCTTTAAGGATGTCACTATAAGTTTAAGCCACGTCGAAAAAGCGCAAGAGTTACGTTCTTCGGGACATCTCTCAATTGAGGACATGGAGGACTTTGATCTGAAATTGACATCAACAAAGCAACCACTTTCCATCATGTTTGCTTTGAAAACACCAATAGAAAACTTCACTTCTTTCGAAGCGTCGTTTGCCATGAAGAAATCGAAAATCAATGGCAGAGAATTCCATTTTGATTATGCTCTAAATGGAAAAACTTCTTTAGTAGATCTTACATACAGTCAAATGAAAGGATATACCGGTCACTTGTCGATTAAATCACATCTGATCCCACAAAGTTCAGTAAGTTTTGAACTTATTGGGGAATTGAATAATTTTACAGGACATGCTGACTATAACTTCGGAGAAAAGAAGTCTGAAATAGACATTTTCTACAATGGATCATCCAGAAAAGAAGGCTTGATGACAATTACATCGCATTTGATACCCGATCTGTCAGTTGGTTTCGAGCATGATGGGACGTTAGAGAAATTCAAAAGTCATGGGGAATACAGCATTGGGTTTAAAAAAAGAGAATTTGATATAAGTGTTAATGTGCAAAATGATGTTGCAATAAATATGCAGTACAAATGTCCTGTTCATGGTTTATCTACAGCAGCATTTACACATAAAGGTGAATTGTCAGACTTTACTTGTCACGCCGAAATAACAAGTGCAGAACACAAATTGGAAGGTGATGTATCTTTCAGCTCAGTGAACAATATTCGTGGCCTGTTGGAACTCAGACCATCTTATTCTTCAAAGTTTGATCCTTTAACCATATCTTTTGAGCAATCTGGAACGGCAAGAAATTTTAAGTTTAATAGTGATTTTACTCTAGGAAATGACAAAACAACACATGAACTGAAATGGAAACTGTCGGACCGATTACTTTCTACAAACATTAAAATGATATCACCATATATGAAACACCTGTCAGTAATCTTTAAGTTGGAAGGACAACCTAAAAATATAAAAATGCAAGCAGGATATAAGTTTGGATCAGATAAAATTGATACGGACTTTACATGGGAAATGAAAAACTCTTCAGCTACCTCAGCATTCAGTGTAGCATCTTCAATATATCCGGACATTACAGGCAACTTTAATATTCAAGGAAAATTGAATGATTTCTCATCAAATATTGACTTGAAAATAGACAATGATGAAAACAGTGGATATTTCAACTTCAAAAAAGTGAATGCCGACATCGATTCAGCAATTGAAATAAAGTCAGCGTACATGGATGACACCAGACTAGAATTGCATCACAGTGGGAATATAAAAAAATTCTCAACCAACTTCATCAGGACAATTGCGGGAAAGCAAAACAATGCAGTGGTGAAACTCAATTTAATGGATGACATACAGGGTAAAATATCTTTAGATGAACCATTATTTTTGGTTGAAGGATCTTTCAAGAAAGGTGTTATATCTGTTTCAATGAAAAAGGGGTCAGATGATTATTCGTTATCCTTAAGCTATTCACTGAAAGAGGCCATCATAATAAATGGCAGAATAACAACGCCGTTTGAAGGTTACAAATCTGTAATGGCATCATATGAACACCATGGCAAACTGAGGAATTTTAGATGCACAGGAAAACTTGAAATTGAAGGCGCGGAAAGCGTTTTTAACATTAAATTGAATACAGAAAAAATTAATAACCTGGATTGTAGTTTGGATATAACATCACCATATACATCACCAATTGATTTGAAAGTAAACAATATCGCAAATGCAGAAAACTATATTTCAACCTTTGAATATCGGAGAAAAAATCAGAAAGCATTGGGATTATCCATTTCCGCTACCAATGGACAGGCAATGAAGAAATTATCAATTTCACTTACCTTGAATGATAAAAAACATGAAATTTTAGAGATGTCATTATCGTCGTCAGGCCTTACCATTTCATCTGATATTAACAGCAACAGTTTAGAGATAACATTTACACAAAATCCAAAGTTAGTTGCTACATTCTCTTTAAACTATAAACAATTTCCAACGATACATGCAAATGTAGACCTTGATGGAACATCTTCAAACTTTGTAGGTAGTTTTGATTTGAATATTGATAGCAAATCAATCAGTCATTTCACAATTTCACTGAATACTATTGACAAAATTACCGCATCGTTCAATATGGATTTACCACTCATTGATAACAAAGAATTCAGCGGAGATTTTAGTTTTATTCCCGGAGATAATGCATTTAAAATTGAAGCTAAAATGACAAATGAGTTTCAGAAACTATTTGAAGTAAATATAAACTTGAACACTAATACTTTTGACTTTGAGCTTGAATCCAACAGACCTCATCAACTTTCTGCAAGAATAACCTTTACACATGTCAATCAGAATATAAAAATGAGCTGGGAGTTAATTCATGCAAGGAAAAATCTTATTAATGGCAATATAGACTTAACAATGACATATAATCCGATACTCATTAGTGGCACAGCGGCTGCAAATACATTTGATTCGGAGATTTCTGCAACAATCCACATCGATCAAAGCTTAAAAAGCTTTAAAGCAGAAGGGTCGTTTAAAAAGAACAAAAAGAACAAAGAAATCTGGTCTGTATTCAGCCGTATAAATGCAACCAACGATGTAGATGCTGAATTTAGTCTCACAATCCCAAATATGGAGGATATTACAGGAACACTCGTCCACACAAAACGTACATACAGGAGTAAAACAAATGCAGAACTGAGATTAAATGCAACTCATCACTTTAATTACGACATGGAATTGAAATGGAAAAATGGATTAGATGGAGTGCTTTCTATTACAACCCCTTTTGAAGGTTATGAAAATATTAAATTTAAAACTGAGCATGAAGGTTCTTTCCCTAGCATGAAGTCGTCTGCTGAAATACAAATTGCAGAAAAAGTAATTGCTGCTTCAGCAACTTTTTCACAGAAAGAGTCTAGTAAAGCAGAGTTCAAATTATCTACACCCTTTAAACAATTCGAAAATTTGGCATTTAGCATGTATCATGACGGTGAACTATCTAGCTTCCGGACAGGTGGAAAACTCGTGTATGCTAAAGGAGAGGATATAGAAATAGATCTTGATCACATGTGGATTGGTATGACTCAACATTCAAAAGTACGCTTTATGTCTCCATACACTGATGAAATAGTTGTAAACGCGAATCATAGTGGCACAGTAGCAGACTTTTCAAGCGCTTATGAGATGACAATAGGAACAGGTTTGGAGATTATTTCAAAAACATCCCTAAAAACTGGAGAAAAGTTTCTTCAATTTTCAAATGAAATGTCATCAAGAATGAGTGGCAAGTCTTATGAGCATAAATTTGATTTAAAACATGACGGCAGTTTTGAAAAATTCAAAACTGAAGCATCACTTAAGTGTCTTAGTTATCAGTACCGTCTCGAGACATCATTTCAGCTCGATCCAATTATAGAGGGATCTGTCGAACTCATCACCCCGTTTGAAAATTTTAAAGACATCAAAGCCGCGTTCACTCATACTGCAAATGCAAATAATATTCTTACAACAGGTGAGATTCAGTTTGCTCCATTGAAACCGATTAGTGGGAAAATTGATATTATGCAATACAGCTTGAAGAAAACGGTTGCGAATGTTGAGCTGATGACTCCTTTTGAGAATATGAAATTAAATAAGTTTTCTTACTCGCATTCCATTGATTTAAATAACATTCATTGTGAGATCGATTCTTCCATTTATGGAAATGATATCAATGGAACATTTTCAGCATCGAAAACTCCACTTACTATAAATATTGACATTCAAACACCATTTAAAGGATTTGAAACGATGGGTTTGAATGGAAACTTTGAGGCAAAAAGGAATACTCGACATTGTAGTCTATCAGCAAAATGGAATCCAACAAGCCAGATTGTAGTAGAAGGGGAAGTCAGTTCTGGACATGGAAAAATATCAATCACTACACCATTCAAGTCGATCAGGGATGCATCAATGTCGATGTCCGTAAAACAACTCAAGAATGGTTTCCTCCAAAGTATAAAGATAATCCACAATGATAATAGTTTGTTCGACATTGATGTTGATCACAGTCTTTCACAAACACAAAAGCATATTCGTGTTAACACTCGGGCACCAAGATCAATGAAATTTGAAGTTGATGGTGAGTTTTCCCTATCTTACACAGATTTCGATATCGATGCAAATTGGAACACTGAAGATATTGACAGTAGGTTTAGCACAGAAATATCATATGATATCAGAACCGCGAAAACTATGAACATTAAGCTTACACAATCAAAACTTCCTGGCAAAAAACTTGCACTTACTGCATTTGTGAATGATAAACACAGTAAAGCAGATCTGTCATGGGGACTTAAACCCGAGGATAAATTAGGATATGAAATCATTGTAGGTGACTATGATGGTACTTTAAAATTGGACCTTCCTAGCCGAAGTCTCAAGTTTTTTGGCTCGCATAGAGGACAAATGACCGAAGGCTCATTCATGTGGGACGCTAATGGTGATAAGACCAAAAAGATATCGATACAGTGTCACACCGTTACAGCCAGTGACATTTCCAAAGCTTCAATTGTAGTCATGATGCCATCTCTTGGAAAGGTAAACAAGTTTTTGTACTTATATAATTTTGATATTTTTTATTTATTGATTTTTTGATATTTGATAACTTTGCTTAAAATTGAAACACGTGCGTACAGGGGGTATCATTCTTAAATGAAAGAAACTAATATACACTAAAAACCTCTCTATTTACACCACCAACGGGATGGCCTCATTAGTGAATATTATTTTCAAGGCTTATATATTTATTACCATGGTCTTTTTTCCTTTTTTTTTTCTTTTTTTTTTGTAATCTTGCAAGTGTTCAAACAATATTTATTGTAACCTTCACTGAAAAAGACAATATATAATACTTAATCTGATGATTGCAGAATATAACTCTGGACTTGATATATCACTGGTCTCAAAATTGTTGGGTAGAAAGCAACATTTAATCATTATCCAATGCATTTTCTCAGCTCGCATAATTGTAATTTGTATACAACATTCTAATCATTGCCGTTTTAACACCTTTTCAATAAGGTACCATGCCTAAGAGCCAATCAAGCAGATAATAACAAAAAACTTGTGGTCGAATAAGTTGTTGACTTGATTGTCAGTAATCTAAATGTGGGGTGAAAAAAAAAGAATAAAACAATGAATTAAGACTGAAACTGGTGATCTTAATAGTGGATAAGCGAGATGATCTAACTTGTGGGTCATGTGACTATTGACACTAAGAACAAAAGAAATCCTTTCTTTAAAAATGGTTAATAACTTGGTTGTCTGAATGTCGGGGTTGTCTTGCGTAGAATTTCTTCTGTAAAGTTAAATAAATCATTTCTCTTGGCAAAATATAGAGCTAGAACTACCATTTCCATAGTGTAAATACATTGTTCACAATTTTACAGTAAGTTTTTTTCAAACATGAAATAAATATTTGTGATCTTCATCAAAACTTTCAAATTGTATTAATATTCAGAATGTTCAAGTTGGATCTGAAATCTCTGTAAACCAAGGACGAGTTATCTTTGATGGAAAAACTGAGTTATCATACTCGGGCGATTCCAGTAAAAAACTCGTGTTTACATCTAAACTTGAAGATATTTCTACAGAAGGAACTCAGAATTATAGGTAATTAGATATTTGTTTCTATTTCACTACTTCACTGTACACTTCCTAGCTACAAATTCGGTTATACTTGACATCATATGCGTGTAAAATTAATTATAAAAGGTCATGTTATGAACTTTTTTCTCGATTACTATTAGTTTTTTTTGTTATAATTATTTATTTTTCAATTAATTACCTATTTTATGAATATACCAGTTAAACCAATTGTTTCAGCTTAAGCTTTGGAGTAAGCCATCCATACACAACACTTGGGGTAACGGTTAACACAAACGCCGGTAGATCACGAAACGAATATACAGCTGGCATTGGTTTAGAATACCTGACAGTAAGAAGGGATACCAAAAAATTCCATATGGGTGCTAGAATTGATAAATTAATGAAAGCTATAAGTTTTGAAGTAAGTTTATATATGGTAATAAAATAAAATAAAAATTACTGTCTCTAGTAAAAAAATACATGGTTTATGTTAATTTTACAAAATCATAACGTTCGTAACGTTTATTTCAGAAAATAATTAAAATTAAAGTACTTTACATATTACGGCCATAACTGACTGTCTTTTTTTGTAAACTTATGTATGTCGCTAACATTGAAAAACATGACTTTTTGTTGACGTTGTGTCAAAAGTAATTTTATGTTTTGCAGCTACAAAGTCCAATAAAATCTATAAGTATTTCTGGAAGAGCTCAAACTGATGATAAATTCCGCCTATCACTATTAAACATTTACGACCAGAGACAACCATTGAGTACAACTTTCACCTTCGATCGTGCTACACGTTCCATTGATTTTGTCACAAATTTCGATGAGGGTTTGTATAGTCTTGAATTGTTCATAATGACTTTCTTTGCTAAATTTTGCATTGTTGTTGTTTGTTTGTTTTTGTAAACTTGTATTCGCTTGAAGAATTCTTAAGATTTTCGTCGTAAGTGTAAACCACATGTAGAATATCGTTACAATTTCTTTTTGTTATTTCAGACAAGCCAACGAATGAGTTCCACATTAACATGAAGTATGTCAACAGCACAGCAATATCAGCAGAAGTTTACCATATTGTCAGATATAATCGAGTAACAGATGTTCTTATAACAACCCAACTAAAAACTTCCCATATCCTTCATAATAGAATACACTGGAGACCACAAATTATGAAAGATGTACAGGTATGTAAAACAAGATAAACTAATTTAAAGTTCACCTGAAAATGTAAAAAATTTATCATGATGTAGGGACATAAAGTAAGTTAGCTCAGTTTGCATTATATGAAATACAAATATTTTCTCTTTTAAAGAGTTATCTGGTAAAGTGTTCAAATCAATATTACTTATTACTCGGATGATTTTATGAACCGTATTTTAAATTGTTTTATTCTAGGCTTTTACGAACAGAAAACTGGATGATTACCATATGCGTCTGCGTAACACTGCAGCTGAAATAGAACCTGAAATAGTTGAAGAGGTGACGGAGAAGTTCCGCAAGATCTGGGGTGCAGTTGAAGAAGAGATTGGCAAAGAGAACATTGCGGCATTCGAAGCTGCAGTTGTACAATACCTTGACCTTGGTCTTCAACATACTATTGCTTTGTCACAGCCATTAGTACAACCTATTAGTGACTTTTTGATGCGATCAAGGTAACTTAATATTGATAAGCAATTGTAAAATTGGCTCGGTTAAGACCCCGTTGGTATAATTTTAAAACTATTGATTTTTTTCATATGATTTTTTTCATATGAATCTACATGAACCTCCGGTTTAATTGCGTGTTGACTTCTATTCGGTATTTTACTTTCAGAGTTAAACTTTTAAAGTCATATTCAAATTATGTATTCTTATTGTTGTTGTGTTCGTAAATAAAATATTTCGGCGTAAATTATAAAACTTTGGTATTATTTATCCAGAAATGAAGACAGTCGCCAGTTTCAAGTTGCTACTTCTGACATATATGTAAGTACGATATAAGTTGTTTTCGAGCGTTTGCATGAACAAATATGTGAAATAAGGAAGTTGTGAATTCGTATTTTAGTAAGGGGATTGATAACAATGGCCTTTAGGCTTAATTTGATTTTTATGTGCTCTTTATTTAGTAAACACACTTTCGATTGACATTCCTTTTGCTTCGTCGGTAGCAAACACTTTGACTATTCTGAATTATTGAAACAGTTTTGTTGGTAATTTGTTCCTTCGGTTTTGACTCATTTAAGTATGTGTTTATTTTCAGGCGGAATCATGGGACTATGAACGCCTTATTGCCCTGAAGCAGACTATTTCAAATAAATTCAATTTGGTCTCAGGTATGCCAGTCTTACTCATTTACTTGTACTGAACCTTAGGACATAATTTGATGACTTAAACAATTTAGAATTTATCATTACGATCATGTTTTAGATTTTTTGTTATTCATTTTTATAATTAATCAAATCATTAAAATACTAATATAGATGGTTTGTTATTTTTGCATCCATGATCAAACATGTAATGAAACAAACCTATTAATACAAACCTAAATCACTTAAATCATTGAATTGGACTAGATTTGACAGCTTAATTATACCTATACAATTTTAATGAGTGAATCTTGATATTAAAATTGCTAAACATTTCAAAACGAGGCAACTTTTAACCAACATTTTAATCTGGGAAATAACAAAATCATGACCACTAAATAAATTGAGAAGATATAAGACTATTAGGTCTTCTCGTCAGTTGCAGATAGTTGATGCAATGCATTTCTATTTTACAGAGAAAATGAAGCTACCAGCAAAACATATCCCAAGTTATGTTAACCACATCATGTCAAATGCTCTAAATTACACTACAGAGCGAATGCCAACCGCTGTAGCAAGCCAGGTATTCTTTTTTTTTTTTTTTTCATTTTCATTATCGACTTTATGTACAGTAACACATCATATTTATCTTCGGATGAGCAAATATAAATATTTTACTATACTTTATATAATACAAATACATGTGATTGAAGTATCGTGCACTCTTTCAAAGAGTGTCGACCTCCTGGTTGAAAATGATCCGACTTTCATACTTCTGATGAGCTTTACCAAACCAATACTAATGTCAGTGTCTAAAACTGTTGAAATGCTAAGATTTCAAATTTCTATAGAATTCATTTGCCTTTCTTGTTTTTTTCCAGATGGTTGTTTTAAAATCATATGGCATAATCGATGCCATGGAAGTATTCGTAAAGGATGAAATTTTAGCCATTGAAAAAGAGGCCGAAACAAAGCTGAGGAACATCGAAGAAATCATAATGGGACATTTGAAATCCCCATTCACTGTTTATGATCCTGCTCATGGCGAAATTCAGATGGAACTGTACTCTTTTATACCTTTATACTCATTGGACAGTTTGCCCGCATTAAATGCTGTCAGATACATCGAAAAACTACGGGAACTGAAAAAATCTTTGTCAAATAGCATTCCAGATGTAACATTGCCAGACCTTTCAGGAGAATGGGTGCCGCCATTTACAGGTATATATATTCGCTTTTAATCTATTCAATAAGTATATACATGTACATGTATGTATATGTGAATAAGGCAAATACGTTTTAGAAGAATCTAAGTAACTGTTTAGATATTTGAAATTATTTGAACAATTTGAACAACGTATCTTTTATCTGGATTGTAAAGCAAACTTTCAGTGTTTTTTTCAGCTGATATTTAAGACAGTATAATACAGTCGTATATCTTCTCAACTTTTTTTCAGGTGTCGCATCAGTCTCACTAGGTCATAAAATCACGACATTTGACGGCTACATTTATGACTTGAGCAGTGACTGTACATACATCCTGTCACGAGATTATGTTGATGGCAACTTTACTCTTGTTCTATCAAATGATGGCTACACCACACTTACTGTTCTTTCATCAGGAAAGCCAATCTCCATCAATCTACAAGGAGAGGTATAATCATTTTGCTATCCAGAGTTTGTCTAGTAATAATTTGAATATATAACAAGCATTCACTTAAGCACACGCTTTAAATAAAAAAGCAATTAACCATTGAAACATATTTTTTCTTTACATATAGTCATGACTGATCTTCCATGTTATTATTGATAGTAACAAAAATGTTTTTGTTTTTTTTTATTTTTGTTTAGGTTTTCGGGTGTTTATTTTGTTTGTTCTTTTTTGTTCGCTTTTTTCATAGCAGATGCATTATTGGTTTAAACATATTTATTTAAGCTCGATTGCGAAACAAGTTCTTGCAATCTATATTAATCAATTTCGAGTCTGCTTCCTGGAACCAATCAGCACTGGTGTCATATGAAGAAACATGGTCGCGACCTGATTAGGGCTCGAACCCATGATCGCAGGGTTAATAGGCAGGCACCAAGTAACAACTAGGCCACCGCTCCCCTTTGAGATGCATTAATCGTTAAGATATAACCTAATCGTAACTTAATTAAATACGCATTGAAATTTGTATTTACAGCTCCTTTTGGATGGAAAACCAGCCGACGTACCTTTCACAGAGGGAAACATAAGAGTAACTAAGGATGAAAATGATGTGGTAACAATCAAGGGAGGTAATCACTTTAGTGTGGACTACGACCTTACAATTGATCACATGAAAATCGAGATCAGTGGGTGGTATCATGGCAGAACTGGTGGACTTCTCGGTATCTATGACAACGAGCCGTCAAATGACAAAATGACGTCATTCAACAAAGTAGTCGAAAGTAATGATCGCTTTGCTAGAACATGGCAAGTTGGAACCGCCAGCTGTTAAAGAAATAAACATTTAAATATGCATAATACTGTGCATATCTTGATATGAACTTTTAGTTATTTCTATAGATTATTCGTGTATATTTCTTATATATTATTTATTTTTTAATTGTATTTTGTGTGTGAACTTGACCTGACAAATGCTCAGATGTGACTGTTTCAGTCTTATTATTCCAAATGCGTATCATTGCAGACCGAATGACATTCTTATTAAGAGTTGAAACGGTTAGTCTAGAAATAATATAAGAAGAAGAAAAAACGGTAAAACTAGCGAAAGAAAAAAATCATACGCATATAATTATGTTATTATTGTCTACGATTTTTGCTAGTATTCACTATTATTGTAGTTCATTGTCATATTTATCCTCTTCCACTGTTCATATTAGAATTATTTGAATTAACACGAATCGAATAAATGACTGTAACATGTGTAACGTATGTGAAAAGAACGTAGTTTAGCTCTATGTAGCGTCTTTATTAACGGCCAGTCAGATTGTTTTGTTTTATACGTCATTGTTCATTTGTATGTCAATAATTTATATTTATAGTTGTATAATTTATTGTTTTGTTTTATGTGTGTCCTGTTTTCGTCCATTCTAGGGTCATGTTTTCGTTTATTCTAGAGTCCTGTTTCCGTTTATTCTCAAGTCCTATTTTCGTTTGTTTTTGTTGTTGTTTTTTTTCTAATGCGATTGTTCCTTTGTGCCAATATATGTAAAGAAGATACATTGATTAAGTTTCTGTGATATAAATATATGATAATAATACCCTTTGGGGTATTAAACAGTGTAGAAACAATGCAAGAGTTTAATTTCATATTATGTTTTTGTACTGTGTGTGTGATTTAAAATGAATGTTTATATTTACTATTGCATCATTTCAATAAAGAATTGATTCTTGCTATATGTTTTGTCAATTTTTCAATATGGTTAGAAATGAGGACTAAGCGTTGGTGTTGTCATTGAATAATTATATTGTCAAAACATAAATATTTAGACGAGAAAAAAAAGTTCAAATAATCAAAGAACTATTTTCAACCATTCCATGAATTACCAGATTCATTACATGTCTTGTTTACTTTAATGCTTGTCGCATGTTTATCTGCTTCTGTGACATGAGAGGCCCGTTGGGCCGCGTGTTCTTTTCTAGTATATACCAACTTGGTTTTGTTCAGCCTGTTTAAATTAAAATGTGTCTCTATGATAAATAAATTTCAACTTGTACAGTTCTCATTAAAAGCCCTTCAAAAGTTCTCATCAAAAGACATCGTTATCATCCGAAGCTTAACAATTGTCACGTGACGGCAAGCAGTAGTTCTAAGCATATTTTGTAACTGTAAGCGGATGCGTTTATATAAAGGCTTGACCCTGTAGTAAGCATTAGAGAAGAAATTATCAATTTGAAAAGGACTTGTAAGTTTTCATAAAAGATTATCATAATTTTACTAACAGTCGAAAATGATTTTATTACTATAATTTTTTTTACAACACTAACATGTGTACAAACGTGTCCACTAAATTCATGATCGTCACAAAATTCAGGATTTCACAACCAAAAAAAAATATGATAAACAAGATCAACAAGGAAAGACGGCGTTCAATGAACGCAACTCTGTAGAGAACAATGTAGGAAATGTGGGGTGGTTTATGAACATAGCTAGAAGATGTATAAAAAGGGGACATCTGAAGCAAGTACAAGTTTATGAGGGAAAAAAGTGAACTTCTTGAAAGCTGCGTGCCTCCAAATGAGCCAAAATATTTTAAAAAATCGAACTTGAGAAATATGTAAGCTTTTATGAAAAGTGAAAAAATTTAAAGTAATTATTTACATGTCATGTGCGATGATGCCTGATTCTGCAGTATTTATTACCATATAAAAGTTTCATGGAAAATAGCATGAATCTTTGGGCATGCTGCTTAAAATCGTAATATACATGGACAGTATGTTTATAATTTTATTATCGTCGTACATTTGTATATTACCTTTTACAGACCAGAAATTGTTACATTAATAGTAATGAAGCAAAAATGTCATCTAACCATCGAGTTTCTTGTGTAATTAAAGATATTTTTGTGTTAAAACAGACGCAGGTATACTTGTCGAAGGATTAAACACAAACGTAATACTACAAAATATAAGAGAAAATAATACGAGTTCTAACACGTAGTAAACAAAAAGGAGGCGATTTATATGAACTCTTACCAGATATGTAGATATGTGTCTCTGCTCTAACATACCAGTGAAACATAAATATTACGATCTTCTAATGCAATTTGTCAAATATATAATTTAGTTGAAACCAGTTAAACGAATCCATAATGATTTAAGAGAATTTCTAGATGCATTATCATGATGATTTGCACCATTTACTTTGAAGTACAGTCAAAACAGCCCCAAGTCAACCCGATCCCTAAATTGGTTAGTTTAAATTCGATATACATTTTTCTTAAATGCATTGGTATTGCTGTAACTTATCTCTGTATGGGTAGACATTAATTCATTTCTATAAAGTTTATCAAAAGCGCAAAATAAATAATACTTAAAAAGGGGCTGGGTTGACCAAAGATCAGATTAATTTGGAGCCGAATTGACTAATTTGAGGCCGTGTGATTTGGGAAACCGTTTATTTTTAATAGCACACATACAACTACACATGTATATCGCTTAAGGAATACGAGGACATTTATTATAACGTCTGAATATTCAATTTATGCATTATTTTAAGAATTTGAAAATAGGAAACACATTTTTTCAAGCACTTGAGTATAAGAGTTACGAACCCCGACACTCGTAATGTAAGAGATCGAAGCAATTAAAAGTTCAAATGTTTCAAGAAAACTTTTTTACGATATTTTGATTCTTCATATTCCATTAAATACGAATTTAAATTAAACATGTGTTAAACTTTGAATTGCTTAACGATTTTTAAAAGTATTTTTAAAAATAAATTGATCATAAGATTTTTGCATACTTGATTATAAAGATAAAACGTTCGTTACTTACAATATTTACCTTATCTAGAAATATATAATCCACGCATACATTTAAAATTATGCAAAAGAGAATATGGATGTGGGACAATATACTTTCCCTAACGAGATCCACCAGCGTGTGGCGTTTCAAGTTGATATCTCTTATACTTCTTCAGTTGTGATTGAAGAAAAAAATAAATTTGAAAAATAACGGCATCTCGGATGAACAAGGATGAAAAAGTCAATGAGGCTGTGAAGTAACACGACACTGCATTTGTGCTAATTGACATATTATGGAACATATGTCACGAAAACCTCAATTCGGTATTCCATGCAGATTTAATCTTGTCTGAAGCCGACCGTATTCTACCATCAATTCACGTGCACAGATAGATAGTATCTTGTTTCGAAATTGTTTATTTCTAATCATCAGCTTTCATATATTTGAAAGACCCTGATACGACTTCGTTTTCAATAATGTCTTTATTTTCACGATTTAGTATCAATTTTTGCTCAATCTTTTTTAGTTTGGTTTTAACTGTGTGATTTACATACTGATGAATTTCGACATATCTATAACAAGATCAAATATTTGATTTGTTTGTTAATAAAAAAAATACCTGATATAAACGTGCCCTATAATCCTGAGAAATTAGAGGACGAATTTCAATATAAAGTGTGGAAGTATTTCATGGTTTATAGCTCGAGCAGTTGGTACGTAGAGTCGCAGAGCGGTATTCCGAGGGTCACTGGTTCGAATCCCAGTCAGTTTGCACATTTTTCTCATCGTGTGACAGGTATTCGATGTAGGTCTCCAGCTACATTACTTTCCAATATATCCAGTAATGGAGGCTTTTACCTTTGAAGTATTATTTATTAGTTTAGAACTCTGTAGCCTTAATAGTGCATCGATGTATTTTGTGGTGTAAGACCTTTATCTTACTGTTCATAGCTATTTCATTTTACGACACCGTCCCATCTCGGTAAATAACGTTAATTCCGAGATTTGGTCCAAGCTACTTCCTTCTCCAGTTTGTGTATTTTTTTAGGGATTTTACCTTTTTCGCATTGGGATGTCTTGATAGTGATAACAAAATATATTTTTGTGAGTATAATTATTCTGTAATTCAGTACCCGTTCTCCTGAATGATATTTTGATAGTGTCGGTTTCGTTTCTATTTCGATAGAAATCGTGATCAGTCACCCGTAACGGCGAAAAAAATATATATTTATGCCAACCCTAAATCTGAAAGAGTGAGATTTGAAATAAAACAAGGATTAGCAATTTTATTTTCAAATCATTTGTATACTTGACACTTGTTACAGGGACAGGTGTTCCGCGCGTTGATTGGTCACTTACGACTTACCCCCCCCCCCCATGTAAACTGTACTCTTAGTGTAGTATTTTACCATGTTTACATTTGATATAAACTTTTAATTCAATTTCCGTCATTTCCCACAAAAAATACATAATATGTGCACCATACACAGTGTTGCATCTAGAATTGCAAAATTATGAAATGGTAGACAGAAGGTGTCATTCAGTATTTCATGCACGCTTCCGTTTTCATTCATTTCATATTAAACAGAAAAGTTGTGACAGTTCCGTTAACAGAATACCCTGCCTGTTATCAGTAGGTAACTAGGTTACATTGAAAATGATGGTGACCAACTAGATAATACACAGAAAATTTCAATCACTGAATGACGAATTACACTTACAGTCAACCCGGCCCCAAGTTAACCCGGCCCCAAGTCAACCCGGCCTCAAAATTGGTCAACCCGGCCCCAAAATTGGTCAATCCAGCCCCACAGTATTTTTATTTGGTCAATGCGGCCCCAAAATTGGTCAATGCGGCCCCAAAATCGGTCATTCCGGCCCCAAAATATATATTTTCAAAGAAAATTATTTAAGTCATCTTGTTGTATGATGGAATAAAAATGATTTATTATTAATTGTACCAAATTTAACGATTATTTGCATGTTATTTCACTGTAATCCAGACAAAAAAACCACTTACTTTATAAAATATAAGTCATATAATGATATTTGATATCTTCTGTTCTTCACAGATATGATTTTATATATATATAAAAAAAACAAATATAACTTATAACTTTTTTATTTAAGCCTGATGAAGAGTATTGTATTACTCGAAACTAGTAGCCAATAAAAACTTTTAAAACTTGACCTGGTGTTGTACGTGTGTTCCTCACCTACATTACTTATTTTTTTATTTATAAACCAAATTTAACGATATATTGCATGTAAAATCATTTTATTATTAATCAAGAAAAGTTAATAAAAAAATAATCAATTTATAAAATATAAGTCATATTCGGTATCTTCTGTTCGCTACTGATATGACTTTTATCTGTTCGCTACGGATATGACTTTTATAGAACGTAATTCGAATATAACTTATAACTTTTTTATTTATGGACAAAATTTAACGATATTTTGCATGTAAAATCATTTTATTATTATAAAACATCGTATCAAGAAAAAATAATAAAAAATAATTACTTTGTAAAATATAAGTGTTTATATTTTAAAGCAAAATAAATAATAAAAAAATGGGGCCGGGTTGACCAGAAATAACATTGGTTTGGGGCCGGGTTGACCAATTTGGGGACGGGCTGACTTGGGGCCGGGTTGACTTGTACCGCTGAATGACTGGTATAGAATATATATTTTCAATTGTTTTTTAAGCAACATAAGATAAACAAGAAATCTGAACTACCTGATACCCTACTCGAGGACACAATATCATCAAAATTCTTTCTTTCCTAGGAGCATACGTCTTTGGAATAGCCTTCCCCTAACTGTTCAGTCCAGCCCCAGTTTAAACATCTTTACTGAGAGGCTTGACCCATTCTATAAATTCTAAACTGCACACTATGTTTTTAAATTAATAGTCTTGTAGAACTTTTATTCTTTTAACTTTTTAATTTGCATATAAACAAATTCTTTTATTTATTAACAGTTCCCTGACAACGCGCCTGCTAGTCATAATCAGAATTGATTGTTAAGCAGTATGATGTAGATGTAGATGTAGATAATGATAACGTAATTGCTCATAAACCAATAGCACATTCTGATTTTATTACTATAAAACCCGTCAGTCAGCATATAAATACATTAATTTTGACCTAATCATGAAAAAGAATACCTTTTAATGTGCATGTGCTAAGGGTACCATTTTAGTAAATTTTGCAAAGAGTGTACTGATAATGATATGCACTGGCTTGGCGTTGCTGGCACCATTTTTAAGATCTTGGAATGGTTCTATATTTAACCCTTTACCTCATATAGATGTGTTTTGACGGCTTTTCAAAACCTCCACCCCCCCTCCCTTTTTTTTGAGGCCTCAAAGTTCAAACTGTGAGAAGTTATCCTATTTAGGCCCCAAACACTGTTTTCGTTTGGGAAATGTCATTAAAAAGTGATCACTTTTTCAGCTCCTCCCCTTAGCAAAAAGGTACATCCTGAAGGGGGTTGCCAGAAGGGGGATGTGCCCCTTTTGTTTCAAGAAAATTTTGGAAATGTGACAGGCTAAAAATGGCCTCAGGTCGTTCGAAAGGTAACATGTAACCAACGCTGAAAAGCCTTTTACTCCAGAAGTTGCAGCACTTTGATATCAGTTTTGATGAAAAAAAAACAATGCAAAATAGTGATTTTTAGCTCGACTATTCGATAAGAATAAGTAGAGCTATTGCAGTCACCCGAGCGTCGGCGTAACCACTTATGTTAAAGTTTTTGTAATAGTTCAAATATTTTCAAAGTCCATTGACATATGGCTTTGAAACTTTGCACACTTGTTCACCATCATGACCCCAACCTGTAGACAGGAGAAGGTAACTCTATCAAGTATTTTGACAGAATTATGCCCCTTTTTCGACTTAGAATTTACGTTAAAGTTTTTGTAATAGTTCAAATATTTTCAAAGTCCATTGACATATGGCTTTGAAATTTTGCACACTTGTTCACCATCATGACCCCAACCTGTAGACAGGAGAAGGTAACTCTATCAAGTATTTTGACAGAATTATGCCCCTTTTTCGACTTAGAATTTACGTTAAAGTTTTTGTAATAGTTCAAATATTTTCAAAGTACATTGACATATGGCTTTGAAACTTTGCACACTTGTTCACCATCATGACCCCAACCTGTAGACAGGAGAAGGTAACTCTATCAAGTATTTTGACAGAATTATGCCCCTTTTTCGACTTAGAATTTACGTTAAAGTTTTTGTAATAGTTCAAATATTTTCAAAGTCCATTGACATATGGCTTTGAAATTTTGCACACTTGTTCACCATCATGACCCCAACCTGTAGACAGGAGAAGGTAACTCTATCAAGTATTTTGACAGAATTATGCCCCTTTTTCGACTTAGAATTTACGTTAAAGTTTTTGTAATAGTTCAAATATTTTCAAAGTACATTGACATATGGCTTTGAAACTTTGCACACTTGTTCACCATCATGACCCCAACCTGTAGACAGGAGGAGGTAACTCTATCAAGCATTTTGAAAGAATTATGCCCCTTTTTCAAGTTAGAATTTACGTTAAAGTTTTTGTAATAGTTCAAATATTTTCAAAGTCGATTGACATATGGCTTTGAAACTTTGCACACTTGTTCACCATCATGACCCAACCTGTAGACAGGAGAAGGTAACTCTATCAAGCATTTTGACAGAATTATGCCCCTTTTTCGACTTAGAATTTACGTTAAAGTATTTGTAATAATTCAAATATTTTCAAAGTCCATAGACATATGGCTTTGAAACTTTGCACACTTGTTCACCATCATGACCCCAACCTGTAAACAGGAGGAGGTAACTGTATCAAGCATTTTCTTTACTATCAAGCACTAAGAATAGTGGAGCGTTGCTGTCCTACCGACAGCTCTTGTTTTGCAATTTTGAGACGTCCTCCTGTTGCCATGGTAACAGGAAATTTAAGATTGAGCACGCTGTTACAGAGGCTATGGTCCAGTCAACATCTGTGCCAAGTTTCATTAGTATTGAAGCATTTTTCATTGTTTCATAGCAGTCTGAACTTGTTACAGGAGGTTTTTCAGACAAAACGGCCAATTTTCACAATATGCTCCTGAATGAGGTAAAGGGTTAAATTATAATTAGATTTCATGAAGCTTTTGAAAAATCATATAATTAATAAAATGGCCTACACAATGCAGACTTTGCTAGAAGACAAGTCAGTCTTCTGTCCTATATTTGTTTAAATTACATTTCTGGTAGAAATATGATTTTAAAAAATCAGTAATTAAATATTATATTTATAATCATTGATTAAACTGAAATAATGGTGAATAAACATCGTGATTAACATAAAAAAAGTCTCTTTTTAATATCTATTATGATAAATCCTCTCATTTAAATAACCTAAAAACAAGAACTCAGAGTAAAGATTAACAAATACGGCGAAACACCCAGAATACTTTTATAAAAGGTTCAGCACCTCTAATTCATTTGAATCTAATTAGCGCAACAAAATACCAGCATTTACTTGTTATTTACAAAGTCCAAGACAGATCTGATTTAATTTTATATATTGAAAACTTTATGCTTTTTAATGAGCTGAATGCTTGATATGTAACAGTAAATGACCAGTTGTTTTTAAAAGTAGATTTTTTTTGTCACTCATTTGAGCAATTATTATCCCCCACCGAAAATTTTCGGCGGAGGATATAGAAATAGTCTCCGTCCGTCCGACCTTCCGTCAGTCCTTCCGTCCGACATTTTTGTCTGGAGCATATCTCTAAAAGTATTTGAGTTATCAACTTGAAACTTCATAGGTGGATAGACCTCATTGAGGAGGAGTGCAGTGCACAAGAATGATAACTCTACCTTGCATGATTTTTGAGTTATTGCCCTTTGTTATTTTTCAAAATTGATTTTTGTCCAGAGCATAACTCCAAAAGCCTATGAGATATTAACATGAAACTTCATAGGTGCATAGATCTCACTCAGGAGGTGTGCAGTGCACAAGAATGATAACTCTACCTTTCATTATTTTTTAGTTATTGCCCTTTGTTATTTTTCATACCTAATTTTTCACCTGAGTGGAGCATAACTCAAAAAGTGTTTGAGATATTAACATGAAATGTCATAGATGGATAGATCTTATTGAGGAGGAATGTTGTGCGCAAGAATGATAACTCTTCCCTATACAATTTTTGAGTTATTGCCCTTTGTTTTTTTTCATGCTATTTTGTCCAGAGCTTATCTCAAAAAGTATTTGAGGTATCAACTTGAAACTTCAAAGGTGGATGGATCTCATTGAGGAGGAGTGCAGTGCTTAAGAATGATAACTCTACCCTGCATTATTTTTGAGTTATTGCCCTTTGTTATTTTTCAAAATTAATTTTTGTCCAGAGCATAACTCAAAAAGCCTTTGAGATATCAAAATGAAACTTCATAGGTGCAAAGATCTCACTCAGGAGGTGTGCATTGCACAAGAATGATAACTCTACCTTTTATAATTTTTGAGTTATTGCCCTTTGTTCTTTTTCATACTTAATTTTTCAATTCAATTTTTTTCTCAAAAAGTATTTGAGGTATCAACTTGAAACTTCTTAGGTGGATAGATTTTACTGAGGAGGGATGCAGCACACAAGAATGATAACCTACCCTGCATTATTTTTCAGTAATTGCCCTTTGTTATTTTCAGCCATCAGTATTCACATAGGTTTCAAATCTGTAATCACTATAGCCATCAGTTTTCATTACCAAAAGACCTCTTAAAATGGAATTATTCCGCCCTACTACATATACATTCTTCCAATGAGCAAACACATTCGGCGGGGGATGGCCATGTTGACATGGCTCTTGTTATATATAGTGTTTGTCGTGTACATGTATAATTTTATGTCTAATATTTTCTTAACAAAAAAAGATGACAGAATTCCAATAAAGAATTTGTGAATGTCATTTAGCTGTTTGATGATTGTTTGAGAAAATCTTTAAAAGTTTGGCAGACTTATTTCTGAACAGCTGGTTATGCACCTGTATGTGTAGGTCAACTTGTGCATTAATTACATAAATTATGGTAATTAGGTTTTCAAGATTTGTTAAATTTAAAGTGAGACGAATTGTCAATAAAATGGGACAGATCATTATACTGTATTATCAAAAATAATAACCTGATTTGCAATGTCCCAAGTAGAATACATTTGTAGATATGTAGAATACATGTGTGGATATGTAGAATATATTAAGATACATGTGTATCTATGTACAAGTTGCTTGCATATTAAACCAGGAAGTTTTCATCTGCATGGCTGATAATATTGAAAATGACTATAAAGAATGTCAGTTTATGGGAAATTATCTTAATTTCAATCTACAGTGATAAAATAATATTGTCTCTAAAAAAAGAAGTTAAGCAACTTTATTTTTCTATGTCTTACTTTTAAAAATGCAATGCATATACATGTATCTAGTTGTAATTTGGAAAAAAAAAGAGTAAATTTTTGGAGGTTACTTTCGCATCCTGGTTCATATTTAACACTTCATTTATTATTTGAATTAATACGCAATTTTAAACTAGTTAGTAATATGGCAATGATGCTCTTCAAATAGTTAATACTATGGCATTATTGAGTAATACATGTATGGTTCTTTGTAAGAAATTATGGTCCAGTGTTTTTTTTCGACTTTATTGGGAAGTGGCCTTCTAAGCCTCTTGATTTTGGGAAAAAATATCACTAAAATTGCTTATTTGGGAAGTAAAAAACCTGGTGTAAGTTCAGATTTTTGGTAATCTGCATGATTAAAAAAAAAATATTGGGAAGAAGTCTTTAAATAGGTGAAAAATCTCTATGGTCCCTGATGAGTCTTAGTATAACTATTTTTTTTATAAGAAGGAAAATCATTCACAAGAAATTTGATCTAAATCCATTTGTTTTTTGTACATGTAACTCTGACATGAATGTACCATTAAGCATGTATATTGATGATGGACCGTAGTCAACTTGAAATGCCAACATGAACATTTTGTAGCTTGTTGTATTTATAAACAATCATGTACCTTGTCTGTTGCAGCACTAGCATGAACCTTCAGAGATGGGTAACTGTTTCAGCACAGAAGAAAAACAACCAAAATTTCCACCATCTCAACAAGAATTAAATAGATCCCAGTCCCAGACCCCGGTTTCTCCTTCCGGTGTCAATGTAAGCCTTGATCCTACCAGACCACTGCCGTCTACACCCAAAACCAAAGGTATGCCTGTTTGTTGAACCATATAGCTTTTAAACTTAAAGTCCACATTAGTTTTCTTCTCTTAAGCCAGTTGAACTATTTCAGGAAAATGACTTACATGTACAGTTGATAAGAAACTGATGTCTATTTGCCTGGTTAAAATAATTATCTCTCAATTATTTAAAAATCAAAAACAGATCAACCTGTAAGTTTCTAGCTAGTATATTCAAGTTATATTTAGATAGGTTTGTGTTTTAATCTGTAGTCTTTATGCATGTATAGTAAGTAAAGGAAGGTCTTGTGATGTTTACCTCCTAATTAACTGACTTGTTCCGTTTACAGATTCTTTAGAAATAAATATAAGTTAACCAATCGGTTTCATTAAATATAAAATATAAAACCTAGTTCTTTGGTATTTGATGGTAATGCTATATTTTTATTGTGTGAACTATGCATAGATTGTAATGAATATTGTGCGATTTCAGATGCCCTTATAGTGCGTGCCTTATATGACTTTGAAGCAATCAATGATGATGATCTCAGCTTCAGGAAGGGAGATAAGTTGGAAGTTGATGAAGAAACCAGGTACAGAGTTACATTTCTTGATACATTAAAGCCCTTTTTTATGGCTTTGCTTTAATGGCCAGTTAAGTTTATATTTTGTTCAGTTTTTGTGTGTCTGGATTGTAATTGTAGGTCACCAGCTAAGACCCATAACTCTAACATGAATGTATACAAATTTATACCTGTTTCTAAACTTTAATAATTCCTGCATCATCTGGGCCATTGAATTTGTCTTTCTACCAGATGCTAAAGATAGACAAGCATTGATTGACAGGTGGATTCTATTCCATTTGATAAGGAAAAACTTATATTACCTATTAAATTTATATTTTCACATTGAACTTTTGGATACAGTTGAATCTTTTAGGAAATTATTCAAACTTGATTTTGGTTTCTTAAATATAAATTGTCATTTTGAATTTTCAGTCAAAACTCAGATTGGTGGGTAGCACGGCATCTGACAACGGGGGAGAAAGGTTACATCCCTAGTAACTACGTGACGAAAGATGATAACTCCCCACAATCTCAAGAGTAAGTAACTTTTATGTGATTGTTACATTCTAAATAAAAACTGTTTTTACGCCTGTTTGAGAAAATGGGTGATATTATGGGATCGCCCCTGGCAGGCAGACAGAAGTCATCCAGTTTAGTCCAGAGTATAATTATCTTCTGTATGCATGAAGGGATTTTAGTATTTCTTGATACAAATGCTCATTACCATAAAAGGTAGGGGCCATATTACCTTAAAATTAAGGTGTACACATAAATTAGGTCAAAGGTGAAGGTCAAACTTGGATGTTAGAGGAAAATGCTTGTACAGAGCAAAACTTCTACATGCATAGAGTGATTATAATATTACTAAGCACATATTTTCACTATTGTGGGGTGATGTGTGTTCTGCACAAATTCAGATCAGTATGGCTAAGTTCAAGGTCATATATGACACATTCAGACTGGTAGTAAGTTGATTGAGGAGCTGAATATTTTACACCTATTAAGGAAGGGCAATGGTCCTTTTTGTGTATCAGCTTAGGCTTTACATTATGCACAAAGAAACATCAAATGAGCAGCGTCATGACAAACCAACATAGACGGTTTGCGACCAGCATGGATCCAGACCAGCCTGCGCCTCCCCGCAGTCTGATCAGGATCCATGCTGTTCGCTATCAGTTTCTCTACTCGTAAAAGGGTTTGTATGCGAACAGCATGGATCCTGATCAGACTGCGCGGATGCGCAGGCTGGTCTGGATCCATGCTGGCCGCAAACCCATTATGTTGGTTTTGTCGTGACGCGGCTCAAATGATTTCCTCTATAATTTTACTGTCAGATTACCACTGGACTTGCACTGTAATTTCTATCAGACTGAAGTTTGTTGTTCTTGGTTTTTCTTTGATATTTTTGTTTCAAAATTCTTAATATGAGCATGCATTCAATTCAAAACTGGTTAAAGTTAATTGGTTTTCATTATTGCTGATAAAAGCTACATAAGCTTAGGAACAGACGTGATGCTGTTTTGATTTCAAAGAAATAATTGTTTTCTGATCCTATGGTTGTTGATACTAGTTTTGGTCACTTAAACTTATACAATGTTTGTAAGAATATTATGTTATATTGACAAATATCAAAATAGATAATGAAAATTAGCAGAGTCTTGTAAGTGTAGCTGTTATAACCTTATCTGGTTTACATGTGTGCATTTGTATGGATATAAATGCACAAATCTTGATAAGATGTCCATGATGATATGAAATGTCTTTAAAAAACCACTTCCTGGTTTACTATATATCAATGTATGTATAACACTTGAAAAAAAAACTCTTATCTATATTGATTAGGTGTGAACCATGCTTTGATATTTCCTACCTGAAATAATAAAAAAATAAAGATATGTATGATAAACCCAGCCATTTGGTTAGATCTACATACAGTAAAATACCCTGTTTGGGTTTCAGATCTTTTATTTTGTTTGTTTGAATCCCAGGGGTTGTGGTCGCTGTTGTTTGTCCGTGTCTATCTGTATGAAAGTGTTATGAGTGAACAGGAGAAAGTCAAAATAAGCTTACATTTTGCAATAATTCCTTTCAATTTTATAATAATAATAATTTATTTTGCATGAACGATATAAATAATGTGTTCGACTGAAGGAAATTTCTGTAAATATCCATTGGAATTGACCTGTAACATTTTATATAAGAGTGGGACAGTCTTTTCATGTTTTAGGCAGATTTATACTTTATATATCTTTAACATTTTCCAATATCAACTATTGGTCCAATATTGCCATTATAACAGTCCATCTTTTGCAATATAAATCGCAATTCAGTTTAACTTGACAATGAAATAATGAGCATAATGTCGCTTTAATATTTAATGTAGTTTCATAATAAACTTCCTTACACAAAATACATATTTGAAAGGTTTATCTCATTTGCCTAAAATATTATTTGAAATGGTTATCGTCTTCATATATATAACTTAGCTTGAACAAAAACAAAACATTTTGACCTCAGCTGGAAAGTCACCATGTGATAAGACCTAATTCATAGTTACTCTCTAAGGTAAAAAAAAAATACAATTAAAGTTAGTCTTAAAATTGCATTATATTCATTGTGCAGCTGTTTTAGGAAGTAAGTCATGTGTCATATAAAAACTACATATATTTGGTGTGAATCAGTTAATTTGTACATGGATGTCTTCAAAAAAAGTGTTTCAAACACTTCCTGGTTGAATACCCATTATGACTTCCTTAATGAATGAATTTTATTAGTTAGAGCTATCATTTGCATCAGTCTATGAATTTCTAAAGACAGTCGGAAGTTGGCGTGTGAAGTTTTTTTAACAATATCACAACAGGGTTTTCTTGATGAAATGATTGGAACTTCTTTGCCTTTTTGTGTCGCCTCTATGGAGTAGTGGCGACATATAGGGATCACTTCTCCGTCGTCTGTCTGTCCGTCACAAAACTTGTCCGGACTACTCCTCATAAACTACTGGTGCAATTTCATCCAAACTTTACAGGAATGATCAGTACCAAGTCTAGTTGTGCTTATTGTCAGAATTCTCCGGTTCAATGATTTTTGTCAGAGTTATGGCCCTTTAATAATTTTTATTTTTAAAGTTTGTCCGGACAACTTCTCTTATACCACTAATGCAATTTCAATGAAACTTTACAGGATTGATCTGTAGCTCAAGTCCTTGCGCATATTGCACGGGTTTTCCGGTGGAATGATTTTCGGCCGAGTTATGGCCTTTTGATAAAAAGGTGTTTTTTTCTGTGTGTTGCCAGATACACAAATTTTAAAGCTTGTCCCCACTACTCCTCATAAACTACTGGTGCAATTTCATCCAAACTTTACAGGAATGATCAGTACCAAGTCTAGTTGTGCACTGTCCGTCTGTCACAAAACTTGTCCCAACATGAAATTGGCCATCATGAGGCGACACATGTGATCACTGATCGCTCTTGTAATATACCAAGGGTTGACCGCAAAACTGCAATAAATTAAATGCAATAAAGAAGGATGAACAACAGATTTGCAATCAACTCTCGATTATTAATAACACTTGTAGTCTCTGTAAATTTAGTTCACTTTAGGCAAATTCTGTTAAATTCATTCACTTAAAGATCCTGTATGTTGTATTTTTTTGTAATTGAGGTTGTATACCACACTTAAGTGAAATTGTATATATATGTATATAATTATGCTTATAAAACAATTTTCAAACATCGAAGAATATGTAAAATATCTACTGCAAATATTTGTACATATTATATCATATGTAATCATTGAAATATATGCATTCATTTCTCATTGAAAAATTTGACTTGGACTTTATAGAAAATAAATTTTTTATTACCTCCCTTTATTTACATGAAATGATAAAGCGGTAATATCTTTATAAATAATGCTTTTTGGAACTTACAAAATTGATAAATCTAAATTTAATCATCATATTAATGATATAAAACCATAAAAAATTTGTGTTACAGGATCTTTAAGGTGAATTTTGATACTTTTAGGTACATATTGAGGTCCGAGTGGAAACTTTCTGTTTACTTGAAGAATACTTGCCCAATTGACTTGTAAGGTCCTGTGTGCATGGTCTATGGTTTTAAGTTTTTGATTTTTGAACAATCTTTGTACATTACCATGACATTATCATATTAAAATGTTTGTCCCCTTGAAGCTGAAGGGTTGCCTTTGAGGATTAAGGCATCGGAATTGCAGCTGCCGTTTATCCTTGCGTGATCGTAAAATATTAGGCAACTAAATGGGTTCAAATAACTTGAGTCTGTGCATCGCTTAGCTCCAGCAGGTGAAGTGGTTTTGACCCCTGGTGTTGTTGTATCTGAGGTTACCTAAAATCATCTTTCCTGTTTCGATGCCATATGACCTAAATTGTGTTAGTGCACCATAACACCAAACAAAAAAATCCTTTTAGGTTACCCGTATTTGAATTCTTTCGTCTAAGAAAGCTAAGCAGAGACATGTTTACTTGCATGAAAAATTTGAACTGTCATTTTTGCCATAAGCCTTCAAACGTTTTAAAATTTACACATGTACCATTTTGCATTTTCCTTTCTTAACTCTTGAGAAGATATAAATTGAAAAAGAAATTGCATTATTATAAGTTGTAAAATGCTATTTCACAATAAATCAATTTGATTTATTACATACATAATATCTATTACATGGATTTCACAGATCTTGAAAAGGTTTTTGTACATTTTGTTAAACAGGCGGAACAAAGGTTGTTTGTATGTAATGTTGGGCGTAATTTAGTAAATAAATTGTGTAAGAGATAATAGCATTGTAAATATCATGTTTCCGAAGTGAACCGAAATTATAGACACACACATAATTTATATTATCATTTTACAGTGATTCTCCACAGTCTGTATCTAATCGGTTTATAAATTGAGCAGAAGAATGTTACATTTCTACAGTTAACCATTTACAACAATCATACATGTATATATGAGGGATCATATATTTTGTAATTTGTGTATGTTGCATTTGTTTTGCAAGGGGGACTTGTGTTTAGCAACATAAGATTTTAAGTCATCGTTAATAATAATTATAATAATAATAATGAAAATAGTAATAATAATGATATAACCTTTATTTATAGAATGTACCATACAGAGTTTTACACAAAAAGAGAACAATTGTATACTTATTTTCAGTACAGCCTTCTGATTAAACAATAACAAAGAAAAAAAGAATAATAATTAAAAAAGAAAGAAAAATACTTGTAGATTTATACAAAATTTGAATCTTTTTGTACAAAAAAATTTCAAATAAATTTTTTAATAGGTTAGGTATTTTCATTCATTCACCTGGCTTACACTCATATTAATCATAGTAATTAAAAAATAAACTCATAATGATTCAAATATGATAATATCAATATTTACAACAGCTACAGTATAAAGTGGTTAATTTTCATCATGTATGATACTATCTAATTGTAAAATTAGAAAATGTTACTTGTTCCATTCCAACATCAATACTGAAATAAGAAAAAGAATCCTTTAAATAATGTGGTTAAGATTAAGTTTTATCTGTAAGAATTTGTTTTTGTTCAAACTTCAGTATAAAAACAAGATTGTCAAATTTGTGCAGTTACAATTTTAATCAAAACTACCAACAGTTTTCATTTAACCAGTGAAAATCGTCCTGTTCAATACTAAAAAAACAAACATTACTGGTCAATACTGGGTGATGGAATATATGTCAGGTAATTTGTTTGAATAGATACTTTGGTGAAAGAATAGAACTGGTCCTTGAAGCTAAGACATTTCATTCTACCAAACTTTTCAATGATGATGTTTCATAGAACTACTACATTGTATTAGACATTTATGAATCAATTGCATTTGAGCCGCATCGTGAAAAAAACAACATAATGGGTTTGCGACCAGCATGTATCCAGACCAGCCTGCGCATCCGCGCAGTCTGATCAGGATCCATGCTGTCCGCTTATAAACCCTATAACAAGTAAAGAAACTGTTAGTGAACAGCCATGATCCTGATCAGACTGTGTGGATGCGCAGGCTGGTCTGGATCCATGCTGGTCGCAAACGCATTACGTTGGTTTTGTCATGACACGGCTCATTTGTTGTTCTTTATACTACCTGTCTCACAATTATATTATATTATCTTAAGTAATGACTTGGTTTTGTAACTCAAGTCATCTGTCATATTTGATTATTAACTTTTCAGTTGGTGGTATAATGTAGACAGGAAGGAAGCAGATAAACAGCTGCTGTTGCCTGGCAACCCGACAGGAACTTTTCTCATGAGAGAGGCCGGAGGTAGGTAATTCTTACCTTTGAAGAAGAGAAAAATGAGCTTAAGACTTGAAATTCAAAGACTTCAAACATTTTAAATGTGTTATCTTGATGAGTATTCCAGATCTGATAAAGAGGAAAACTATTAACTGTACATTTTATTGAAAAAGGAAGATAGGGTGTTAAAAAACGATGAAATTGCATAAGAAATGAGGCCTTTACAAATGTATGTAAATAAATAAGTTTTGCATTTAAGTTTTCTTAACTCACATAAATGTATACATATATATAAAGCCAATTCAAGCCTGTCAGTGTTACTCTTTGACTAAATAATTTACTCATTACCTGTATACTGTTTATGGTATGAATTCTTTTAAAAACCTTGTATTCTTTCATGCCAGGAAGCTCAGACATAACATGGTTTGTACATAAATGGCAATACATGAAATGATGAGAAATTGGCACCTGAGGGCTCACCTAGAAAAGCTTAGAAATTACTATATATGATCATAAAACAGTCAAGATTAAACAACCAAATGCAAGAATAATCATGCAAAGTTGTTTTGAAAATTATTTGTTATTATTATCTGTTACTATTTCAGATAAGGCGTCATTTGTGCTATCAGTGCGGGATTTTGATCCAAAGACCAATGATGCTTGTGTAAAACACTACAGAATACGACGGTTAGATAATGGAGGATTCTACATCAGCCCGAAGAGAACATTTGACAACATGCTTGATCTGATCTTTCACTATAGAAGTAAGTTGTAGCACAAAAGTGCAGCAATGTGTGGTGAGAGTAGATTCATAATTTCACAAGATCCTCTCTATATACCTTTAGTTTTAAATGACTTCCAGGGATGTTAATTGCATTAAGTATTTTCTTTAGAATGAGGAAACAAATTACATTTACTTTCATAAGAGGAACACTATAATATATATTTCACACAGAAAAGTGTAATCAGTTTATTTCCCTGTGACACTTTAAGGGACTTGACTGAGATATTTTTGACATAATGGGACTGGAAATAATTTCCAGTGGTTTGTGTACCATTTTATGTAGGCTTGCACTAATAACTTGTGTAAAAGTTTTAAGATCATTTCTCCACCCTGTTTTCGCAGAATAGTCATTTTTATTGTGCAGAATGAACCCAAAAATGCAATGCTTTTCAATCAAATTGCGCTAAGAATATTCAATTTTATTTCTGAGTATATTTCTTTATCATCCTTTGCAGAATTTTCCATTTTAAGTGTTTCCTTTGATATTTGTAAGAATTTCAAATTCCATGGTTTTAGGCTTCTTGGGCTAAGTGGAGTTCCTTTAAAATTAAAATAAAAAATTAATTATAGTGACATACTTTACATTGATTATAAAAATCTTTTATCATGTTGAGGTATATTGACATACATATCATAATGAAAACAAGTTCTCTTCCTGATTGACATTGAACTCCCACTGTGGATTTTGGTTGTTAGGTTTAAAAACATTCTATATTGATTAATGTTTTAATATCCCAGTTGTTACGAAATAATAAACCCATAAACCATATAAATATGTGCTTATCAGTGGAAGTTATTTCTTATGAAAATGTTTTGTAATCAGTGTTTTTGAAGTTATGAATAGCAACCCCATTACATAATGTTACAGTTTATACAGCCTATACTGTTTAAGTGAATTTTTCTCATATTTATTTTGATCATTGTTAAACTTGTATAATGCATGAATATAGCATAGAAAATAATTTGAAGAAAAAGATGGCATTACACCTTAACTTCTAAGAAAGAAGGGAGAATGAAGTTGATCATTCTTTAAAAAAGTTGCCATTCCTAGTTAACTCCCTTTAACACAAGTTGGTTGTAGTTTTTCTGAGAATGTCCTTTCTGAAATATATACCAGTATTTTATATATGAATTGAAATGTTTGATTGGTCACTAACAAAGTAATACATGAAATAAGTCTTCAGGAGATAAAAAAAAAAACGTCATGAGAATGTAGTTGATTAAAATTTTTCAATTTTGAAAAAATTTTCAATTTTGAAATATTTTATATTTAAGTCCTTTTGTTCTTAAGTAAGTATTTTGTCTAATAATACAGACTTCTTATAGTGAAAGAATAAATGATGCCCTTGAAATAGCACTTCACACAAATCCTTGAGTTCATTGTTGTTTGGGTCTGTGCATGAAATATCATTTAGTACTGTATTCATGCAAAAGTTGATCATTTTAATTATTTTTTGAGGAGATTTAATCTTCTGACAAATGGCAAAACATGTTTTGCTGCCATTGATATAGTTATGTAACTTCATATGATATTAGATTTATACAAGGCAGCATTACTTCAAATTCATGACTGTTATCATTGTGTATCTTACATCCTTTATACATAATTTAAACATGCATGTGTGTCATACACAACTGTTGCCTAGTGTATAATGTATATAATACCAAACTGGTGCATTATGAATCATATTTGAATTATGATTGAATTATACACAGTTAACTCTTAGTAGAATAGTTACTTACAAAATTATAACCAAAATTTCTATTATTTAAGATCCTGTGAACAATACCTAATTTAAAATCAAAATCATTTACTATTTAGATGCAGCTGATGGTTTGTGCTGTAAGTTAGAGATACCATGTCCAAAGATTAGGCCTCTTGTACAGTTTAGGGAACTAGAAGTATCCAGGGAGTCTGTAAAACTTCTCAAGAAACTTGGTAGTGGTTGTTTTGGAGAGGTATATGCAGGTAAGTTAGATCTGTGATTGATTTTATTTCTTCTTATTGTTCAATAGTCATAACTATTAATTACACCCCAATAACAATATTATCAATATCAGATGTTTTGTACCATGCCAATATGATAAAACTGGAATGTAACATATTTTTGTGCCCTCACTTAAGGGGAGGCATTTAGATTTGCCCATGATTGTCTGTCTGTGCGTCCGTCCGTTCTTATGTTGTGTCACATATACCTAAAAGTGCTTGAGCTAGAGTCAACAAACTTTACAGGAATGTTGATCAGCATTTGAAGTTGTGCACCTGGGGTTTCGTGTGTGGCTTTATCTAGTTTATATATATACTTGACAGGTAAATGGCGTAATACAGTAGATGTGGCTGTGAAAACTTTGAAGCAGGGTCAGATGACAGCTGATGATTTCTTGGCAGAGGCAAAGCTTATGCATCATTTACGACATAATAAACTGGTACAACTGATGGCCGTATGCACGAAAACGGAACCTATATGGATTATCACTGAGCTCATGATCAATGGGGCCCTGCTAGATTACTTACGCAAAGATGAGGGCAAAAACTTGAACTTTAATGCATTAGCTGATATGGCGGGACAGGTATGAATCTGTTGAATTTAGTTACTATCATTAATCCTAAGCCTACTGGCGGTAACTGAATATGCCCATGCTTTCAGTGCAGACCATCATCTGCTGTCATGTCCATGTCTGATCATGGTCTGCACTGTTCTCTATTTGATCAGTACTTATTTTGAAAATTAACCAAAAAATGCTTTTAAGGTTTTTGTCCAGGTTATATGATGAACAAGGTCATGCGAGCTATGGTATTTAGTGAAGGTTAGTGTTATTGATGCTACCAGGATTATTTTTATGGAAGCGTTAAGAGTATAAGTGTGCACCTTCCTTTGTTACAGAGCAAGCTTTCATAGCAACATGATACCATTGTCTGCCCATGGTGTGAGAGGTGCAGTGTTGAATTCCTTAGTAGAACTGGGTTATCATCAGTCTGTTCCATTTAAAAATTATTCGTTTCATATCAGCATTATTGTTACTTCAATACTTGTTACTCAGACTAAGCTGAAGTAAGTTAACTGGAATGTGGAATGTGGTTAGCCTTTGACACCAGTATAGAGCCAGGCCAGCCTTCATATCCATTCATTCTGACAAAGTGCTTTACTTGGGAGCTTAACTGGTGGAGGAAGACCTCAGGTGTCCCTTAATGCATTATTTTAGGCACTTTGGAGCTCAGTTTTTAGCTCGACTTTTCTATGAAAAGGGGAGCTATCCTACTCGCCCCGGCGTCGGCGTCGGCGTTAGCGTTGGCGTCACACCTTGGTTAAGTTTTTCGTACCACCCCACTTTATTTCAGAAGTATTACAAGTATGGCTTTGAAACTTACCATACTTGTTCACCATCATAACCTCCATCTACAGACAGGAGTACATAACTCTGTCAAGGTTTTTGACAGAATTATGGCCCTTTTTTGACTTAGAAAGTGTATTGAGTTTGGTTAAGTTTTTTGTACCACCTCACTTTATTTCAAAACCATTGGAGGTATTGCTTTGAAACTGACCATACTTGTTTACCATCACGACCTTCATCAACAGACAAGAGGACATAACTCTGTCAAGGTTTTTGACAGAATTATGCCCCTTTTTGACTTAGAAAATACATTGAATATGGGTAAAATCCACTTATTGCCTTAACCCTTTGAGATATTGCTTTGAAACTTTTAATGCTATTTCACATCATTACCCCATCTGTACGCAAGAGAAGGTAACTCTGTCAGGGATTTGTTTTAAAAATTAAGGCCTTTTATCGACTTAGAATCTTGGGTTAACTTTTTGTACCAGTCAACTTTTTGACTGAACTGGTTGAGATATTTAAATTTGAAAGTTGGAATACTTGTTTACCATCATGGTCCCAAAACATGGGCAGGAGAAGGTAATTCTGTTAAGGATTTTATTTGAATTATGGCCCTTTTTGACTTAGAAACTCAGTTAAAATTTTCATTCTTGTCCACTTGTTGACTTAACCATTTGAGATATTACTTTGGAAGTTGGAGTTCTTATGTGCCATCATGAGACCTATCTGTAAGCAAGAGAAGATAACTCTGTGAAAATGTTTCTTGATTTGTACTTAGAAATTCCTAGTTAAAGTCTTGTGTGCCCTTAACTGTCAAAGTTTTGTTTTATAGGCAAGCACTAAAAAAGTCGAGCGCGCTGTCCTTCTGACAGCTCTTGTTGTATTTCTACTTGGAAATCTCTTAAAACTGGACTTTTTCACAATCAAAGCTTGGCAAATTCATTACAAAAATTCAAGAGGCTAAATGATAAGCATTAACATATGACAAGTCAGGAATTGTTTTAGTTTATTTTCTCTTAAACAACCAAACCATTTTCAATTTGTAAATTTCAGCATGGTTACCATAACCAAAGTTGAGATAATTTAATAAACCTTTTTAACAACATTAACCATTAAATGGTGCTCAGCAGAAAAAAAGTCCTATATGTCTATAAAGTTAAGCTGATTCGGGGGATGTCTCATCAAATTTTAAGGTATTTTCAAGATTTCAGGGTAGTTAATTAAAAAATTATACATTACATTCTTTATTTTTTTCTATCCAGATAGCAGATGGTATGGCCTATCTAGAGACAGAAAATTTTGTACACAGAGATCTTAGGGCTGCCAACATTCTTGTCGGTGAACACAACGAAGTTAAAGTCGCAGATTTTGGTCTAGCTAGGTTGATTCAGGAAGATATATATGAAGCTCATGAAAGTAAGCTCATTTGTTCATTCTGCCTTCTCAAGGTTATTCACATTAAGAGTTTTGATGCTTTTAGTTCTGTGCTTGAGGACTCTTATCAAAATCTTTTTGAAGTGAGGCTAAAAAATGAGTTTAAGCACCACATCAAATTCTGTATTTCTGGTATACATCAGACAAAGCGCTTGAATGATTAAATCCAAATTCTTGCTTTTTCACCTGTCGAAATGCACTTTAAGACATAAGACTATAAGAAAATGAATGAAAACTGTAAGAATCTGCAAAAAATATGATATTTTTCTACTTTATGATCATGATTTCATAAGAAGTACTGCTCCAACACTGTTGTGAGTTAAATCCTTTTTTGATAATGTATAAAGATCATCATAAGTACCTTTTATTTGGTCTTTTGTTTATTTATATAGCTCTGTCTTGCAGATACAAAGTTCCCTATTAAATGGACAGCCCCTGAAGCAGCGTTTGACAGGAAATTCAGTATCAAGTCCGATGTTTGGTCATATGGTGTATTGTTGTATGAACTTATAACATTTGGAAGGGTTCCATATCCTGGTAAGAAAATTGATATTATAGTCAACCTGTCAGTTATTGCATCCATATAGTTATACTAAAAAATCCTTTACTCTTTAAACTTTATTATTGTCACTTTCTTAGGTCTATATTCCTGGATGTTCTTTCAATTCTTGGGTCCATATTCTGTGTTCTTATCAATTCTTTGATCAATATGCTAGGCTGTAGTTAATTCTTGGGTCCATATTCTGGGTTCTAATCAATTCTTTGGTCCATATTCTGGGATGTTGTAAATTCTTTGGTCCATATTCTGTGTTCTGATCAATTCTTTGGTCCATATTCTAGGCTGTAGTTAATTCTTGGGTCAATATTTGGGTTCTAATCAATTCTTTGGTCCATATTCTCAGATGTAGTTAATTCTTGGGTCCATATTCTGGGTTATGATCAATTCTTTGTCCATATTCTAGGCTGTAGTTAATTCTTGGGTCAATATTTGGGTTCTAATCAATTCTTTGGTCCATATTCTCAGATGTAGTTAATTCTTGGGTCCATATTCTGTGTTCTGATCAATTATTTGGTCCATATTCTAGGCTGTAGTTAATTCTTGGGTCAATATTTGGGTTCTAATCAATTCTTTGGTCCATATTCTCAGATGTAGTTAATTCTTGGGTCCATATTCTGGGTTATGATCAATTCTTTGTCCATATTCTAGGCTGTAGTTAATTCTTGGTCAATATTTGGGTTTCTAATCAATTCTTTGGTCCATTTTCTCAGATGTAGTTTTAATTCTGGGTCCATATTCCTTGGTTATGATCAATTCTTTGTCCATATTCTAGGCTGTAGTTTAATTCTTGGGTCAATATTTGGGTTCTAATCAATTCTTTGGTCCATATTCTCAGATGTAGTTTTATTCTTGGGTCCATATTCTTGGTTATGATTCAATTCTTTGTCCATATTCTAGGCTGTAGTTAATTCTTGGGTCAATATTTGGGTTCTAATCAATTCTTTGGTCCATATTCTCAGATGTAGTTAATTCTTGGGTCCATATTCTTGGTTATGATCAATTCTTTGTCCATATTCTAGGCTGTAGTTAATTCTTGGGTCAATATTTGGGTTCTAATCAATTCTTTGGTCTATATTCTCAGATGTAGTTAATTCTTGGGTCCATATTCTGGGTTATGATCAATTCTTTGTCCATATTCTGGGATGTAATCAATTCTTGGGTCAATATTCTGGGATGTTGTTAATTCTTGGGTCCATATTCTGGGATGTTGTTAATTCTTGGGTCCATATTCTGATCAATTTTTTGGTCCATATTGTATGCTGTAGTTAATTCTTGGGTCAATATTCTGGGTCCTGATAAATTTTTTTGTCCATATTCTGGGATGTCATTGTTCTTCAAGTTGTTGAGTCTGTATTCAGGTTGTTCTTAGTATTCTCAGGTCCATAATCCTTGATGTTCTTTTAATTCTTAGGTCCATATTCTGTCACTTTCATTTCAATATTGAGTCTTGAAATCCTTAAATAACAATTTGCATTTAGTAAAGAGTTTGTTTTGTGTTTATTTCTGTATTTAAAGAATGTTACTTTAATTTATCTTAGCCATCTTTGATATTCAAGCTTATTTCATGGACAAAAGGAAAACTACTTTCGATAAAGGACCTAGGAACTAATTAAATAAGTTAAGATTATTAAATAAAATCAATACTGTTAATGCAATTAGATTATTTGAATATCTGTTACACAGTAAAACTAAAAAAAAAATTACATCAATTAATTTAGGTATGAATGGACATGAGGTCCTTAATCGTGTTGAGAAAGGATTCCGAATGCCGAAACCAACAGGAGGGCCGGTTCCATGCCCGGAACCGTACTACGACATTATGTTAAAATGCTGGAACCGTGTGGCGGACAGTAGACCTACATTTGCCTATCTCCAAGATTTCTTTAACAATTACATTGTAAATGTAGAGGGAGAGTATAGGGCTATGGAAGATTGATGATCATGCAATGATGCATAGGTTGTTTGTGACATTAAAAAGACGGTGGAAAGGAAACTGGACATCAAAATCACTAAATTTCTATTTCCACTACTTTACGTTTCACACACACACTAAAACGTGACACTTTCAATACTGTTAGAAACAGGGCTACATAATCACTTTATTTAAATTTCCACATCATTTATTTTAAGATTACATATACAGAAAATGGGACAACATAAATATTTCATTTCTTATACATCAAAAGAAACAAATATGGGTGTGATACTATTTATTACCTCATGTGAAATGATAATAGTTTGATTGTGTTTATCTGGTGATTTTTTTTTTGTCAAATTTATTTGTATTTTTTTAAGAAACTTTTACATTCAACAAATTCTGCAATTTTTGTTTGATGAACTCTGGGCAGGTATATTGTTAAATTTTGATATATATTCCACAAAAATGTAACAAGGAAATGTATATTGTCACCTCAATAATGGGTTATGTCCTTCTGAATTTAATAGGAGTTAACCAGTAATTGCACTAGGTGACGATATGGCTTTTACTAGACCTGGATGTGTTCTTAGAGCAGGTCTTAAATAAATGGACACATTTTAAACAGAATACTTGGTATTCATCTCTTGGAATATTTTTTTATCTATTTATATTGTTGAAAGAAAACTTTAAATTAGAATATGTGTATGAAACGAAAAATCGCATATCACTTGTTGAAACTAATTGTGTAGTTTCGTTAAATATATTTTTATAAGCTGATAATACATGCAAACAATTTCTTTATGTTTTAACACTAAGTTGGTTTGTGTGAAAGTATTCTAAATGTGAAATCATATCATCCTCTTAAACCAGATTTATGTGCAATTCTACTTCACAGCAAATTCTCATTTTTTCTTACTCAATTTTCTTGCAAGGTTCTGTCGTTTTTGTAATGTTTTCAAAGTCATGGATTGACAGATTAGTATTTTACTTTTTATATGTTACTTACAAGACCAGATGACGTAGAGTAGGGGAACTGAATCTTTAACTCTGTGATTCCCTGGTGGTGAATGAATCTACCCACTCACGCCATCTGATCATGGTCTGCACTGTTCTCCATTCACTCAGTACTTATTTTATTTTTTTATGAAAATAATTTCTCCAGATGAATGGCTTTGTCCAGATTAACCCTTAACCTGCCTGAATTGAAAGTGATTAGTCTTAACCACCAGTATAGAGCCAGGCCAGCCTGCACATCCCTGCAGTCTTACCAGGCTCTATATTGTTGTTAGCTCAGTGGTATTTTGATATTTGAATAACTTAAAAATTTGAATGAACTTTTCCATATTCATAGCAGGGCACGTTGAAAAACAGGCCTCTGCCATCTGTATACAGTCAGGCTTGCCTGCTTATCCATGTACACTTCTTGCTGGTCTAGTTTATATATTTTTGTTATGAAATCTCTGAATAAAAATAATGGAGAGCTCCATTTTACATGCAGTACCATTCCATTGAACAAATGCAACAAGAGTGTTAAAAGCAGTTGAAAAACTATAAATTGTTAGTTTTCTTATATTGAAAGAACAAGATAGAAAAGTGTGTTTGTTTAGATATGCCTAGAAATATTCATTTACCAAACTTTTGTTTGTTCGAAATGTTGTATTATTTTACTGTTTTGATATATATAGACAGAAGCAAGAATTTCATTAAGTGTTTGAATTTAGAATTTTTGAAGATTTGAATCAGGTTTAAACAGAGTCATTTAGACTTTCATTAAGATTTTCACAGTTCACCATTTGTTGTAACCCCAAAGCCTCAGTATGTTCACCCTCATTGATCAGTATGGTGAAGGGCAATCATTGAACAAATCTTATTATGTTTAATTTATAACCATCAATTTGATTGGTTCTCAACAGGTTTCATTTTACAACCATCATTTTGATTGGTTCTCAACATGTTTCATTTTGTAACCGCCAATTTGATTGGTCCTCAACATGTTTCATTTTGTAGCAATCAATTTGATTGTACCTCAACATGTTTCATTTTGAAACCATCAATTTGATTGGTCCTCAATATACTTCATTTTGTAACCATCTGTGTGATTGGTCATCATCTTTTATTTGTGCTGAAATCATTCTTAACCCTTTGCCTGCTAGAACCATAAGTGATTGGCCTTAGTCACCAGTTTAATGCGAGGTAAACCTTGCTCTTGACTCTTGGTAGTTCAGTTGATTTTTCATATTGAAAATACCTGAACCTGTTCCAGATTTGAAACTGGGCAAATCCATTTTGTAATATCTGCAATTATTTTTTGAGCACCATAAAATCTTTTGTTGTTGTTGAAGTTTTTCTAAAATACCATCTATATTTTATAAGTATGAAATTTATAAAAAAAAAATTCTCCATGTTTGTCATTTAAATGAATATCTCTTTTTACATGTAAGTCTTAAGACAATGTTATTATGAATGAAAAAAAAAACACAACAAAATGAGGTTTATATTATTCAATAGGTAAAAAAATCAGTATTTTTGTTAAGATAAACTGTAATATTGTAAATCAATCTTATTATATCAGACTGCAATGTGTTTTGTTTATCTTTTCTTTTCTTTTTTGAAGTTTACAAAATATCAACATAAGGTTCTTAAAATAGACACCAGTCCTGTTCATTTACATGTCTAGGTACTACAAGTTGGTTCAGTTGGAAAATTGTTGTCAAAAATCAAATTGTATACATATAATTTGGGTATGCTGGTGACAGCAGTTTCTACTCATGTGACCAGTGTAGACCAAGATCAGACAGCACTGTTCTCTATTACTCCATAATTGTTTTGAAATATTCCCTTAAAAGTGATGAATGGTTTTGTCAGGATTGAAAGATGGTCAAGTCCATTTCAGATATTTAGTGTGGTTAGGGTTATTGGGTCTTTGTCTATCCAATGGAATGTTTTGGTTTCTAAACATACCTGAAAATTAAACAAGTTATGTTAAATGACTTGACTGATATTTAGATTAAATATCATTAACTGAATCATGTTTAAAATCACAGTACATTTAAATAGGGTCTGTGTAAAGTCATAATGGAAATAATTTAAAATTTCTCATATTTTCATCTTTTATGTTTTATATTCTAATAAGATCAAAAGATTTCAGTTTAGTCTATTCTCTGAGTTGTAGAATTTTTTAAAGATTTTAGATGGAAATCTTTAATAATGTTTTCCAAAGTAGTATCTTTTTAGTTTGACTAATTTGACTAATTCTTTGCTTCATCAGTGCTGAGGTATTGAACTGCAGTAACTGAATACACAGAACAAATAATGTAATTTTGAATCTGCTGTAAGTAGTAGAATGCTTATCATATAAATGCTTTATATACATGTATGTAATTTATACAGCATCTGTTTCTCATAATAAATTGATCAATTCTTTTAGATTAGTGTGAACATTTGTAAATCTGTTATGAGAAATGCAAGTGGCTGTTTTTTTCTTTTATATTACATGTTGACTGTTGCCTTTTTAACTAAAACATATCTCTTTATATGATCATTCCAAGTTATAATTTTGTACAGTTATATGATTATTAATATGTATATTGAAAACATTCCTTGTAAAATTTATCATTTTTATATAGACATTTAAATATATATATATAACACTGGGATGTCAGCGTTGTTTCTTTATTCTGCAGTCATAATGTGCGTTTATTCCCAACCAAACTATTATCAGGTTATAAATGGATTATCTTCATAATTTGGCAAAAGACCTTAAAGTGATGAGCTTTGAATGACGTTTTCCATCAAGGTCAGATTATTGAATTCTGGTTAAATTGCCATAATTTTTTATTATACCACAGAAACAAAGTTTGGGGGGGTATATAGGAGTCAGCTTGTCGGTCGGTCGGTCCACATCATGGTTTCCGGACGATAACTAGAGTTTGGAATGAGGTATTGTAATCAAACTTGGTATATAGCAACCTTATGTGGAGACAAAAAGAATTGTGACTAGACAGACCTATTAAAATAAAAAAATGTATGGATGAGAGATAAATAGTAAGTATTGGTTGTGACGCACAACGAAGTTGTAAGGGGGATATACTGGAATCAGCTTGTCCGTCCGGACGTCTGGCCGTCCGTCGGTTTTTCCTTGTCTGCCCAATAACTTAAGAATCATTTGACCCACAGTCTTCATATTTGGCATGGAGGTTAGTCATGACAAGTAGATGACCCCTATTGATTTTGAGGTCACTGGGTCAAAGGTCAAGGTCACAGGGGTCTTGACTATAAAAAGCTTGTCCGCCAAATAACTTAAGATTCCTTTGACCCATAGTCTTCATATTTGGCATGGAGGTTGATCATGACCATAAGGTTACCCCTATTGATTTTGAGGTCACTGGGTCAAAGGACAAGGTCACAGGGGCCATGACTATAAAAAAGTTTGTTCGCTCAATAACTTAAGATTCTTTTGACCCATAGTCTTCAATTTTGGCATGGAGATTAGTCATGACAAGTAGATGACCCCTATTGATTTTGAGGTCACTGGGTCAAAGGTCAAGGTCACAGGGGTCTTGACTATAAAAAGCTTGTCCGCCCAATAACTTAAGATTCCTTTGACCCACAGTCTTCATATTTGGCATGGAGGTTGATCATGACCATAAGGTGACCCCTATTGATTTTGAGGTCACTGTGTCAAAGGTCAAGGTCACAGGGACCTTGACTTAAAAAAAGTTTTTTCCCCTCAATTGCTTAAGAATGCCTGTCAGCAGTGTATTGATTTTGACATATTCACATTTGAAGAATGTAGAATACATAACTTAGCAATGCAATGGCTTAGTAACCTCAGATTTGGCAAGGAGGTTGTCCTTGAGCTCTAAATGGCCACTGTTGATTCTTACAAAGTGGTATGCGGGGGTATTCACGCCATGTTAGTGGCAGTTCTAGTTTTGCTAAGGTTGACAAGAAGTAGGGGATTAAGTAGATACAATTGTTATGGCAAGTTATCAAGAAAACTGTTACATTATCATGTATATTTAATCGATCAAACAAATCTATTGACACATTTTATTAAAAAAAATCCGTGTTATGTTTATTTAACCAATTAAACAAATCTTTTCACATATTTTATTAAAAGATTCGACTTATTTTAGACAGCTTTAAGTATTTTTCAACAGCGTCCAAAGTTGTTATATTAGCCTCGCCTTCAATTACTCGTTGTACCACCTCTGCTGACTCAACAAAACAGACTTCCTAAAGAACGCCTAAAATTACAAAATTAAAAAAAAAGTTGCAGGCTCGGTTTGATTGAGCCTTTTCAAGGACGGTACTGGAACTAGTGCAAGGTACCCTACACGTCCCCTAGCACGGGATTTAGCAGAATTCAACATTTAAGTCAAGCAACGACGTCTCATACCACTATATGCAGCGCCGAAACTGGCTCACGTGATGTTCAGGGCGGAGAATTACGTCTTTGGACATATTTATTTAAGTTCCACGTGCTAAATAGGTGATAAGTTCTGGCTCGGCAAGTTTTGCCTTATTGGCCATATTTTCATCGTCGTAAAAGACATAAATTCTTTGCAAACTGAATGACATGAGGGCCCTACATCACGGTATTACTGGACGATTACACAGTCATGACACACAATCATGTACCTGTGCCGTTGCAGTCAAACATGCGCCACCCCATTCCATAATGGATCAGCAGCGTCATTTAAACGTTCACCTTGTCAACGCCAGACCTCTTTGACCATCACGAAAGTCTCGGGTGAATTTGGAATCGTCACTGAACATCACATTTGCCACTGATTAATTCATTATACAAATATGAGTTTAATGATTTACTAAAGTCTTAATCTTAATCGAACTTTATGAGCTATATAACGTTTATTCGTTCATTTTTTTCTTCATTTTTATGCCCCCGAAAAGAGCCATAATATAATCGCACCGTCTGTCTGTCCGTCTGTCCCACTTCATTCGTGTCCGGACTGTAACTTTGTCATACATTGATGGATTTTGAAATAACTTGGCACAAATGTCTATCACATTAAGACGATGTGTCGCGTCCAAGAACCACGTCCCTACCTCAAAGGTCAAGGTCACACCATCATTTTGAAGTTACACATTATCGCAATTAGAGTGAATAGGTACACACATTCGTGTCCGGACTGTAACTTTGTCTTGCATGGAAGGATTTTAGAATAACTTGGCATAAACGTCTACAACATCAAGACGATGTGTCGCGTCTAATAATCACATCCCTACCTCAAAGGTCAAGGTCATACCATCATTTTGAAGTTCACAATATCACAATTAGAGTTCATAGGTACATGTACACACATTCGTGTCCGGGCTGTAACTTTGTCATGCATTGAAGGATTTTAAAATAACTTGGCATAAATGTCTACCACATCAAGACATGTCGCGACAAAGACCTATGTCCCTACCTTCAAGGTCAAGGTCACACTTATAGTTTGAAGGTACTCATTCTCTTGAGAAGAGTTTGAAGATACACATTCATGTCCGGACTGTAACTTTGTCATGCATGGAAGGATTTTAAAATAACTTGGCACAAATGTCTACCACATCAAGACAATGTGTCGCGGCTAAGGCTCATGTCCGTCTGTCCATGTGTCCCCACTTACACAACAATCATGTCCAGACTGTAACTTTGTCATGCATTGAGGGATTTTGAAATAATTTGGCACAAATGTCTATCTCGTCGCGTCCACTTCCCTTCTTCAAAGGTCAAGGTCACAGTTATATTTTGAAGGTTCATGCTATCACAATTAGAGATTACAGGTACAATAATACAAAGAACAATATTCAGCAATAAATTACTTTCATTCTCTTTTCTTTTCATAATACATGCATGCTTAAGAAACATTTTCGGGGAAATTCGTCACTTTGGTGACAGCTCTTGTTTTTTTTCCGCAATAAAAACATAAATAATTGCAACATGCGCAATTCTTTCGGTTTAGATAAAATGGACCGTTTTAGTATACATTGTATGTTTTACAACAGTTAATTCACAATATATAGTGTCAAATTGAATTTATTTATTTACATTTTAACTATAAATTTTAAAATGAGTGGCCTGGTAAAAGTTGGCCATTTGTTCCCATGCAAATTATCAAAAACCTTTTTTTAAGAAGACAATGTATAAATAACTTAGTATCTTTTCAAGCACAGAGGAAGATATGGCTCTTAATTATGTTATATGATTGGTTATTAAATATATCACTCCTTTGAAAATGCAATTTACTTTAATTGAGGCTAAGTAGATCTTTTGATTCCGGTTTCGATGTGGTGTTCAACGGAAGATATCTATAAGTTTATTAACTTAAATATAAATAAATTATATTTATTTATATATATGTGTTTAACCACTGTCCCCATGTTAATTACAAGTACAATGTTTAAAACTTTATTTTCTGTATTGTTGTTCTGTATATGAGACTGACATGAATAAACGTTTATGTTGTTGTTGTTGTTGCTGTAAGTGTTCTGAAAGTATTGAAATATTCATAAAAGTATGTTTTGTTTTCATAGCATAAGCCATATACTTAAAAACATAACTTGTCAGAAGTAAAAAGTCGCCTGCCGCTAAATCTGCAGATCAAGCTTTTAGCTCTATATATTAAAGATATAACAATCTTGAAAAGAGCGGAACCCCTTGTAAGCAATGAAAACATCAAAATTATATGAGTTGATTTGAAGATTCTGAACTTGAGAGAAAAATTTAAGAGTGCAACAATCAACCTCCTCTCCAAATGTTGGCTGAAGCAGTATCCACAATTCAATCTTCACAAACACCCCTCCACTCTTCACCGCTGCCACATCTGTTCTTATCACTTAGAATGCATCATATTAGTCCACATCTGAAGATCTTTTATATAATCAGAGACTTATACAAAGTTCCATGATATAATTTTGTGACTTCTAAAAATTGCAGATGGTTAAGCATGATAACACATGATTTGATAATGTTATTATAAATTGCCCTTCTTTTCTGTTCCGTATTTTCTTATCATTTATAAGGAAATTGATTTTCACTCTGCCAGCTATAAGAGTTGGCATTGTTTTATCATGCGGAAGCAGCGGTTCAAATATATTACATTATATTATTTATTTATAAATGAAATATTGAGAAATATTGATGAAATAAAATGCATATTTTCATTTTCCGTATTTTCACTGTAAAACTTTATTTTGCACTGCAGTGAAATACTTTTTCCGTTTTTTTCACTGTTAACTTTCCCGACTTCTTTCTTAATTCAGCCAATACACAAAATTTAAAGATAATTCTTAAGAATTGTAAGGTCATGAAAGAGAAAAAGTATATAATAAACAGAAAATTCAAGTTCTTTTCTATAAATACAGTATTTATTTGCATCTTGTGATACAAAACTTATAATATGAAATAGTGTGAAATAGTTTTCATACCACTTGATGAAAGTAAACACTGTATTTTTAGAAAAAAAACTTGAATATCCTCTATATTTAGTACAACTTAAATCAGTGCACTTATTCGCAGACAATATTTTGGGCGGTTTATTAAGCAATATTAAGTACATTTGTGCGCATTGCTTCTTTGATAATATTAAATCCACATAATATTCCTTTAGCGTTTGAAAATTGTCACAGTAAATTGCCTTTCGGTTATGGAGATTATTTTTGTTCTTTATAGTTACGTTCTAACATTTCAAGACTCCCTCTACAATGCCCTTAGTAATGATTTTATATTTTTCTTCTATGTTATTAACCAATCACTGTTTTGAACTGTTACCATCTAAAAAGGATTCACCATTCCAATCAGATGTCCAAAATGAACTTTTATCAAGTAGATGAGTTTCATGTAATAAATATATTGAAGTTCTTAAGTATTTTAGCCATTGAAAAACTTGGTTTATTTTCCATGCATTTCCTAAACCCCTAACATTCATTGTGGTTATTTAAGAGTCCTTATATTATTGAAATTATAAATTATATGATGTTTCGGGTATTGTTAAATAAGGAAACGATCATTGTTTTAGATGATAGATGATGGATGAAGTAAAATAATGGTGCTAATTTCTGTAGATGAATGCCCAGGGCAGTTTAATAATTGATTAGTAGCGTTTTCTTTTATGCTTAATTCTAAGGTATTGGGTATAAGTAAAAAGAACATATTGTAAACAAACAATTGATTTGAATTTCTAACCAAAGTTGAAAAGCGTTGCAACGTTTTTTCTCAAAACCTTTGACCCAGTGACCTCAGCATCAATATGAGAATATAAAGACTGTGGGTCAAAGAATCCTTAAGTTATTGCTTATTAAGTTATAAGCTTTTTTAAGTCAAGGCCCTTCTGACCTTGACCTTTGACCTAGTGACTTCAAAATCATTAGAGGTCATCTAACACTCATAACCAACCACAATGCCAAATATGAAGACTGTTGACCAAAGCATTGTTACGCAATTGAGTAGACAAGCCTTTTGAGCTAAAGGCCCCTGTGACCGTGACCTTTGATCCAAAAACCTAAAAATCAATAGGGGCCATCTACTAATCATAACTAGCCTCCATGCCAAATATGAAGATGTGTGTCAAAGGAGTCTTAAGTAATTGGGCGGACAAGCTTTATATAGTGAAGGCCCCTGTGACCTTGACCATTGACCCAGTGACCTTAAAATGTATAACGGTCATCTAATAATCATGACTAACTCAATGCCAAATATGAAGACTGTGGGTTAAAAAATTCTTGAGTTATTGGGCAGACAAGCTTTTCTTAGTCAAGGCCTCTGAGACCTTGACCTTTGACCCAGTGACCTAAAAATCAATTGGAGTCATCTTCTAATTTTGACTAACCACCATGCCAAATATGTTATATAAGTTATTGGCCGGACAAGCTTTTTCAGTCAAGGTCGCTGTGACCTTGACCTTTGACCAGTGACCTCAAAATCAATAGAACTCATCTTCTAATCATGACTAACCTCCATGCAAAATATGAAGAGTACGGGTCAAAGGAACAAGTTTTGGGCGGACAAGCTTTTTTTAGTTAAGGCCCCTGTTACTTTGACCTTTGACCCAGTGACCTCAAAATCAATAGGGGTCATTTACTCATTAATCATGACTAACCTCCATGCCAAATATGAAGACTGTGGGTCAAAGGAATCTTTATTATTTTCATTGGGCGAACAAGGGAAAACCGACGTCGGCCGGACGGACAGACGCCAGGACGGACAAGCTGATTCCAGTATCCCCCCACCCTTTCAACTTTGTTGTGCGGGGGTATAAAAACATAAAGATCACTGAAGTGTATGTACTCTTATTCTTTTAATGAATAATCAAGAAGTGCATTATTTACAAGACAATTAATTGACAAGCAAATAAAACTGTTCTTAAACAGTTTAATAAAAGTTGAACATCATAAAATAGTTTATACCACATTGCTTGCATTCTATATATGCAACACTTAGATTTCCAAAGTTTATAAATAGTATTATTGTGCGTAACTTTGCAGCTCACAACATATTCATTAACTTATTGTTTTCAAAAATAACCCATGAAAAAGTTATTTTTTAAAAAGCTCACATTTTTATTGAATGGAGCCGGGGCTTGTTTCTTAACACATCTGTCTGTCTTATTAAATCATAATATTTTTATATCATTTCTTTATGGTTTTAATCTTAAACATAAATAAGAAATAAATGACCCTGCTACACTATGGTCATATAGGTAATTGGAGTTCGTTGTTACGCCTTAAACAGTCCTGAAGAATATTGCTGTAAACTATAATCCGTTTCAGGGTAGTCAGTTATAACTTATAAGTATTATATTTTTATTTTCTTTTAAAAACACTCTCGTTTCCTTCCTAAACATCTGTTACTTCAGCTTAAGTGTTTTCACAAACTTCCACAAAATTTGCCGGGAAAATCCCGCGTGCTCCATTTGCTGTTGTCCCAATCCACCAACCTTCATCTATTTGATCTATGTCTGTTATTATATCGCCTGGATCAAAAGAGATCTCATCATCATCTTCTATAATAGAAAAATACATTTGCACCGGTATAACTACTGTGAGGAAAACTCCATGGAATTAAAAATAAAAGGGGTAGAATTAAGCACATATTATCATCAAGTGTTATAGAATCTTAGTCCGGATATTTCCTTGTTAAAACAGTCACATTTTTGTTTCAAAATATCGAACACGTTTCCTTTAATTTTAAGTTATAGACCTGAATATCGATGTAATTATATAAATGTGACAAATACTGATTAAGTTGTTAGAATAAATCTAAAAACATGATGTTGTCGACGCTTTCGAAAATTGTAACATATTAAATCATTTTATGCATGTACAATATTAAGTAATCAGCTTTTAAGTATATTTTCAGCTCACCCGAGCATAACGTGCCCATGGTGAGCTATTGTGACAGGACTGTGTCCGCCCGTCATCAACTTTTGTTTCAAACATCTCCTTCTTAACCATTATACTAATGTTGTTAAAACTAAGCAGGATTGCATGAACTATTTTTGAATTGTTCAAAGACTTCCGTCACAACCTAAAGGAAAACTTGAAAAAAAAATCTTCTTCTCCAAAACACAAGGGCTAGAACATAGATATTAAATATTTAAGATTGTCTTGCGGTCCTCTACCAAATATGTTCAAATTATAGCCCTGGGAACAAAATCGGCCCCGTCCTCTGGTCATGGTTTTTCCGAATAGTAAAAAAATCTCTTCAGAAACCACAAAGGCCAAAGCTTAGATACGAAACATTATCTAGTGAACGGACCTCCACTGAGTTTGCTTAAATTATAACTCGCTCTTGGGTCAAATTGGCCCCATTCGCGAGTCAAGGGCTTTCCTTATATATCTACGTAGATATATAAGATATATAAGTCAAAACTTATGGACATATACCAAATTTGTTCAATTTGATATTGGTCCCATCCGATAGGTCATAGGTTTTCGTTAAAACTAAAAAAACAATGTTTTTCTTGAAAAATAAAATTTGGACTATATGCAAAGTTTCAGATGCTGAATTGAACTGTCACCCCGAGTTTGATACAGTGACCTCTTTCAGTGTTTTTCAGTTGAGGAATATAAGGCCTTTTTGCTCTTTTTGTATCCCAGTAAATATGCAGCGAATATATTTTTTAAGCATTGATTTATAATATTTAGATTATTTTACACCTTCAGAATAAAGAACAGTGAAACGTTTGACAAATATTATATGATACATTTGTATTTTACAATTAGAATATCTAGAAAGATTTTTATTTTCCTTATGCAGCATAAGAGGATATCCCGTCAAAGGAAAAATAGGGTCGGTATATCTTAATTCATGTTCTCATGTTCATACAATTTCATTTACATTTTTGTCAAACGAAAAGACAATGTTTTCTTATAAGATAAATTTGCAGACAGACTAGTGTTATGGTAGTGTTGGCGTGTCTTACTTATGACAACAAATTACAATAAAAACTGGACCAAAGTCATGGCTATCTTTATGATCAAGATCAGCCGGATGGGGTGTCATTGGAAGGCTACCATTGGTTTAGCTTCGGTGCTTATGCTCAATGACTAAAATAGTATGATTAAATAAGTTCAGCAAATTAATCTACCAATGACAAATTTTGTCCGTAAATACGAGTACCTTTGGTATGTCAATGGTTAGTAAATAACCAATGGATTAATTTCCTCTGAACACACCCCATAACTGTCAAATTACACCACACTCGCGTGGTAACAGCATTAAAGAACCGGTTCTTATAGGAAAGAAATATAACATATTCCCGAATCTGACAATTACTTTATGCAAGAAATGCGCCTCTTTTACTAGAAGCCCTCGTTTTTTCACGGGCTCTAAATGTGTCACTTTGCTTCTGCAGATATTAATGTTCGAAAAAGTGTAATAATTCTCTGTTGTCTTGTCTGTTCAAAAAAAATAATAAATGCGTTGTATACCTGCTTGATAATTGTACAATGCCTTCACAGTTATTTTCGGGGTAGATGTTGTCTTTCTTACATTGTCTCCAGATGACTGTTGTTTCCGGTCAGTTGTCTTACTTTGATCGATTTCATATTCTGAAATAAATCTTGAATCTATGCATGTACGTAGAAAGTGTTAACTGATTACTGATATATATTTTATCTCAACTTTCAGATAAAAAAATGGATGTATGTTTTCATGACGCTCTCGTTGGCGTTAGTTAACGTATTCGTTAATCTCCATTTCTCAGAAACTATACTGACCACTTGAAACTTGGTATACTTGTTCATTATCAAAATTCGTATGCATTTCCGAAGGAAAAAGTTTTTTTTTTGCTCGGAGATACTTTTTTTGTTTTACTAAGAATTCCATTTAACCGTGTTCAGTTGTTTACTTTCAAAATTGGAATGCTTTATAAAAGGAGTATAACTCTTCATTTTTTCTATTAGCAGGTAACACTGCTAAGCACTTTTGCCAAATTATTTTGCCTTTTCTGCTGGGATTGAAATATGCTTTTACCAAGGTGCAGGACGTGAAGTGGCTGCACACTTGGTTCAAGCGAGAAAAGTGGTTGTAAACTTGACAAAATGGCTACCGAGTCATCAGGTAAGTGGGTTTGTATGCTATTTTGAAACTCTTTAATATGCCTATTCCTAGCTCGAAAATCATTTTTTCAATGTACAGGGTATGCAGAAGACATAAAACGTATAAAAAAAGAGCTGCATGACAGACTGTTTTCATGTTTTTTTTCCAGAGTATATAGTATTGGGAACGAAAAACCAATGCAGTATATAAAACATACAGAGACTTTAATGTGTCTGTATGATTTCAAAGACAGGGAAATATGACTGCTTTTGTAATATGTTTTCGCGATGATGGCTTATTCATCTCCTCATAAGACGATCATAAATGAAAAATGTCACAATCGCCGACAAAGGCGATATTTTTTCAAAATTTCTTCTTTGTGATCATGATCTCTGTCAAGCGTCTAGAGGTTATGCTCTAACACTGTATATAGTGAGTTAATAAACCTTTATTTTTGCAACTTTCAACAATTTAAATACATATTACTGCTAAAAAGTGAATGTACCTTAGATATTGTGTTATTTTAAAATGACAATTTAAAGTCTTACCAGGAATTTTGAACTGTACATCAACTTCCTTTGTCTGCTTGTGTTTTTTCTTTCAAGTGCCGCTTGACCAACTGAGTCTTGGTTCATGATCTAAAAAAATAAATTCAAAAATGTGATGTACACCCTTCAACGATATTAAGGGTGTTAATAATGAATTTATTTAACGTATTGAATAATACATAATCATGCGCGCCTCATCAATTCTAAATCTGACACAAGACCGGGTGAAACAAAAATGAAATTTCAGACGACACGACAATTTGATAACTTCATGTTATACAAAATATGTGCTAAGATTACCCATGTATGCAGACTCAATAGCATTTTGAAAATCATATAGAAAATCTCCAAGGAACCCAAAGGTTAGTCGACGATCAGGATTTTTGTGCCAACATTGAAGCATTGTGAAATGGTATTCTTTTGGACACTGCACTGGAACATCTTTTGGTATTGGTAGTCTGCGTTTGTCCATTAATAAACCATACAGAACCTCGTCTTTTTCAAAGCCTGTAAATGCGTAAAGCATCGATGCTTATAAAATGTGTGTAGTGATATGACTGAGCAACACATCGAAAGGAACTTTGTTATGCTTTGAGTGTATGATAAATAAAACCTGACAAAGTGCTGCAGTTTCGGAGATGTGCTTAGATACCTACTTTGGAACCACATAATTTATTTCTTTAAAGAATATTTGCATAATTTAAACTATAACATTTTTTAAGATTATTAAGTCATATAGTACTATAAACTCAAAGAAAAAAAATATTAACTTGATGTTGTTATTTTAACTTTTGAAAGGGTTAATTGTTGGACCAACTATTTAGATACGGCACAAACGTTTCTGTTAACCCGTACCCAATGTCCCTACTATCTATCATAGTGCATAATGTCTAGAAATACATAATTATAAATAAAAAAAAAAATTACCTGCATACGGTATTTCCCCAAAAGTAATCATTTCATACAGAATAACTCCAAACGACCAAACGTCAGACTTTGGACTTAACGCATTCTCGTCTGTAATGACTTCCGGTGCTGTCCATTGCCATTCATATTTACCTTAATTATCACAAGCTAATTTAAGACGTATCTAGTCATGCATTATGATAAAGAATGCTTACACATTATCCTTGACAATTATTTATTTTTCATTTATTTATTATGTAAAACCCCACAAGGGACTTTTAATATGTATTTGCCCATCTGTCAAGTATGTTTGTTGTACTCCTTCCGTCCATTTGACAGTAAAATCCAAAAATGTATAGGTAATCTAGAAACATAGGTAATCTGACTTTATCCATCGAGTTTGCCGTCCTAAAGTAGGTTTTAGATGATATATAACGTAATGGATATGGAGTAACTAGACAATAGAGCAATATACATGTTTATTTTATGATCTAAATATTGCTGCAATCTATATGGTCCCAACAGAAGTCAAAAAAACTTTTTATAAAATCATATTCACTGGGTGTAGTATCATATTCACTGGCTGAATTGGATTTTCCCAGTCTAAAAATAGATTGAGACTCATACATGTCATATTCCATGATCATGCACCGTAGACTGTTTATTACGCGTGTAAATTAAAAAAATAATTGTTGCATTTTGTTCTTTAATGCATATTTCTCGATCAAAATATCATTACTTTACTATTATACTTAAAGGCTTTACCGCAATGATGTGTATAAATTTGAATTATTTTTGTATGCGCAGCGTTCGCGTAGTCGTTGCATGCCTAATGTTCACGTGCGTCTATTTTCCCGTGCTTCAACGAGACAAAATTTGTACATGTATATAAGGTTGTACTTTTTGTGATTTTTATTTATTTCTTAGCCTATTCATATAATAAAACAGTTATTGACTAGTGAGCCATTGAATATGATGTGATATTCGCCGGCAGATGACATATTGACCGAGGCGGTAGCCGAAGTCAATATGACTTTCTGCCGGTGAATATGACATCATATTCAATGGCTCACTAGTCAATAATTGTATAATGTTTGCGACAATGAGCATTGACTTAGAGGATTTAAATACATGATCATTTTCTTTATATGATGGAAACCTAGAAATAATTGATTTTTTTGTTCTATTTTAGTAAGTTTAAATCACATTTAAATGTAAACAATGAGCAAATATGACATAATTACGGAAATTTATATATCTTAAGTAATACGTACAAAGGGTAAACACCCTTAATTTGAATGGAAAGTAATGGTATTTTAATGGCATAGTGGTGTCACATTTTGAAACACTTTATAATATAACAAAGGCAGATGAATTAATTCATACCTTCTACATGCTCATCATTTTCACTGGTTTTCATAAGCTCAATCAATTTTGGATGCACTATTTTTAGCATCCTAAATTTACAAACAAACACGTTTTCCGCTTTCAAATTTCCATGGATGATACCTTTTTCTTCAAGAAATGCCATACCATAAGCAATCTGTCAAATAATTTAAAGAGATATTTCAATAATAAATTCTTTCTGTGAAAATTGACGGTATTAGCAAGAGCATAAATTGGATTTTAACGACACTATATTTATGTTATTTTCAGTAAGTCATTAAGATATTACGAGATAACAGATAACTAAACGTATTTTCTAAAAATTCAAAAAGGAATTATTAAATCTTCGAGGCTTCAGTTGTTTGTCGAAAACTTTTCTTAACTCCTTTTGACTAAACCAGGAATAGCATATGATCATTTCGAAAGAAAATTATACAGCAAGTTGCTGGATGATGAGTTCATGAATGTGATCAACATTGAAATACAATTTTTGAGAAAGAAACAATAAATAACACTGTAATACCTCGGAAGCCATTTTTGTAAGATCCTTGAATGACAGTGTTTTTCCACGGTCATTCCTCAAGTAATTTGGTAACGTATCATGAACAGTCTCTCCAAGTATTATCATAAATGGTTCAGGTTTTATTACCACTGCTATCATTCTAACAAAATGTTTGCTCTGTCGAAAATCAAATGGAATTTTTGCCTCTGCCAAAAAATTGTCCACTTCACTCTTACATTTAGTGACCACTGTAACGTCAAAGGCTTTGAACAGTTTTCCTATATTAGATTATTTCATAAATGTTAATAGATTCATATAAAAATACCAGATTTTATACAAAAAAGTTGGGACTGGGTGTGGAATCAGGACTTTTCTTGTATTTCATTTATGGACAATAAAAGCACAAATTACGGAGCATCATATAGCCAATATAAAAAAACAACAACAAAACAGACCATATTTTAATCGATCATGTTAATGGCCCAATGGTTAACATTTATCAATGCCATTTTATATACGGTTTATCAAACAAGAATCCTTTCCATTGACAGGTTTATACTAGAAAATACACAAATGTACGTACGCTTTTGTCATCAATTTGTCGAATTTAGTGAGAAATTCGGAAAAATGTATATTTGCCAATTACAAACGATTAAATCAATATTTGAATTATTTTGAAAATTCTGGAGAGTTTTATTGTCATGTGTAGTGGAGCAAGAATTTATTTGCATACATGTTTCGATGATCCCAAATATTGTCAGCATTCAATTGTCACCAAACAACAACGTTTTAAAAAGATTTGCTTCTGAAAAGCGGACCAGAAATCTGAAGAATTTTTGCCGCGTGGGTCCAAATCTTGACAGTGGCAAGCCATTGTTCCTTTAAGCAAGATACTTAACACTCAATTTTTGATACTAGTTTGTTCCAGGACCGGATCAGACTGTTTCAATAAGCTAACAAAATCGAACTAGAATAAATTCTGTACAATATAACAATATGATATATATATATGTTAGTTTAAAAACAATGTGTCTACAAGTATATTTCGTAAATAAAGCTCAACAAACCCACAAACAGCTTCCCATATTTGCCAACTTTGACTGACTGTTTTAATTCAACAGATTGTCTATGAACTTCAATGGTCCTTGGATAAACAACAGGAGGCTGTTTCGGAACGGTGTACATTAACTTACATGGAAGCTCACCAGCACCGCCTTAAAAATGAAATTAAGTTATTTATTTGTACGCAATTATGATGATTATGTTAGTTAAAGGTCAGTGATTGAATAAATATTCTGAATAAAATTGTTTAACAAACATTAGATAGTTAAATGGGCAAATGCGCTTGTTGAAAAAAGAAGGAATTTTGCATTTCTCATATCTTTTTAAAATCAAAGAAACATTGTATAACATGCATAAAATTTTACCATTGCTATCTTATTAATGCACTTCAAAATTAAACCAAATGGACAATTCAACTTTTGACACGCCAAATTTGAAGTTAAATCATACAAACTTCTCTTCAAAATTTCAAGAACCATTTTTGTTGTTTACATGTTTTATCAACAAATACAAGCATTTTAGACATAGATTTAAAAATATAGACAATATTTCCCAAGCTTTCGCCGCTGTCCCTAATGCTCTAAACATGTCCATTTAGAATAGAGTCGGAGAAATGTGTGAAAACAGTACAGTAGACTGAATTTGTAAAGAAAAAGTTATTTTGAACATAAATATTTGGAAAGTGAAAAACCCCTTCACAATCATGATATTTAGATATAAATTAGCCTTATCCGATAATTCACTGCGTATATTCTGGCGCATTGACGGCTGAGTATATATATTCCATATAAAATGCTCTGAAACATTTTGAAAAAGAAAAAGCAGCAAAGCAAAGTAAAAAAAAACAACAAAAACAATTGTACTGATTAATAAATTTTTGTTGACAAAAATGCAACAAAAGTGTTAAGTTTCCTTGTTATGATTTTTTAAAGGGTTTTATTTTGAGGGTTTATTTTAAGTAAGAAACTAATAAGTATTATTGACTTACGTGTATAGTTATCGACAAGTGCAAATATGTCATCAAATCTGCTTTTATTGGATATGAAGAACTGACCGTTTTGCGATTTGATCATATAGTGTGCCACTCGCAATTCTTCGTTTTCAGGAACAGTCATCGATAACGAATATTCATTTCTTTCTAAAATAAATACCAAAAATAAACATAGTTACCAAACAATCAAACTGATAGCTCACAGTTATACAAAATAAGTGATTTTAGTACAATAGCAACGTAGATGATTAGATTTTTTAAAAGTGCATTGTATTAATTGGGATAAAACAAAGAACAATAAAGTTTTATAGTTCTTTTTTAAAGTGTGTTGGGAAGAGGGGTCTGTTTTTAATTTTTATATATATGAAAAATAATGTTACCTTCCTAGATAGATTGCCATCTAAACAGATAAACAATCAAACAAAGATCTGACATCGACAACATCGAGCTGAATGCCCTTTTTTAAAAGAAGACATCAAAATGGAATTTTGATATAACGTTAACTTTCGAATCTTCTCTTCCGTAATTAACAAAGAACAATTTATTTGATCATACGTACTGCCAGAAGGCCTTATAAGGTAATATCCAATAGATGGACTATCGAGCTGTGTGAGCAACTCTTCTGCAGCAAATCTGTTCACGTCATGCCACCAACTAAAATATTTACAAATCTAAGCTAAATGATATGTAATGACTTGATTTATTTAGCATTCCATACTGATCTTTCAAGCAAAATTGAAATTAGTTTTCTTAATAGTAGTATTTTTTATAGTAATCTGTGCATGGATCAGTGTAAAAGATTCTGTATGTTGTAATTAAAGTTGTAACAAAATCAAGTAAAATTTTATATATGTACATGTATATAATCATGCTTCCAAAACATCGAAAAATATGTAAAATATGTGCTGCAAATATTTCTCCACATTATATGTAATCATTAAGATAAATGCATTCATTTCTTATTGAAAAATTTGACTTAGACTTTTAAGAAAATAAATTTCTGATAACCTATCTTTATTAACATGAAGTATAGATTCGGTAATATATTTACAAATAATGCTTTTCTGGAACTTACAATATTGATAAATCTTCATTTGAGCATAATATTTATGATGTAAAACCATATAAAAATTAGAGTTACAGGATCTTGAAGAGGAGTATATGGTTTTTACATGGAAATCAAAGATTTTTCATACTCTTGTGAGAGAAGTTCATGCTTTGCATGAGTAATGTAGGCAAGAGGAACGTAGCCTTTCTGCCCCGTGGACAAATGTTCAGCATAACACCATTCAGAATTATCACTGAAATAAAAAAAATGAAATACACTTTAAAAAAAACGCGAAGAATGCATTTGACATTCACATCAGTCCGCATATAGATCAGCAATTTAATAAAACAGAGAAAAAACAGAAAAACATATGTTTTTCAACAATAAGGTTTTACTTAACTTATCAATTACTAAAATACTTCAGTTTGAAAGCTGCTTCACTTTTGATAAACTATAGACCTTGAAAGGTTAAATAAATGCCGAGTATTGTGAAATAAATGTATGATATTTTCGAAATCAAACTGAATTTTCGTTTCTTTGTTAATTTTCTTCAGGTTATTGCCTGAATTGATCAGTCAAAAGTCTCAGTTACTACCAATCCATACAATTTCATAGGATGCGATGTTATATCCTATTTAGAAAATAATGTAAATAACGGGAAGACTCCGACAATTACTATGCCCTCGTTCAAGTGTGTCGAATATTACGAATTTCTTTACTAGAATAGCAATATGTTTCTAATTCTACTAAAAAAAATGAAATTTAACATTATTATCTATATTTGATATAATGGTCAAATCAATTATTTTAATTCAGTAAAATGGCATAAATCTTTTTAAACTAATTAACAGTCAGAAACAACTTAGTCCAAAACTGTCGAAAACTGAGAATATCAAAAATAGTCGGTCCCCTAAAAATGATAATCTTACATAGAAGAAAATAGTTTATATGTTTATAAAGATATAGCTTCGTCAAAAGTGTGTATAACCTAGTCCTATCATAACGGATTTTTAGTTTATCCAGCCTTTTAAAGCTGATTTCATCATGAGCGAACGTCTCAAAATCAAAGCTGGTTGTAACCGCTCTAGACCCAGGCGCAGCTCCTGTGAAAAGTAAAACAGTAGGTGAATGAAATGAAAATTTAGTCAAACTTGTAATCGAGTATGAAACCAGAAGACACTGTTTCTGCCAATACAAATATGACGGACGTTTGGTACTAATCTTAAGGGATAAAAGAAAGGATTTAATTCAATACAGTGTTGCAGCAGTACCTCTAGACACTTGCAGAAATCATGATCACAAAATAGACAAATATCGTTTTTTGGGGTTTATTGTTGTTGTTGTTGTTGGTTGTTGTTGTTTTTTTCAATCATTATCGTATATAAATATATGTGAAGAGATTAATTAGACGTTTTAAAGACCATTTTGTTGGGTGTAAAGGTGAGATTTTAGCATTAATCATTCAAGCGCCTTGTCAAGTATATCATATACATACCGGAATATTGTATTTAGTTCGGTGCTCCAATTTTTTTTCTAATCCTCCCTCAGACAGAAACGTTATTTTTAGTAAGTAAGACTTTATCAAAGCTATTTACTGACAATTTAACAAAAGTATTTTAATTAACAAAAAATAAAATTAAAAAAAAACATTAACAAAATACCTAAAAAATATATAGTAAACTGTTAGATACACATAACCATATTCTTAACGTCAAATAATATTTCTTAAACAACATCTCATCTCTCTCGACTTATCTATAAATCTACGATTAAATAATTAATTATCAAAGTGCTGTTACTGAGTAAGTACAATTCTACGAATTAAATGCTTTCGTCAAATAATATACATAAGCATCTTAGTTTCCGTCTTTTCTATATTTAATATTCGAACAATTGATCCACTTTTAAACACTTGTTAATACAGAAACATGTTAATGTAAGTGTTGAAAGGCGGGATAGGTGTGAGGAGGATCTAAGTGCTTTCTTCACAACAGCTGTTTTGTTATCGGTTAGTTCCGTCATTTTCCGGATAAATAAGCTCTAATTTAGAATAATTGGCGAGGTGTTTCGAAATTGAAGGGGCTACAAAAACTCGGTATACGCTTGTCTTGATCCGGTTAGCTCAATAGGTAGAGTGTTGGACTGTAAATCGGGCGACCCGGGTTTGATAACCGGACGCCGCCGGTCATTTCGTTGTGATTGATCATGAAATCCTTTCTACGGCCATTCGCATTGTACCTCTAGTCTGGCATGTACAGAAGTTTCAGTTCCTTGCGAAAGTGAAGGCAACTAGAACTGGTAAACTGCTTAATAGCCTGCCCATGAACGATTCAGTGGTTGAACTGTGCACTGGTGAATTCAATGTGGCTTACTGCCGTGATCCGGAGTGAAAGCTACCAACACCACCACCTCTCGGGCATGCAATAGTGTTAAGTGATATTGAAGCTATACACATGGGTTTGTGGGTAACAGTAAAAGAACTCCCGCGGAAAATACTGTTACCCGAGGCGTTAGCCAAGGGTAAGGAATGATATTTTTACTGTTAGTCACAAACCTATGTCTTACTTATTTTATTACCCCGAACAAATACTGTGATGATCTGAAATTGTCAACTGAATCTAACTGTAACAAAATTGAACTGGTAGCCATTCTATTTCATTTTTCTGTAGCAAATACTCGTATAATCAGATATTATACTGATAAATAATACTGTTACAATTTTTTAAAAACACGAAATAGTAAAATGCTATTCAGAAAACAATAATCAATTTATACAGTATAAAGGATGAAAAACGGAATGAACCATTGTTTGTTATGTTAAATGTAACGGATATTATATTTTCGAAATATTACATTTACCGACTTGTCCATCTCTATGTTAGTTTAAGAAAAGTCGTATTTTGAAGCGGAGCATGCGTATAAAAATTTTTGCAGACTGGTTCGAATGATTTCACGTTTTAAATAGGATCCATTAACTTCAATTTGATACTCGAAAATGGATACCGTCAGCAATCATTCGAGGTCTGATAACCTCTACATTAATTTAACAGAACCACAGTAACTTTATCAATTTATCAATATACACTGTTTAGGTCCAATTTTCTAAAAACTACCATATCTATCTATATCAAAAGCACAAGATGATGTTTTATATATATTGATGTTCTTTTTTTTTTTTTTTTTTTTTTTTTAGAAAAATCGGACTTGATAGTAAATATTTGATGAATTTTCAAGTTCCTTTGATGCATCTAACAGTTCGAGAGTGTATACAAGATCTTTTACAAAATGAACTTAAATAAATTTTGTATGATTTAAATTAACATAAACAAGAACTGTGTCCAAAGGACACGGATGCCCCCACTGACAACATATATATGGTATAATAGTGAAAAAATCAACAAAGGGCCATAATTCTGTTCATCCCTGGAAGTTTAAGCAAAATCTGCCATCCGGTTAAAGAGGAGTTGCGTTCACAAAATTTCTATATGGTATATAGTGAAAAAATAAACAAGGGGCCATAATTCTGTTAAATTTAGTCGCAGCAAAAATTCCTTCCTTACTAACATCAAACACATTAAGGTTGATAATCCCTGGAAGTTTAAGCAAAATCTGCCATCCGGTTTAAGAGGAGTTGCATTCACAAAATTTCTACATAGTATATAGTGAAAAAATAAACAAAGGGCCATAATTCTGTTAAATTTAGTCGCAGCAAAAATTCCTTCCTTTACTACAAATCTACACATTAGGGTTTGTTCATCCCTGGACGTTTAAACAAAATCTGCCATCCGGTTTTAAGAGGAGTTTGCGTTCACAAAATTTCGGGACGTACGGACAGACGTACGGATGTATGGACGGACGGACGGAAACAGAAGTACGGACGGACAAGTGGCAACGCTATTGCACCCCACTTTGGTGGGGGCATAAAAATTATCATGAAAAAGTATCATGAAAAAATTCATAAAAAGTTTATGAAAAATATGAAAGACAAACCTGATAAAATTAATTAAATATAACTAAGAACATGTATTAAATCGGTTTTGGACATTGGGGTCTAATTGGTTATTTGTCTGTCACCGACTTGCAAAAAAAATTGCTACATTACTGGGTAAGAGCCTAAGAAAGCAGAATAGGCGATCGACCCGCAGGATATATGAACAACAATTGATTTGAAAATGGCTTTTAAAAAAATAAAAAAACCTTGAAAAGAAAAATTTCTCGTAATAGTTTCACCTTCCCAATAGTTTTTATCGTTGTTACCAGTTTATAATTGCCTGGTACATATTCCAGCTAAGAAGACTTGTTCTGAAAAATTTATACTGTCATGAATATTTTTTTCTTTTGATAATATACAGAGCATAGCTTAAATAACAAGATCCTAAAATTGGTTTCACAATATCTCAAAAAGCGGAATAATGATATAAAAAACATACTGAATAAATTTAGATAAACATAATATATGTATGAAATTATACATACACACTGATTTGTTGTGGGGAGTTTTTCTTGTAAAGGAAAAGTCTTACTCTTTAAAGAAACCCCTGAAATACACCTAAAAAGAGTTAATAAGTATAAGAACATAATTTACACTTATTCACTACCCCAATTATTCTTGGCGAGTAGGGTAAATTGTAATAAAATGTTGAAGTTTCTTGATGAAGTCAAAATGTCTCTTTGGTGATTGCTTCACGCTATGGCACAAAGCACGTAGTAATAATGGCTTAAAGTCAATTATATAACTAAATTGATTATCAATAGGTCGCCATTCATGGATCGAGAAGTTGCAGTAAGGATTTTACAAATCACAGACAAATTGAGGTATTTCATAAAAGAGCTTGGATATTTCTCCAAAAAACAAATGATGAATTGCAAATTGGACACTTGGATTAATAAGGTCAGCTATATCTATTTTTATTCTTACTTGTCACGCGCTAGAGCAACCACCTATTTGTCTTCAGCCTTCCGAACTGCAGCGATTAGCACAAAGTCATCATCTGTATCAAATAATTATCTCAAAAACAATTCATGCTTATATTTATACATTAGAAAATCGTTCTAGAATTTGAAAGCAGTTTCAATTTAGCTAAAAACAAGCCTACCATCTTTTTTAACATATTCTTCACTTCCAAATTCTTGTGTCATTTCTTCTGAAGACGCCTTAGTGTCATTATGAAACCATTTGGCACCTAAAAAGTCATAAGACAGACATTTAGTCCTGATACAAAAATGATGAAAAAAAATGAATAAGTGAGATCATGTATATGAATATAATGACAGTTAATGCAATTTCCCTATAATTGCCAATTTAACAATTATATTTTACAATTTTCAAGGTTATTTTCATCTCGGGTGTTGGATAGAACAATATTTTATTTACTTATTTACTAAAGTTCTGAACCGATACACGGAAATACCTTCAACGACAGTCTTATCAGCCTTCTGTCGCTCATTTCGTCTCTTTAGAGATTCGTTACGAGTTCTGTTTAGTGGTGATACTGAAATCTCTTCAAATGTGTAATTGGTAACTCCTTCGTGTTTTGTCCTAACTTCTTTTGACTCCGTCACCTTTACAGTTTTCGTGCGTTTAATCTCAGTGACATTCTCTATTTCTCTTATCGAGATATCGCCATCGCTCTCTTCAGTTATTTGATACCTGACATTGTCAGTGAAAATAACGTTTTCTATCAACTGAGCTGTACGCGATTTTTTCAAAATATCTAAAAATTTCAGTTTTCCATCGATATCTAAAAACCAATTCTGATTTATACACTTGAGTTTCCATTTTGTATAATCCACCCTGTGTTTATCCATTGTGAGACGTACCACAATTCTATTTGGTATTATACATAAAAATATATCAAAGTTCAAACCGGATAACATGTATATGTATTTCTTTCATGGATCATTAAATTTGTTCTGTTTCACTGAACACTAGTATTTATTCCGTTTTTACTGAACACTTTTATCTATAGACCTTTTTATTTTTGTTGAACTCGTCCATATAAAAATTAAAGAAATTTTATAACATATAAAATCGAGGTTAATTATCATTCTGAAAAAAGTCGGAACACGTACTTAATAATGCACTTTTAGTTTTCAGTTAATCTAATTTTATCCTTTATTCGACATGACTGTGATGCAAAACATATTTTTTTAAGTCACATAGATATATTTAAATAATTTTTCAAACTGTTGAGAATTTAAGATGGTTTGTGAAATAACACACACTTTATCCGCTTCCTCGTAACACATTGAAATGCACGTACACTAATTGTCACTTCACAATATTAATAAACATTGACATGGAGCTAAATATATATGTGACTTTGATGAGATTGGTATAAATAAAAGTTCCTTAAATTACGATTTTCATAATTTTAAGTGATTAACTATGTTTTGGTACTGAAACGTCCCGGTTGAATGATATTGTAAAGTAGCTGGCAAATAACAACCGGTCACGTCTCAATCTGTTTGACACTTACCGCCTTGCCAAACCACTTTCAAAGGAATACAATTTATGAAATATTATGTAATACATGGGTAATAAAATTTCATCTTTAACACCCTGCTGTTTTAATTTGAATTACTAATGAAAAAGTCATCTAATGATACCTTGAACAGAGGACTTTTGGCCATTGAATTATTAAACCCGCTAATTTTGTAAATCTGTCATAAATATCAATTCACGTTTTAAGTACTTATCGCTTTAATAAATCTCCCCCAAAAAATCTGTTTTCTGAGTGACATTACTTATAATGACGTCTTTTAAAGCCTTTAAGTACGCTAAATGTTGTCTATTTTTGTTGCAACATTCGTTGCTAAGGAAAAATCGTATTGTAAAAAGGTATATTCTGTTTCACTGAACACCAGTATTTATTCCGTTTTCACTGAACACTAACATCTATTTTGCTTCACTGAACACCAGTATTTATTCCGTTTTTACTGAACACTTACATCTATTCTGTTTAATTGAACACCAGTATATCTATTCTGATTCACTGAACAATAATATTTATTCTAATTACACTGAACACTCCGGGGTACAGCGCGTACGTTAAACTGCCGAAGATAGAGAACGATGTATAACCATATAAGACACATCATGTCTAAATTCTTTTTTATTTTCGCCGACTTTAGATAATAATTTATGTGCGTGAGGCATTTAACTTCTTTTGAAAGACTAGAGTTGAGAACAAAAATGTTAAAGACAATACTACACCATTGACATAATACGCATAAAAATATTTAAAGGAAGCTAAATGATCGTTTGAATACGACAACCTTTCGTTACACTAAACATTTAAGCTGTTGTGTTTGTATTAAAGTCATACAGATCATTTTAAAGCATATTTTCCTTGATTTTATCTCACGTTAAGTTATGGTGAAACAAAAGAAAAATAACAAAGAAGAAACTAAACTTGTTACAAAAGGAGATAACACCCATCTTTTTTACAAGAGAGACACCTGGCTATGTTTTGTTTTTTTAAAAGCAAATAACTTTTAAACTGTTTAAAACAGTGTACACGTTAGACTTCGTGCTATTTCTTCAGTATATGTTCTTAATTATTTTCATAACTATAGATAAAGACAATAGTAGTACAATTAGCTTAAATATCCCCTAAATCATTAGTTAAAGCACATAGCTATATTTGATATATAAGTCTCTGGCGATCCTTCGGCCAAAAACCGGCACTCGGCGTACACTCATAATAAGCCGAGGTACGCCCCTGACTCGTATTTATTCTGTTACACTGACACTAATGTTTATTCTGTTTTCACTGAACACCGGTATTTATTACTGTTTCACTGAACACCGGTATTTATTTTGTTTCCGTGAACACATATATTAATTCTATTTTCACTGAACACCGGTATTTATTCTGTTTCACTGAACACCGGTTTTTATTCTGTTTTCTCTGAACACCAGTATTTATTCTGTTTCACTGATTGATTTTTTAATTTCCATTAACTTGTATGCGATATGTTTATAATGTTTGTAAATTATTCCATGTTTTTTTGCAAAGACAAAATAATAATAATAATAACCCAGCAAAAAATTAAAGGCTAGGCGATGCAATCTTTATCCTATTTAAATATATAAAGTAGTTTTGAAACAACTCTGTTGAAATTAAACTTATTAGAAGTACTAGCGAAAAAAATAAGTGTTCTTTGTATATTTAAACGACTAAGAAATAATATAATGTTGAACAAACGCCACAAAAATATATGAAACTGAACACTAGTAATTTGTTGCAATTCATTACCGTGTTAATATTATATTATTATAATAATGAATTTCTACGCTCGTTTTTTATGACAAATTCCTGGATTCAGACTTATTATTATTTTTACCATTCCATTTGCATCCATTTATTACTTTACTTTTGCATTTTATATTTAAAAGTTTATGATTTCATTTTGATTCTTTAATTAAATAATGTTACATATCCATGCTTTAAGACTTTTTACTTTTAAATGCTTACTTATGATATGCTTTTTTTACTTTTTATCCATACGCTCTCACACTTAATCATTGCATTTCCATGCTGTCAGACTTAATTATTGATTAGGAACGCATTCGGAATTCTAACATTCATTCTTTATTTTTTACTTACTCATGAGTTAAGACTTGACTTTAATCATATTGCAAATTAACAATATGATATGATATGACAATATACGATACGATACAATATAATAACAATTATATTCTGTCCCAGGTTCATACTAATTGTTTTTCACAATTATAATTAAGCCTACTTATCCATGCGTACAGATTATTTCACAATTATTTCACAATTAAGTTTATCCATGCATTCATACCATTTTACACTTATTCATGCATTTAGTCAATTTCACAATGAAGCTTATTCATCCATGCATTCAAACTATTTCACAATTTAGACTACTAATTCATGCATTCGGACTATTTCAAGCGATCTTCACCTTTTATTTCTGTCCGGAAAAACAATTCTGTATTTTTTTGAAACTTATTTTTTCCAGTAATTTTATCTTGGAAAAGTGCATCATTTCACTGTTAGGCCTACATAACTTGTTAATCAATGAATTATCTTCATACTTGGCTAAAAACCTTTTGGACAAGACCTAAAAGGTTGAACTGACCTTGACCTTGAGCAATAAACGACCTTGACTGTCAAGGTCAAACTATTGAAGTTTGGTTACGTTGTCATAAGTTTGTTATTTATGTAAGGATTTGATTTATACCTAGTCAAAACATTTGTGACCAAACAAACATGTTGAATAATTTAGATATGACCTAGACATTTCTTTGGATTCTTTTATGTAAGGAAGCTATCCGGCTATATTACGGAACGTCGATAGTTCTACTCAGGTGCCCGTCCGTGCCTGAAATTATGCACGGAAGGACACCTGAGATTTTCTACCAGTGTGACTGGAACGTCGCAATTTCACCTTTAATGCTATTTACTGTTTCGGTGACATAACCCAATCAAGCAAAGAAACCTTAACATTTTAATGCCCGTCAAAAGATTGAATGCTGCTTATATTTTTTGACTTTGTCATTTATTTATGGAAGTGATTAATACACACTTTGACAAAATAAGAAGTGTGACTAGACAGACTTACTAAAATTATGAAAAAAAAATTTTCAGTTTTCTTTTTAATAATTTGCTTAAATCACCATTTGTTTGCTTTTAGAAAAAATTTGTTTTAGCTCATCTGAGCACAGCGTGCTAATGGCGAGCTATTGTGATCCGAGGTCGTCCGTCGTCGTGTCTCTTCAACATTTACTCTAAAAACATCTCTTAAACCAATGACTACACAGTAATTAAACTTTACATGAATGATCCCCGCAAGGGATATGTCCAAAAAAATCCGCATTATATATTAAATGAAAATTTATCTATATGTATTATTACAGATAACTGTCTGATATCTAAGTTACTAGTATACTCCCAATAAAAGGACAATGTCCTATGCGTACGAATTCTAGACCACTATTCCTATAGCACTGCAACTACATGTAGCTCACGTGATGTTCAGGGCAGAGAATCACGTCCGTGGACACTTTTCAAAAATGTTCCACGTGCTAAATAGGTGATAAGTTCGGGCTCGTCAAGTCTTGCCTTATTGACATAGCATTATCTTCGTTAAAGACAAATAAATTCTTTGCAAACGGGATGACATGATGACCTTACTCCATGGTATTAGTGGCCGTTTACACAGTCATGGCACACATGTACCTGTGTTGTGGCAGTCAAACATGTGCCACCCCATTCCAAAATGGATCAGCAGCCTCATTAAAACGTTCGCCTTGTCAACGCCAGACCTCTCCGACCATCAGGAAAGTCTCGGGTGAATTTGGATTTGTCACTGAACATCAAACACGGCCACTGATTAATGCATTATACAATTGCAAGTTTAATAATTTACAAAAGTCGTATTATCTTAATAGAACTTTATGAGCTATATAACGTTTATTCTTTATTTTATCTATTTATTATTTTTTGCAATAAAATCATAACCAATTGTAAAATGCGCAATTCTTTTGGTTTAGATAAATTGGACTGTTTAAGTATACATTGTATGATAAACAACACAATAAATTGTGTCAAAATAATGCGTTTTATTGATCTTTTTAGTATTTTTGTTCTCTTTACATTTATTTATTTACATTTTAACTAAACAATTTTAAATTACATGTAGTTGCCTATTAATTTATTCCCATCCAAGTTCTCAAAAAATATATCAAAGAAGACAACGTATAAATTACTCAGTATCTCTTCAAGCATAGAGGAAGATATCAGATTAGTCTCTCAATTATGTTATAGGATTGGTTATAAATTTATCACTCCTTTAAAAATGCAATTTACTTTAATTGAGGCTAAGTAGATCTTTTGATTCCGGTATCGATACATAGATGTTTCATCGCTGTCCCCATGTTAATTACCAGTACAATGTTTAAAACTTTTTTCTGTATTGTTGTTCTGTATATGAGTTTGACATGTTTAAACGATTTAATTGTTGTTGTTGTTGTTGTTATTGTAAGTGTTCTGAAAGTAATGAAATATTCATAAAAGTATGTTTTGTTCTGATAGCATAAGCCGTATATATAAAAAATATAACTTGTTAGTAAAAGACGTCTGCCGTTTAATCTGCGGATCAAGCTTTTAGCTCTATATATTAAAGATATAACAATCATGAAAAGAATGGAGCCCGCGTAAGCAATGAAAACATCAAAATTATATGAGTTGATTTGAAGATTCTGAACTTGAGAGACAAGACCTTCTAAAAGGTTGAACTGACCTTGACCTTGAGCAATAAACGACCTTGACTGTCAAGGTCAAACTATTGAAGTTTGGTTAAGTTGTCATAAGTTTGTTCATAAGTTTGTTATTTATGTACATTTATTTATTTACATTTTAACTAAAAGTTTAAAATTAGTTGCCTGGTAAAAGTTGGTAATTTTTTTCTCAGCCAAGTTATCAAAAAAATTTATTAAAGAAGACAACGCATAAATTACTTAGTATCTCTTTAAGCATAGAGGAAGATATCAGATAAGTCTCTGAATTATGTTATATGATTGGTTATTAAATATATCACTCCTTTAAAAATGCAATTTACTTTAATTGAGGCTAAGTAGATCTTTTGATTCCGGTTTCGATGTGGAGTTCAGTGGAAGATATCTATAAGTTTATTAACTTATATATAAAAATTATATTTATTTATATATAGATGTTTCATCATTGTCCCCATGTTAATTACCAGTACAATGTTTAAAACTTTTTCTTTAATGTTTTTCTGTATATGACCCTGACATTAATAAACGTTTATGTTGTTGTTCTTGTAAGTGTTATGAAAGTATTGAAATATTCATAAAAGTATGTTTTGTTTTGAAAGCATAAGCCGTATATTTAAAAAATATAACTTGTCAGTAAAAATCGTCTGCCGTTCAATCTGCGGATCAAGCTTTTAGCTCTATATATTAAAGATATAACAATCTTGAAAAGAGCGGAACCCGCGTAAGCAATGAAAACATCAAAATTATATGAGTTGATTTGAAGATTATGAACTTGAGAGACAAGACCTTCTTAAATGTTGAACTGACCTTGACCTTGAGCAATAAACGACTGTCAAGGTCAAACTATTGAAGTTTGGTTAAGTTGTCATAAGTTTGTTATTTATGTAAGGATTTGATTTATACTGGACAAAACACTTGTGATGAAATAATTTAGATATGACCTTGACCATTCTTTGGATTCTTTCATGTGTGGAAGTTATCCAGCTAGCTTACGGAACGTCGATGGTTGTACTCCTGAAGGTGCCCGTCCGTGCCTGAAATAATGCACGGAAGGGCACCTGAGGTTTTCTACCAGTAAAGCTGGAACGTCGCAATTTCACCTATAATGCTATATACTGTGTCGGTGTGACATAACCCAATCAAGCAAACAAACCTTAACCTTTTAATGCCCGTCAAAAGATTGAATTCTGCTTATATTTCTTTAACTTGGTCATTTATTTATGGAAATGATTCATACACACTTTGACAAGAAAAGAGAAGTGTGACTAGACAGAAATTATGATACAAACAAATCTTCAATTTTTTTTTTAATGATTTGCTTAAATCACCATTTGTTTGCTTTTAGAAAAAGAAGAAAAAGTCGATCGTTTCCCAGTGGCTCGTTTGGCAGAATTTTTATCCTTTGTTTTAGCTCATCTGAGCACAACGTGCTAATGGCGAGCTATTGTGATCCGAGGTCATCCGTCGTCGTGTCTCTTCAACAAATACTCTAATAAAACATCTCTTAAACCAATGACTGCACAGTAATTAAACTTTACATAAATGATCCTCGCAAGGGATATGTCCGAAAAAAATCCGCATTATATATTAAATGAAAATTTATCTAGTATTACAGATAACTGTCTGATATCTAAGTTACTAGTATACTCCCAATAAAAGGACAATGTCCTATGCTTACGAATTCTAGACCACTATTCCTACAGCACCGCAACTAGCTCACGTGATGTTCAGGACAGAGAATCACGTCCGCGGACACGT